TTTTTTTTTTTCATCGCTCACCATTTTCTAAGGGAATCAGAAAAAAAAGTCGAAACTTTCCTTCTCATTTTCTCCATTACAAATTTTCTTCAGCGAGCATCTTTAGTGTTTATCACTTTCCTCCTACGATTCAATTTTCCAATTCTGTTCCTCGCAGCTGCCGGAGATGGCGGAGGAGCGGAGCATAAACGGCGAAGCGACTGGACATGAGGATGACCGTTTCTTCGAGTCCGATCAACAAGACGATGCTGGAAAGTCGACGGAATTGAGTCGAAAGATCCGAGAGCTCGAATCCGGAAATCAGCAGCTGGCGCGGGATAATGGTGAACTCAGCCGGAAAATCGAGACCTTGACGGCGGAGATCGAGGAGCTGAGAGGAGCCGAATCCAAGGCGAGGCGTAAGATGGGTGAGATGGAGCGAGAGATCGACAAGTCGGACGAGGAGAGGAAGGTTTTGGAGGCCATAGCTGCGAGAGCCTCGGAGCTCGAGACCGAAGTGGCACGGCTTCAGCACGAGCTGGTCACGGCTCAGACGGAAGGGGAAGAGGCTGCGGCGGAGGCGAAGAAGCTCCGGTCTGAGATTTCACAGAAAGGGGATGGAATTGAGGAATTGGAGAAAGAGGTCGCTGGTTTAAGGACTGTAAAGAAGGAGAACGAGAAGAGAATGAAGGAATTGGAGACAAAGCTTGGCGCTTTGGAGGTTAAGGAGTTAGAGGAGAAGAACAAGAAGGTCCGTGCAGAGGAAGAGATGAGAGACAGGATTGACAGTAAAGAGAAAGAGGTGGATGATTTGAAGGAGAAGATCAAGGGTTTGGAATCGAAGGTAGCAGAGGGAAAAGCAGAGTTGCAGAAGTGTAAAACAGAGAAGATGGTTGTGGAGGATTCGTTGAGAGAGTCAGAGAAGAAAGTGGTGGCTATGGAATCAGAGATTGTGGAGTTAGAGAGACAGATGGATGAGTCTGAGAAGATGATCAGTGGATTGAAGAATATGGTTGAGCCAATTAATGGCATTGAGCTCAAGTCATGGTCGCCGACTGTAACTGCTGGTTCTGGTGGAGCTGTGGCGGCGGTTGCGGTTGCAGTGGCGGGAGCAGCCGTCGTCTGTTACATTTACCACTCGAAGAGGGCTTAATTCGAGGTAGAATTTTATGAACTTCATTTCTTTGTTTCCTCCTTTGGGAGTGTTTCCTACGTAACTTTCTTTGTTATATGCTTGGGGATTTTGTTGATTTCACAATTTTGGAGTCTTCTTTATTTTGTGTTTGCTTACATCTTTCATTACAATTGTTCTCGGCAACAATCAAGATAGATTGAAAAAGAAAAAAAAACGAGAGTTTCAGCAGAGCGAATTAAAAGAAAAAGACACATTCTGAAATCACACTCGAGAAATAAAAAGGAAATAGTCAGAAGATAATTTGAAAAACTGGCTAGGATCTTTTTTCCCCTGCTATGTTCTTCATATCGAAGTTGGTCTTCATCTACTAGATGATGATGACTTGAGAAGATCAACAACTCCACAACAGTTCATCCACCATGGTTCGACCCCACGATCGCCCGCCGCTAGGAGTGGCTGCAATTGTTAAAAATAAGCAGATGATTCTCTCTATCCTATCTAATTTTGCGTCAAGATATATAAGAAATTTTTAGTTTTCTTTTTGTGTTCCGATTCGAACCTGATTATCTGTGGATACTGGTAAGTCGCGGTTTGCGGTTGTGGCTGCTGAGTCAGCGCTACCGGTAAAGTGTGAAACAGCTCCCACGATCTTGGAGGAGACTTCATCTTTCTTCTCTTCCAAATCGTGCAACAAAGATTTGGCTCCATCTATGCCTCTTGTGACCACATTGTCCACTGCATCCTTCACCACATCGGTCTTGGCCGGTTCAGCGGAGGCGGTGACGGTTTCTTTGGCTTCACCGAGAGCAGAGGTGGCTTTTTCCAAAAGGGTGTCAGCCATTTTTTATGGTCCTCTGTCTCTGTTGTGTGTTTTGATTCGTCAAGACGCAGGAGATTATGAGTAACCAAAAGGAGAGATATATACTATTATTGTGGAGAAGATAGAGAGGAAAAAGTGGCAAATTTGAGCTGTCCAAATTGGTCGCGACTGTTTCAAGTTTCAACGACCTAAACGTGACTTCCTTTATCTAAATCTAATCTTAACTCTAATATAAACCTCTGATTAGAATTTTGTTTGTGTGGAGAAGACGTCATTTGAAAATAACAACTACTTTTAACTAATATAAGAAGAAAGTAATCTTGCCAGCCCACAAAATGATATAATTAGAAAATTTATGGAAGTACACCATTTTCAGATTTATGGTTTAGTTGAGGTTTCCTTTTTTCCGGATAATTTAGTTTTTAGGATTTTATGTAAAATTAGACAACAAACAACAAGAACGTATTCTAGAACCGGAACTTAAAACAACCAATCATGAAAAACTGAAACTGAGACATAAAACCTTATTTAATTATCGCTGCATGGAGTGTGTACCTGAAGCAACACATTATGTAATACCCCAACATGTAACGTGGAGTTTAGAATTTTTGGATAAAGTCTTAACAATTTAAACGAACACAACATATCCTCTGTTCTGCACTCTTCTATCCTCGAACTGATGCACAACCTGAATTCTCGTATTTCCCTCCCCACCTGTGTATTTCCAATGGCCCATATCAAAACATAAGAAAGGGATTGTTTTCTAATCCAGATGGAAGGAAAGTTTCAAAGTTAGGGTTTATTATCCCTTAAACAGACCTGTTTTCTTCTGTTTCAGGGACATGGAGCTCAATATCATCCTCCAAGGGCTTAAACACTAAGTTGATTTTCTCATCATCTACCTCATCTAACGTTGCTGGATTCCACTGTACCAAACCCAACCATAGAAGTTTGCAAGTATGTCAGATGTGATATCGCTTCTAAGTAGACACATTTTTCACTTTATACAGAGTAAAACATACATACCTTTGGAGAATTGTCTTTGTCTATGGTCAGAGCTCTAATACCCTGCGTGTTATTACACAGATTCCAAAATAGCATTGATAAAAAAAATCTAAACATGATACTTGCTACTGTTTTCTTGAAAAAGCACAACCAGAACTTGGGTCAAAGTTGTGTTCTTTACCTCATACACGTCAGGCGATATGGTCTTTCTCAAGATATTCACGGTGATCCGAAACTCCTTCTTGAGGCAATCACTCAGTGTTTGTTTTCTACCTTCACGAATCTGTAAAAAATTTACCATTCAGTTCCAAACCAAGGAGCATATGATATAGGGTAAGATCATGTAACAAATAACAATTACCGATCGAAGGGTTATCTTCAACCCTGTGGGTGACGATCGCTTTAGACCTTTGATGACTGGATTTATCCAATCATTTCCCTCTTTGCTCCCTTCAGCTTCCTGTAAGAGGACCAGAAATAATCTCATACCGTGGAATAAACCAGGGAATGACTTCTGTTCCAGGAAAATTAGATGGCTTACAAATGCTTGTATGATCTGCTTCACACTTTCTTTTGAGAAACACTCATTGATTACTGACTGCCTGCAGATCAGCCATGGCCACAAAGTTAATACCGTCCGTGTGCTTATATATATATATATACCAATGAGGAAAAAAACACTAACTAACACCTCAAGCAAGAAGAAAGTCACTATATATACAAAAGAAGGAGTGTTACTTGTTAAGAATGCTGTCTTGGTCCAGGTTGACTTTCTCGGAGAACTCTTCAATTGTGCAGCGGACTACATCCATGTCTCCAGAGTCTAAACTCACAAGCCGTGCCTCCAGATCCGCCAATTTCTGACAACAAGGAAGGAAAATATGTAAAAGATGAGCATTCCACAGTGTCACTTACAAACTTATTGCAACATAACATTGTTTATAGAATAAATATAGAATCTGTCCGAAATAAATAGTATAATAGTGTACATGCATATATATATATATATATATATATATGCAAAGAAAGGCATCATCAAAAACTCACAGCAGAAGGTACAAAATGCGTTGCCATTCCAATTGCTACAAGTTCTTTGCCGTTCAATCTTGCCCCAGTTAAAGCCAAGAATTCTCCTGCAAATGTCATAAACACACCCAAGTACATTAGAGACTAGCCAAAGCCCAGTTGGAATCAATATTTGGTTATAATGGTTTAGCAGTTACCTAAATGACCAGGAAGACGTGAATGGATGTAGGAGAACCCACAATCAGTGTGAAACCCAATACTAGCTTCCGGAGTTGCAAAAACCTGTCAAATGACATAAAATAGTTGAATCTATACTTGTTCCTGCAACATCATACAGAAATAAGAATATGAAGCAGATTAAACTCATGCATGACTCACAGTTTTCTCTGTCACAACCGAGAACTTCATTGGAACCATCAATGATGCACCTCCACCCATCGATATTCCATTAACAAGAGAAACCTTATACAGACAAATACAATTTCTATTCGGTGAATAATTACCTCCTCAAGTGGACACTTATTATACAAATGAAAATTTGGAAAACTACTAAAAGGCACCTGAGTCTTCTTGTATGTGTGGATATGATAGCAAAGCCAGTACATCCGGTAAACAACCTCAAGGCAAGAATCCTCTGTCGAAAAACGAATCATATCATCTTTATCTTACGACATTATCTCTTCGGATTTGATCTTTCGAAAAAAGCAAACGTGATGATTCTCTTAGCAACTTACTTGATTCCCGGCCGTCATAGAACATCTTTAGATCACCACCGGCAGAGAAAGCTCTTCCTGCACCCTGCAAACATAAGCCATGTTGAGAAATTAGTCTATTGTAGTAGAAAATCATGATCAAACCAAGGACCAAAAAAAAAAAAAAAAAATCAAACCTTGATCAATATAAGCTTTGTTTCATCATCCTTCTCCCACATTTCGAGATACTCTGCAAGCTTGAGGACCTGAGTTTCAAAGTTTTTACATTATGCGTATTTCAGTATCTAGAAAACACGAGAATATTATCAACTTCTGATCTAAGATATTAGTATATACCACTTCCGAAGAGATCACATTTAACTGACGAGGACGGTTTAGTGTAGTCAATTTCACAAAACCTTTTTCCTCTCCAATAACAACCTGTAGCAATGTCAAATTTCCAAAAGTTTTTCATGAATGGTTTACAATTGAGTTATGAAGACACCACAAAAGACTAAAAAAAAAAAGGCAGAGATTACCGGATCATCGATGTTTCGACCTTCTTGAGCCATCTCTAGCTTTCTCAAACGGCAACAAATACTTACTTTATCTGATCAACAAAACCATCAATCAGATATGAAAAAAACAATCTCAAACGACAAAACTACACTGGCAAGAATTTTCACAATACTTCAGACCCAATGTGACAAAATCCCAAGATTTAAGAACTTGCAACAATCTAATTATAAAAAGATTACACAAAATCCCCAGACTATACTTCACTTCCTCTCTCACCAAGACCAGAACACAAACTCCATTCAAGAGATGAATTTATGATCGCAGGCATACAACGATCATCAAACCCTACAACCTCTCACAGTGAAATCAAATGACAGAGGGAGAGAGAGAGAGAGAAAGTGATACCTTGAGAGAGGAGAAGCAAAAGGGGTTTGGTGAGGAATGGAGCTCAAAATATGAGAAACTAAATATACTCTAATCTCTTCTGAATATATGTTCGGACATTGGAAAAATGGCAGGTGAAGCTAATCATCAAAAGGAGGGTTTGGTAAGAAAAGACTACAGTATGTATATGATCAAACCTTTCAGCTTCTTCTACCTACCTCTTTACTTATTAACTTTTTTTTTTTATAAACTGAAACATTTTAATTTCTAATGTATGATTTTTACTAATTCGTTGTACACAACAACTAAATTTTTTTTTTAAACAAAACTTACACCAGTTTCGTGTAGACTTATATAGTCAGATTAATACCACAACAACATAAATACATTATCGTATTGTTCTGTTTTCGTTTAAGCGTGCTCATAATTCACAGTTGATTGCAATTCTGTTAGCAGACCAATAAGAAAAAGTTGAGTTGGGCTATATTAATGTATGGCTTGTGTTAATACGTAATGTGTTGGGCTTAATCGTAGCAAGTTAAGCCCATCCGCCATTAAAGCTCTCAAGCTAAAACAGGCATCAATCTCTCTCCACCTCGAATGAAGAAAGCGAGGGTTCTGCTAAAACCCTCTTTGCTCCCCAGTTGCTTAACCAGAGCCAAGTACTTCTTCTCATCTGTTTCTCAGTTACCCTCTATCTCTCACCAGATGGAGACGGATCCTTCGTCGGGTTCGGAGCGTTACTGTTATGATCCAGTGTTGCGATGGGATCCCCAAGTTGAAGACTACTTCAATAAAGCTTATGGAACTGACCACTTTGCTCGCATTTCAAAGGCTCTCACGTACTGTACTTCGCACCTTTCTATCATCTTTCTGTGATTCTGAAACAACATTGTTCTGCTTCTTCTGTTTTTGGTGGATTCCGTTTTGCCTTATAGCTTATTCATTCTCGAATATCTCCTTAATCGAATTGATTTTTGTTGCTTTTGATCCTCATTAGGCGCCCATCTTCCTACTCCTGCATTCGGGTGAACACAGTTAAAACAACAAGTGACGCGGTTATTGAAAAGCTTACGAAAATCTTAAACGACTCCGAAGATGGCTTGAAGCTAGTGCAACCTGATGGAAGTAGCCCCATCTCCAAGTGTCAGATTCCTGGTTTGGAATATGTTGTTTTTGTCAATGGTTCTGGACCACATAAAATTCAATATGACTTTGGCCTTGAAAACCCTCCGAAAGAGGTACTAGTGAGCAGGAAGTGTGCTGAAGCAGTTCTTAGAGGAGCCCAGGTATCTCAATAAAACTTTAGTGGCTAGGTTTGGATCACAATGATTATTTGGCTTAATGTTTCCATTGAATGCTTCTTTCCTGGTCACTATGCCATTAGATTGGAGTATGATTCCCTATCTTGGTTTTCATTTGTTATATACATGGGTTCTGTTGTAGGTCTATGTTCCAGGTGTACTGGCTTGCACTGCACACGTTGAGAAAGGAGATGCAGTTGCTGTCTGTGTAGCTATCGAACAACCTGGCGATGAAGGTGACTGGAGTGTTAATATGACTCGTGGGACCACCCTTCAGGGTCTACCGAAAGGCAAGAATCAGAATTGTTCCTTTTGCTTTGGTCACATATTATATGGTTGGCCAAGACTTTTGTTTCACTGTAACTGAAACCGAAGAATAGGTCATTGATTTATCAAGAATTTGCTCTGACGGGGCATATTTCTTTTTGTTAGGTTGTTTATTGATCAAAAGTGGTATTATATGAGTTATAGGTAACAACTTGTGGCAGCCAAATGAGTCAAACAATTGAATCTGTCAAGTGCATTAAGGCTAAAAGTTATTCGAGTTTGATAGATTGGATTTCTTTTAATAATCCAGTCGTATTGGATAAGCTTGTTCTGCTGTAGCTTGGGTTGAAAGTGCTAGATTATCCATGATTGTTATATAAGTTATAGGGTTGCCAACAAACATATCAATATTTTGAAGTTGACATGTGCCGTAGTGTTATTGTAGATCCTTTCTATTGTGAACGCAGTGGACTATATATCGGCATGGGCACTACTATGCTGTCAAGGGCTGGGATGTTTCGTGTTTCTCATGGAGTTGCGGTAGATTTGAGTAATAGAGTTTTCAGATTGCCTTCTTTCCATAGTAAGCTTCTTTTTATGACTCTCAGTTTGCTTTCTACTTCAGCTTACAGTTTATGATTCTCAGTATTTCATGATGGGGTATTACTTATATTGTCGTTTTGGCTCCGTAGATGTCCTCGAGGGGGAAATATTTCTCCAAAACCTACCAAGTATTGTTGCTGCTCATGCTCTTGGTATGTGAAATAATTTTCTGTCTACGGCATGCTTATACCTTCACCCCCTTGTATAATATAGTTACGTAAATCCATAATTCAAATATAGTAGATATATATGGGTGAGAAAGCCGGTGGGATCAAAGATTGAGGAATTTTTTTCGAATATCATGTCTTGGCCTCCAGATCCTCAGAAAGGGGAGAGGATATTAGATATGTGTGCAGCACCAGGAGGGAAGACTACTGCAATTGCTATACTTATGAAGGATGAGGGAGAGATAGTGGCAGCAGATAGATCTCATAACAAAGTACAGTTTCTTATGACTACGCAACCTTTTGAACTCCTCACATAATTACGTTTATTGAAACAGACATGATTTCAACTGGCGTTTACTTGCTGACTTATTTACGTTGAATGCTTAAAAATACGAAACAACAGGGTATTCCTGTATGGATTGCAAAATGACCTGCTCCAATTAGCCCGTTTACTGTCTTTGAAAAATAGGTGCTGGATGTCCAGAAATTGTCAGCTGAGATGGGCTTAAGTTGCATAACAACGTGTAAATTGGATGCGCTAAAGTCTGTTTGTCTTCCAAACACACTCAATGATTCAAAAACAGTAGTTAACGGTGACAATAGTGGTTCTATGACATCAAACAAGGAAATGGCATTCGATGCTTCTAGAAGACCTGAGGCTGAAAAATCGTGTGAGAAAACTGGTAATTAAGCTACTCTCTCTCTCTCTCTCCTCATAGCGTCTGCATGGTTTTTGGTTGTTTTCTTCGAAATGTTGGCCTATGCATGTGTGTATAAATGCAAATCCATATATTTTTATCCAGTTTTTTTTTTTTTTTTAAACTAAGCTGAATCTTGACTTTCCCATATATCATCCATATTTTAGCCACCACTGAACAGTCAAATGGAGGGGATAATGTTAGCCAAGCTGAAGTCAGGAAGAATAAGGGAAGGCTGAAAAATGGTCGCGGAAGAACTCAAACCCAAGGTGGAAGGGCTGGAACCTCACAAGGTTTCCCGCCTAATAGTTTTGATAGGGTCCTTTTAGATGCTCCTTGTTCTGCTCTTGGCCTGAGACCTCGTCTTTTCGCTGGACTGGTAAGATAATTTCAAGGCGTGCGCTGTCTTTTATAAACTTCTACCTTTTATGAATTAACAACGAGTACACATTCTAGTATTATGAGTCAACATGTGGATAGCCTTAGCTTAATCAATTGCATGTGGCAGAAATATGATATTTTTATTTGTAGGCTTTTGAAATAATATGAATCCTGTTATACGTGAAGAAAGTGTTTGTAGTAATTCGGACTAGAATTTGTGGTTCTTCCTTCTTCCATTTTTTAGAGTGTTCAGAGGGTGCTGATTTGTGGAATGAATTTGCCACTGCATTTCTTGTAGGAGACTGTAATATCTTTGAGAAACCATGGAAGGTACCAGCGGAAAATGTTTGACCAGGCTGTTCAATTGGTTCGCGTTGGTGGAATTCTTGTATACTCAACGTAAGTATGCAAACATAGTCCGAAATCCGTAAACTCTGAATTGCGTTATCCAAGCTATGCAAATAAACAGTCATGAGGAATTGAGAGTTACCAATATTCTTACCTGTGGATGATTTGTTTTCCATTTTGCTAGATGCACAATTAACCCTAGCGAGAACGAGGCCGTGGTTCGCTATGCTCTTGACAAATACAAATTTCTTTCTTTAGCACCACAGGTTTGGATCTAAATAACCCTTTTCGTTGTCAAATCAGGTGGACATGAATATATAATAAATTGTGTGAGATCTTAGAAAATATTGCATTAGGATCATGTTCTTTGTCATAATGTTTGGTGTGTGTTGTTCCAGCATCCTAGGATTGGAGGCCCTGGTCTAGTTGGTCGATGTGAATTCCCGGACGGATATATCGAGTAAGCATCTATAAACACAAGAGTGATCTAACACTCACCAAAACCAAAACTTTAAAACATAAAACATTGATGATATAAAGAGATGGCACCTGCATTCTCCAACTCTAAATTTCCATAAAACGAATGGAGCTACGTTTTGCAGGGAGTGGTTAAAATCAGGTGAAGAAGAAATGGTTCAGAAATTCGACCCGTCATCGGAGCTCGATACCATCGGGTTCTTTATAGCTAAATTCAGCGTCGGCTCCAAGGATTAAAATGCTGATCCCTGATCCAAGAAATTCCACACAAAAAATTGTGGTTTATACATTGTTTTTGAACCCGAGATTGGTATTTTTATTGATCTTGTTTACTAAATGAGATGGGAAGACATTTCTGTAATCATCTTTTCATTTTTGTTTTTAATAACATAAAAACAGTTTCACATATTAATTACAATTCTTTTAATTAGTATATTCTTCATCACACAAGCTGTTTGGCTTCAAGAGTCTTCTCGTACTCTTCAATGGACTTGAAGAGCTCAGAGAAGTTGCCTTTGCCAAAGCCACCACATCCTCCACTCTGGTAAACCTTCCCTTCCTCATCCTTCTTCATGCATCCTATTCTCTGGATTATCTCTATAAATATCGTCGGCCTATCAACACATATTCACAAATACAAAAGAGATATGATTAGCGAATCCTCACGTTGCTTAGTGCAGCATCTGATGAACCCTAACACGTTTTCCATCAAATGGATAATGATTATTGTGTGTTGTACCTGTCACCAAGTGGTTTTGTGAAGATCTGAAGCAACGTCCCTTGATCATCTCTGTCCACAAGAATCCCCAGTTCCTCACACTCCTTGATCTGCTCGTCGCTAAGCACGTCGCCGACCCGTTTCTTCAGATTCTGGTAGTAAGTAGGCGGCGGAGCAGGCATGAAGTCGAATCCTCCAACACTGCTTCTCTTCCGCATCTCTCTCAGAGTCCTGAATATGTCTTCGCTCATCAGAGCCAGATGTTGTAGCCCTGCACCTTCGTTGTGTTCCAGATACGTCTGAATCTGACTCTTCCTCTTCGTCCCGTGCACTGGCTCGTTTATTGGTAAAAGAACCATTTCATCATTGTTGGCTAAGACCGCCGAATTCAAACCGCTATCGGCGGTTCCAACGTCGTCTGCTGTGAACTCTGCGAATTGGTGGAAACCAGTGAACCCTGCGACGTAAGTTAACGCCGGACCAAGCTCAGGGACGTTTCCCACGGCGTGGTCAAGCCGCCGTATACCGTAATCGAGTGGAAACGACGACGTATCTTCCACCAGCTCGAATCCAGGCAGGAAATCGGATTTATCGGTGTTTACTCCATTGTGACTAACATATCGGAGGACGACATCGCCGTATAGTTTAACCTCAGCGATCGTAACGGCTTCGTCGAGGACGATAGGAGGAGACGAAGGAATGGCACCGTTGGCGACGCTGATGGAGAAAGCTGACTCTGCGTCTTCTACTTCAATCGCGACGGCTCTCACGCCGAGGCCATGGGAAGAGAAGAAGGAGCGCCAAGAGATGTGATCAAAGGATGGGATAGAGGCTGTAGCGGTCGGTCGGATTTCTCCGGCGGCGAGAGACGGGGAGTAGGCAGCAGTGAAAAGGAATCGGAGGTCGCCGGAGGTGAGGAGGTAGGAGGCGTGAACCATGTTTCCGGTGGAGAGATCGGATTTGGCGGAGAATCGCATGCCGAGACCCCACGAGAAGCGACGCGCGACGTTGGTGGCGTCGCCGCACCAGAACTCGATGTGGTGGAAGCGCTTAACCTTGAATTTGTCGGACTTCGGATTCTTCCTCACGAACTTGGAAAATCCGACGAGCTTAAATCCCGGCGATTCCGACGCCGCAGCGCCGTCGTGCTGCTGACTCTCTGAAACTGCGGTGTTTTGGTGCCCCATAGATTTTTTTCACCTTATGCTACAACTAAACTCTGCTACGGCACTCAGTGTGGTGCTTAGTTAAGCTATGGACACAAATAAGGATTTTTTTTTTTAATCTTAAAATCAGCTTATTTTTATCGTCTCATTTTCTCCTCCTGAGTCTAAAGATTGTCAGATCAGATTTTTGACTATTGTTGGATAGTAAACGACACACGTGTACGATCAGATGTTCATTAAAAACGAAGCGTTACGTGATGGATCTCCCTACTAGCCTTTAGATAGATAATTGGTTCGTTCCATCTCCTTGTCAGAGCGGAGTTGTGACGTGTAATACCTCTCTACCGTTTAGAATATGAATATACAGAAGAATTTTGAAAATATTACTAGAAAACGATGGAACCATTATCTAAACCATATACACTTATACAGTATGATGGACGACGAATGTGATGATGACGCAAAATCTTCATCATAAAACAGTCAAAATGAAAGTCAGAAGCATCTTGTGGGGATTGAGAACCCTCAACTTCTCCTTATCTACAGTATAAGGTCTCTACTTTGTATACGCCCACTCAATTGGCATAAGCCCATCTTCTTTCATTTTCTATACAGCTCATGCGCTTCACGCCATAGTCCTTTCCTACACAATCCTATCATCATTGTAGTGTACGTTATAACATCAGGCGTTACTCCTTTGAGTGCGAGACTGCAATATAAATACCAAGCATCTTCCACCTTAGCAGCCTTGCACATACCTTTGATGATAATATTATACGTAATAATACCAAGATCCATTTCACTCTTTTGCATATCCTCCAATATCACCAATGCTCTTTTTAACTTCCCATGCTCACATAGACCGTCTAACAAAATGTTGTTGGTAAACATATCAGCAGGCACGCCACAAGAAACCATCCGACATAAAACCTTTTCAGCACCATTAAATTTCCCAACTTGAGAATAACCTTGGAGAAGAGTGTTGTAAGTGAATGAGTCACCAACCAATCCATCACGCAACATCACACAGAAGATTTCATCCCATCATCTACTCTCTTGGACATGCAAAATCCATTTATGAGAGTGTTATAAGTCACCAGATTTGGGAAGCAACCTTTCCTTACCATAAAACTAAACGTATTTTTGGCCTCATCTAGACGACTGTGAATGCAAAGCCCGTTGATCAATGAATTGTAAGTGACGATATTGGGATCTATTGACCTACGAATCATCTCCTTGTGCAGTTTTTTAGACTCTAAAAGCTGCCCATCTTTCACATACGCATCGATCATAGCACTGAAAGTGATTACATCCGGGTTGATTCCCTTCATCATCATATCGCTAAGTAGACGAGCAGAGACACCCCATATACTAGAATTGAAAAACCCAGTAATGAGAGAGTTGTAGGTAACAACATCCGGTCTAATTCCTGAATTCTCCATACGGTTCAAAACGTCCAGCGAAGTATTCAAGTGTCGGTTTTCGCAGAGACTATCAATGACCGTGTTGTAGATAACAACGTTAGGTTCATATCCCAATCCCACCATCTGATCAACCAGAGACATGGCATCGTAAATTCTATTCCCCTGACAGAATCCATTGACCAGTGAGCCAAGGGTAACTACGCTGGGCTCATAACCAAGCTTCATCATCTTCCCAAGAAAAGATAGAGCAAGATTAAGTTGAGCGCATCGGCATAGACAGTCTATTAAAATACTTAAGCTATAGAGATCATGTGGAATTCCCAACTTTTCCATCTGACTAAAGAGATATATCACAATATCATACTTCTTCATCTTGGCAATGGCAGTCAATAGTCTACTGAAATCAGCAACGGAAGGAAGGGGACGAGACTCAGCCATGTCACAGAACAAATCAAGTGCATCGTCCAAATTAATAGAGTGAAGCCCATTTCTCAATCTCTCTCGGTTATCACTGCTACCAGAAAATGCCCGGAAATCGGATAGGCTAAATGAGAGAGCAGCTCTAGGATTACCTTTCTCCAGAAGATGCCGATTAAGAAACCCTTCGCCGTTAACGCAATCGCAATCGATCTTCGCATCCCATGGATCTCGTTTCAGATGACTCGCTTCTTTCACAATCTTGCGGACTGTGTAAACGTCAAGCCGCGAACCCGAAAAGAAGATCTGACACGACGCCGAGCCGAGCCGGAAGGGATCTGATTATCTTCCCGTTGAGTTGATCAATGGTTTGGATAAAACGACAACGCTTTGTCAACGCAATTTTTGTTTCTGTTGTTTTCACATACACTAATTTGTCTGTTTGTTCTTTTGTTCGATTAATAACTAATGGAAACTAATTTCAATCATGGACATATGCAAGAAATTTCTATAATCTTGTTTCTTTTTTCACACAGAGAAAGCTAAATTATGTCATGGTTTCACATACGAAAATTGGTCAAATCACCTCGACGACCTCTTCACTCTGCTACATAAGTTACATACTCTCTATCATGAAGGAAAGCTACACATCATCGACAACGAGTCTTAAGGAACATGTTACGACTTAAGTTACAAGCTTTGCAAAATAAGCTTATTAGTTTAGGTCACAAATTCTCATGCCATGTTCGGTTCCACGTCTTGAGGGTTCTCCAGAGCTAATATATGCATCTTAAACAAAGCCGCAGCTTCTTCCCTCTTTTCGAGTTGTCCCAGCTTGTCGTATACCATCGAAATTAAGTACAAAGCTTCAGCTGCCAGTTCATGGTACTGCGCAATAAACACTTCGATTAATAAGCGAACCAACGGTGGATGACGGTACTAAGAATCCAATTTTTTCAGTTATGATGAGCTAAACCGAAGCCTGACCTTAGATATAAGATTTCGGTTTATTTTTGAATCAAAAGCAGCATATGATCTCTTATGCAATTATGTAGGCGATAGAATAGAGTTTAGGTTGTTTTTTTTTGAAACAAAAGCTACATAGCATTTTAACTGCCATAGGTTACCTCCAATGCCTCAAGCTCATCTGAAGCTTGTCTTAGAGAATCCAGGACAGTCTCAGAATCTGTGGAAACTGGTGAAATATATTTACAGCGCAAAAAAAAAAAGTCAGAACCAATTAGAAACGTGCAACTAGCAAGACAAAACTTTATTCGTAGAGACAAATTCTGTCCGTTACGTTCTGAACATCTACGTAGGTTAATATTACAGTGTTCCTAATGTCATTCACTTTAATTCAATCGGTTAAAATAGAGAACATGTTCGATTAGTTCTTTCATTGTTCCTCCCTTCTGAAAAGGCAATGACTACGCGAGATTGAATGCTTTCTCAGGCGAACGCATTTAAGGTTCAAAGCCATCTATGTGGCAATGGCATCACCCCTTTCATATTAAAATCATGATCATGCAACTAGGAAGTATGAACTATAGCCAATGCAGTACAAGAAAATAAAAGCTACCTGAAAAGCTTGGATCAGACAGATAGCAGTTTGCTTCAAAGATGTATGCTCGAGCACGCAACTCCAGTCCTCCATGGCCAAGAATCATAGGGAATGCCCCATGCAAAAGGTCTAGTGCCCGTTTGGCATGATTTGATCCGAGACCGAGCCACAGTTCAGCAAGCGTGAGAGTAGCCGATGCTTTGAGAAGATCCAAGTTGAATGACTGGCAAAACGAGATGCTTGCCAGCGCATATGGAAGACCCAGGACTGCATTTCCTGACTTCTGAGAACCAAAATGGGGGGGAAGGAAAAGGTGAAAGTCCGGCCAGAAAACCAATAAACTAATGACAAGTAGTCTAAGACCAGGAAGTAGAGGTAGAGAACATTCAGAAGAAATACATGCATGTTAAGCTATGATGCATGGAAAAAAAGCCAGAGGAAGAAAATGTTACTACTGCAATCTTGTAAGGCGGAAATAATATTCAATGAAATATCAGATTCCAATCAGTGTGCTCTCAAGCTACTAAATTCTTGTAGCCATGCCATACCTTATGGATCTCTGCAAGCAGAAGAAGAACAGACGCCTTTTCGATTTGCAAATTGAATTTGTGGCACGTGCAGAAGAGGGAGTGTGCCACATTTGCCGCCTGTATAGAACGTAGTACCAAAAGCAAAATGACGATTCACTAACAAAACATAGCACATGGCCTGTAATTATAGATAGCAGATGGTCAAAAAGGATTTAGAACAAACCTGGCTATACTGTTTTGCTGCAAGCAACGTCCTAGCTTCACGAAGACTTGCTTCTACTTTCAGCTCCATGTCTACACCCATGGTGGTTGATGCCAGGCCTCCTAGCTCATTGCACATTCGTTGAGCTAGTTTTAGATTCCCACTAATGGATTTAACAAAGTTAGAACGGCTGACTAAAGAGATAATTAATCCCGTACGATAGAGAGCTTCAGTTCAAATTCTATTTCCAAACGAATGTTTTATACAGTTTCAAAGCATTTGAATCTATCAAAATAACCTTCAAACAAAATATCAAACAGAAGCATTTTCTTTAGAATTCACGAGTGCTGTAAAATAGTGAAACTCAGAATAACTAAGTTGGCTAGACACCCCCTTCCTTTCCCGTAACCATGAAGCTACTCTGGACAAGGTGAGAGTATAACAAGAGGAGTGCCATGTATAGGAGTCTGGGAACCTTACCGATGCAAGGCATGTTCATGTAGTAGCTGCAACTTGAGCAACAACATTTTTGATTTTGATACGGTTAAGAACTTTTCCTCCGCAATCTTTAGAGCAGCGAAGGCATCTGGAATAGCATTGGTTTCAGAAAAGAAGTCAATGTAGGAAAAAAAAAACATGGCGCAAGATATTAGTAAATTCCCTGCGTGCAATAGAAGCAGCGGCATATAAACTTAATCAGAAAAATAAGCACAGAGTTTTGACTTTTCTACATTGACATGGTATTCCTTGTACATAAACTTGAACCAACATTATTGCCAATGTATTGGTCCATTCAAGAGGCCCTATAACAAGGCGTTCATGACCCTGTGCAAAGAATCTAACCTTTGTATCCCTTATATAGTGCCAAATGTTGAATGAGCTTCAAGTATGCTAACTCTGCATCAGATGAACTACAGATGCAAAAAATAGATCAAAATCACTTTTAGAAAAGGGAAAGAGCCAAAAAGGGAGAGGTATAGGAAGAGGAAGAGTGACTGAGAGTAGAGCAATAAAGTAATACATTTAAAGGAAAATTACCTCGATGAGTCACCAAATAAAGTTGCATACACCAAGGTATTCATCCGAGCCATTGGAGCGCTAACAAAAACAAATGTATAAACAAACTAATGAATTCATCAACATGAAGGCCTACATTAAACTTGCAAAAAACAATTTTAATTTCTAGTTATGTGGCAGAGCTTTCTAAGAAAGTAACAGTCATCTTCAAAACAGAAAGGCAACATGAATCATACCTGCCGAATAACTCCCATGAAGTAGCCCGAAGTAAATATGAAGCACCTATTAATTGTGATACAGATCCCGGAATCGAGACCAAACGATCATAGAACTGGAAAAAAATCGAACTCTTCCTAGAACCAGAGTCGTGGGAAAACATATCTTGACCCCACCGTTTTTGCAAGTTTTTAAGCCAGATTGTGCTTAGAGAACCATCAACTGTCATTGTAGAGTTTTCAGAAGAAAAGTCGCTAATTAGGTGTGCACCTAGTCTTATCTCCTGCCATGGATCATTCAAGAACTGATTAGACATCAAAAGGAGATGTGATATTTCATTCTAGTCAAAAAAATTAATTAGTATATTTAGTACCTTGCAGACACTAACTGGACAAGTTTTGTGACGAATAGAAGCTTTGGGACCAAACGACAGTAGAGGCCTTTGCACATGCTGTATTACAAAAAAAAAATAACTTTTCTGATTTAGTGTAAGCCAAAGTTAGATAAACAATGATATGGAGTTTGTCTCACAAGTTGGCAGTTATCAAAGAAGCAGAACAAAATAACAAAAAATTAATTTTAATTTAAGAATTCGGGCAAATTCAAGCTTTATATATCTATTACAGGGAAAAAAAGGAGGAAAGAGTTGAAATGACGACGCATGCCGAAAGGCAAACTAGTTATTTCTCTTTCTTTTAGCATATCATATATTTTCTAACAGAAATTGCGGACGCTGAAAATATTTTTCTAAGGAAACAAAAAACTTTAATTGCTCCAGCTTTTTCCTATCTATCTGTCCTATGTGCTTCACCCCTTTTCTTGTGTGTTTGGTTTTCTCATGAGCTAGATCACGAATTCTTCTGCAAAAAATTAAGCTCGAAAAATATATATTCCCCACATGTTTGTCTCTATAAAGAACTCTCTAAATGCTCAGACCACGGTGGTAATTCACTGGTTCTTTGTGCATCAAAAGATATGAGGGAACATGCATGGTTCTACATAAAAATCATACTAAAGATTTACAGGATAGATCAGAGATAAATATAAATAAATAGGGCAAAAACTTGGGTATAGAACTTACCATCAACTCAAATTTAGCCATCGCAAGATGATTAGAAGCCACTAAGCGTCTTAACTTTAAACTGTCAGCTCTCCTCAAAGACTCTTTCAAAAGTATATACACCCTTTGTTGTACAGATAATGAAGACGCAGTGCTAGTGACAGGTGAGTACGAGGATCCGAGAACACTGGTGGTACTTGCAATGCCCATTTCTGATAGCAAGTTGCTCATTGCTGCTAGTGTATAGGCTAGACACGTATCATTACTAAGCTGCAGAATTAACAAACGTATGAAAACCATAAACGAACTAAAGCTTGAACAGCAGTATTTTTAGACAATGTAAGCGCTCAATGTTGCTCATGTGAATGCATATTAGAGCCAAACAAGAGCAATGTGATCCTTCTAGCATGTACCGAATACAACAAATTACATATCTGCTAAGACTGCACAGCCATGGGACCACCTAAAAATCAGTACATAAATATGGGAGCACAGTGCAATAAATTTGGCAATTTAGACATAACTGGTTTTAAGAGTCCAAAATCGCTCACATAACTTGGTGATATAAGAATAGAGTAAACAAGCTGAAATTCCGCTTAAGGAAACTTTCATAAAAACACACGACCTGCAGGAATTTATCAAACACACCACTTTCTTCCGAATATACTATAAATAAAGCTAACAGCAGATGAATAAAGAGAGCATATACCTGCTGCGATACACGCACAGCTTCAGTTAAAACCTGTAATTGAGAAGAAACCATATTATGAGCAAAACAAATAAGATAAGACCGTATTTCATGTGTCTAGTGAGATCACTGATAAATGTGAAGTTAAGATAGCAAGTTCAGTAGTCACTTAATTCACAGTGAGCAAACTGAAGGTTAATATTGCATCTTTATATACCCAAACCGAGCTCACAAGTTTTTTCGACAAATATACCAAGGCTAAGACACGATGAAAAAGAAAATCTCCTAGAAAAGTTTTTGCAAAAGTCTGTCCTACCTCAAACATATCACTGCTTGTATAGGAAAAAATTCAAGGTTTCAAGTAAAATTTGTATATAAAGTTTGATCTAAGTAGCTCATTATGATTTCAAGTAATCTACCAGAGTGAAGGTGTGAGGTTAACAAACTCAAGAGACATCACAAATGGGCATCACTTATTATTAGCCTCACCAATAGCCCTGAAACGATCCAATCCAATAAGCTGGTCCATCCAAGCAGAATTTTAAAGGTCAAGTAGCTATTGAGAGAATTAATTCTCACCTCTAGAGCCAGATTAGGATGTCCAAAGCGGAAATGCATCATTCCCAAACATAGTAAAGCAATCTCGTATCTTCCATACATGCTGCAACCAGTTGAAGGAGGAACAAGGTCAAATCCCTCAGTCCCTGCACTTTTGGGCAATGGATCATGGATCAGCTCATGTTTGAAACACAGTTCTTAGTGCCACATATCTAAAAGGCAAACAGAACTGGATATTTACAGGAGTCACATGCAACCGATAAAAGCCTTCATCAGAATTATTATTATCAAAACTTTATAGGAAGCAGAGGCAAACATCTAAGTGTACAGATTACCTGTAATCAAAGTAACGGAGGAGATTATCCAAAGCAGAAAAATAGTCATCGCTGTGAAGTTTATTTAAGTAACGCAAAAAGTGAACCTGCATCATTGCATGCCGTAAATAACATGTAAGAATATCAATCAAAGAATGACTAAGTTATGAATCCACTGTAAACGAAAATATAAAAAAGTAAGACATTACACGATGCAACTCAGGGGCTAAATTCTGGAGCTGCTCAAGGAAACTTTCAATCGGACTTGAAGAGAATGAACTCCCATGGCTGACATCAGATTACAAGGAGATGAATTTTTTTCTTTTTTGAAAAATGGCAATACTTCTGACAGAAATATAACAGATAGTAGATACTAAGGAAATAAAGGCTTTACATTTCAATTTTATTAGCCTGCTCCATCAAAAACCCTTGAATCTGCAAATTTGTCCGAAGGAATAATGACTCATCAGCCAGCGTATCCTCAACTGTACTTGATGACGAACAGGCAACTGGGGTAGCCTCTGTAGTTTTCTTGCTGGTTCTTAATTTTTCCTTCCTAGTAATTAGCAAACCTGTAAGTTTCATTTGTTCTGTGCATTATTATAATGTTGAGAGCCTTACAAAACAAGTGAGTGCCAAAACACAATAATGAAAAATAACAAAAAAAGAAAAACTAAATTAGAGTATATTGTTTCTACGTTAAGGAAGGGAAATATCTTCAGAAGCTCAAAATTTGAACAATCTAAAAAAGTTTCATAGAATTCATCGGATAAAAATATGATACAGGTTGAACTTTGATCCTACCATTGATGCTAATGCATCAGAAAAGACAGGTTATCAAAAATATACGAGGAAAATAGCATCTAAATTACAGCCTGATCATGAATATAAAACCTCTATTTCCTCACTATTTTGTAGCACCTGAGAAATTCTAAGTTTTCTTCGAGCATGAATGCATGAATAATAAGGGATACCTTCTGTCACTTTGAAAAGTGCTTCCGGTGTATGAAGGTGAAAAGGGAGACTTCCACAAGCATTTTTCTGTAGCTCTAGTTTTTCGGTTGCTTTATCCATCACATACTCCATATCCATCTGATCATATTGTGTTAATGACTCCAGATTTTTATCAGATGCACCATACTGAGCAGAGTAACATAATTCTTCTTTGCAGTAAACTTCAATGCTCGAAAAAAGATGACAAACACCCTGCACAGGATTCACATATCAACGAAATGGACGGTTCTCTTTCAGACATTCACTTTTGTGTTTCAGCAGCCTAAAGACATTAGACGGAAAATGACAAGAGCCCGGCGCTGTATGACAGATATTTCTTATATTATTTTTACTATGAGAATTGGGTGTCCAAACCTAGGAAAAGGGAGAGCAATGAGGAGTTCGCTTATATTCATTCTGAACACTACAGCTATAAATTACACTTAATCAGGTCTGTCAGATTTCTGCCATCAGATCTCATATTTTAGGGCACTTATTAGTGGGTCTACATATTAAATTTAGCCTACACAAGTCCTGATAAATTTTTCGTGCTTTCTTTTCAGTTATGCAGCTTAGTGGGTCAAGAAACAAACAAATGCCGCATAGATATTTAGACTACAATAAGCCATAAGTGGAGCTGACGTATAAGCTATAAAATCTGAATTCTTAAAGCAAAACCTCAAAACAAATACCAAACGGTTTCTTTAGGATCTTAAGTTGAATAGTAGTAGTATTACTCAGTCTCAAAATAAATCAAGAAAAATAAAAACGTAGAATTCACAATACCTCGAACGATAAAAGGTTAAATGCCAAAATGCAACGACGAACAAACATTCCCAAGTTGCTGTTGGGATCCAAAATAATCTGATCATCTTGCACGAAACCGTTCCCAAGAATTCCTACATACAAAGAATGATAACTAATAAGATTCAAACATGATGAAAAGAAGAAAAACGGACCTTAAGAAAGCGGGTAGCTAACCTCGAATCTCATTGAAAAAAGTCATAAGATCATCTGGTGAAGACAAAGAGGAAAATCTTTTAATTAATTGGCCAGTTAGCCAGGCATCCATGCTTCCACCAATTCCCCTCAACTGGTGCAAGAGCTCTTCCAGAGTCGGCTCGAATATATCATCGCAAGACTGCAACATGAATAGGGGAAAAAAACATTTGTAAGCACACAAAACTAACAAATCCACACTCCATCATTCAACGAAACATAAAGCACAGAGAAACATGAAATCAACATAAGTCACAGAACTCTCACTGACTTCGAGCTGAACTAAAGCTCAAAAATAAGGCGGAGAAAAATTTAAGAAATTAAATAAAGAAACTCGATACAAGAGCAAAAGCTTCCAGTATAAGAGACGTGCCAGGAAACTCACAAGAATCAACACACATCGCTGTTATAAAAACCTAATAAGATAATGCAATTAAAGAGAAAACGAAGAGTGAAAACTGGAAAACCTTAGTGAGAGAGAGCAAGTAGAGGCCGAGGCGGTTGTGCTCAGAAACGGAATGGAAAGGGTAGGAAAGATACTGAGCAGAAGGTGCGTATATCTCCAGGAGAATGCAAACGGAGATCTTATGCGGAGTTACCGAAAAAGCCCCGGCTGTTCTCGTTAATCCGGCCATCTCTCGTTTTCGAACAACCGGCCGCTAAAATACTAACTCTCTCACTTTATATACACTCTTCAGCTCAATCTCTCGCCGGATATCTCCTCCGAGAAGCAGCCGGGATTAGGGCACCTTGGGGATTAATTTTGAAAAAAATTTGATTTGAGTCACCGGGAAAGTGAAAGTGAGAGCACTGGTTTTGAAAAGAAAAAACAAATCCGGAGTATCTTACCTAGAGGCCAGAGGTAAATGTTTAAAATAATTTTTATTTATTAGTAAATACAATCACAGCCGGGGATGTAGCTCAGATGGTAGAGCGCTCGCTTAGCATGCGAGAGGTACGGGGATCGATACCCCGCATCTCCATTCTATTTTGAAAATTTTAATGTTTTTCATCGTCTTCTCCGTTTTAGCCGGCTCCTTATTGTATTTTTTATTTAATTTTTTTAAGTTTGGAAACGTGAATCACCTTTAAGACATGTTTTAGTTGTACTTGCAACTTTGGTTTTAAAATCTATCTTCGTCGTTGACTCGAATCGTTTCAAGAAGCGATCGACTATAAACCAGTGGAATGGCATTTCCAGCAAATAATCTCTGCAATCCATCTCTTGCCTAAACGAAAAAAAAACTAATGGAGTCAACAGCCACAGTTGCGTTGGATCGTTCAACTCAACTAAAAGCTTTCGACGAGACCAAGACCGGCGTGAAAGGCCTTGTCGATGCCGGAATCGCAGAGATTCCGGCCATATTCCGTGCACCTCCGGTTACTTTAGCAAGCCCAAAACCACCTTCCTCAATATCATCGCAGTTCACGATCCCAACAATCGATCTCAGAGGAGGCACGGACTCGATGATCACGTCGCGTCGGAGCTTGGTGGAGAAGATCGGAGACGCGGCGGAGAGATGGGGTTTTTTCCAGGTGATCAATCACGGGATCCCGATGGAAGTGCTGGAGAAGATGAGAGAAGGGATTCGTGAGTTTCACGAGCAAGACCCGGAAGTGAGGAAAAGGTTTTACTCTCGAGATCCGAGTAGCAAGATGGTTTACAGCAGCAACTTCGATCTGTTTAGCTCGCCGGCTGCTAACTGGAGAGATACACTCGGTTGCTACACGGCACCAGATCCTCCAAATCCCGAGGACTTGCCCGCCACTTGTGGGTATGTTTCCAAATTTCTTTGTTCAAAGTTCAAATCAAATAATTTCCTTTTCTTTTTTGCGGGTCAAGCTATCTAGAAAGTGCTTTAGGACGAGTTTGAAGTTTGAACACATTAAACGACCCATTATGATCAATTTTTAATTGGATTTCTAAAATCAATTAGAATTAGATAGATCAATAACTTTGATTCATTAGTTCTGACTGTTGTAATTTGTTTAATGAAGAATCACGATTTTACTATAGTAAGGCCATAATACGCATATTTCTCCATGATTAAGAATTCAACAGATGACAAAGAATAAGCTATCTCTTATGCTTATTTGATGATAAATTTTGTCAGGGAGATGATGATCGAGTACTCAAAGGAAGTGATGAAATTGGGTAAGTTACTCTTTGAGCTTCTCTCAGAAGCTCTAGGGTTAAGCACTAATCACCTCAAGGACATGGATTGCACCAATTCATTGCTGCTGCTCGGGCATTACTACCCGCCATGTCCCCAACCAGATCTTACTTTAGGCTTAAGCAAACACTCGGACAATTCTTTTCTCACTCTTCTTCTTCAAGACCATATCGGAGGGCTTCAAGTTCTTCATGACCAATACTGGGTTGATGTTCCTCCTGTTCCCGGAGCTCTTGTCGTTAACGTTGGAGATCTTCTCCAGGTTTAGCTCATCCTTTTTTGGGTTTTTTTGATCAATGTATTTATATATGGACTGAAATCAAATCTGACTGTGCAGCTTATAACAAACGACAAGTTTATAAGCGTGGAGCATAGGGTTTTAGCGAATGGAGCTGGACCTCGAATTTCAGTGGCGTGTTTCTTCAGTTCATATTTGATGCCGAATCCTCGAGTCTATGGACCCATCAAAGAGCTCTTGTCTCAACAAAACCCTCCCAAGTACAGAGACACCACCATTACAGAGTATGCAAACTTCTACAGATCCAAAGGTTTCGATGGTACCTCTGGATTACTGTATCTCAAGATCTGATGAGACATGCCATACTGTATATCACTTGTGTCTAATAAAGATTTGATTTTATCTGTAATAACTTCTTTGTTCAATAATGAGACTTGTCTGCGCCGCCAGTGTTCAGAGCTGTTGTCTTTTTCTATAAACCTTATCTACGATCAATGGTTTTGCTGTAGCGAGTTGTCCCATCAGCCAACCCAAGAGAAACGTTTCAAGATTTTCCTTTGTGGGTTATGTTTATGTGTGACTGTATATATGTATCAGATTGTTCTGTTTTCTGATAAACCAAAACCGATGGAGACGACGAAGATTGATTCTTTCGATCGTGCCAGTGAGCTTAAAGCTTTCGACGAGACGAAAACGGGTGTGAAAGGACTCGTCGACGCCGGAATTTCACAGATTCCACGCATATTCCATCACTCATCTCTCAATTTAGCAACCCCGAAGCCACTTTCCTCGGACTTGCTACATCTCACGACGATCCCAACGATCGACCTCGGAGGAAGAGTCTTCGAGGACGCGATTAAGCGCAAGCACGCGATTGAAGGAGTTAAAGACGCAGCAGAGAAGTGGGGTTTCTTCCAGGTGATCAACCATGGAGTTTCACTGGATCTTCTCGAGAAGATGAAAGATGGAGTTCGTGGGTTTCACGAGCAATCCCCAGAAGTGAAGAAACAATTCTACGGCCGAGATTTCACCAGAGAGTTTCTGTATTCAAGTAATTTCGATCTCTACAGTTCTCCAGCTGCTAATTGGAGAGACACTTTCTCTTGTAACATCGCTCCAGATCCCCCAAAGCCACAGAACCTGCCAGAGATTTGCAGGTAGCTTCATCTTTATTAACCTATGTTCTAGTTTGTCATGAATCAACAACAACGGTCTGAAATAGTTTCACGGTCTAAAATGATTTCAGGGATGTTATGTTGGAATACTCACAGCAAGTGATCAACTTGGGGGAATTTCTCTTTGAGCTTTTATCAGAAGCTCTGGGGTTAAACCCTAATCACCTCAATGACATCGATTGCTCCAAGGGTTTGCTCATGCTTAGCCATTACTACCCACCGTGCCCAGAGCCTGAACTAACTTTAGGCACAAGTCCGCATTCCGACAACTCTTTTCTGACGGTCCTTCTTACAGATCAGATAGAAGGGCTTCAAGTTCACCGTGAAGGTTACTGGTTCGATGTTCCTCCTGTGCCCGGCGCACTCGTCATCAATATCGGAGATTTTCTTCAGGCAAGCTTGCACTATCAGTGCAGTTCTGCATTGTATAAATTAACGACCTTCCTCTTCGTTAAATGGTTTTTATTTTTGGGGTTTTGATGCAGCTTATAACAAACGACAAGTTCATCAGTTTGGAGCATCGAGTATTGGCGAACAGAGCCACAAGAGCTCGAGTCTCCGTCGCGTGTTTCTTCAGCACCGGCGTGAGACCGAATCCTAGAATGTACGGACCCATTAAAGAGCTTGTATCTGAAGAAGACCCTCCAAAGTACAGAGAGACCACCATTAAGGACTACTCTACTTACTTCAATGCTAAAGGACTTGACGGAACCTCTGCTTTGCTCCATTTTAAGATATGAACATGGTGAGCTACTACTTTCTCACATATATTCGACATGAATATATATGTAATATATTTAGATTTGCAGAATAAAATTACTTGAAAAAAAGGTCAAAAGAGTGCCTGAGGCAGAGAATTCTCAAGAGGTTCATAAAGATCACTGTTTATACATTACTCTTAAAAATCTTATAAAGTTCAATAAAAGCCGCAAATAAGAGATCTTCATTGCTCATGAGTCATGAATATGATAGCCATATGTAAGTAATACTGTTCTGTACGAAAGCCAAGTTTCAGAAAGAAACTACCGAGTTTGGTTGTTGCACTGAATGCTGCAGCTGTGATATATCTGAGTCTTCTTCATCCTCCTCCATCACTTCAAGTTTCCTGCATCACACATATTCATGGGTCGATTATAAAGTTTTCATGGCTCGTCCTTGGCAATAGCCATAAATATCGTTGAGATATACAGTTAGTACCTTCGAGGGAATAAACTCTGACCACCTTCTTCCGAAAGTGCCTTCTCCAGTCTCACCTCGAATGGTGTTGCATGCCAACTCACTTTCTGATCCTGCGTAAGGTAAGAAGAATGTAACAACTCATGATGTATAGTTTCTGAATATTAGAGGAACATAAAGCAGAAGATTAAACACGAGGAATAAATACCTCCTTGTACTTGGTAGTGGAATTTGGGATCCCATTCCCATCCCACCATTTGGGTGAAATCTCAGTTTGCGCATTCTCATTCCAGTGAGCAGCAACCAATCCAATAATAGGCCTATCACCTGGAGTCATGGCATTGATTCCAGGTGTCCTATCCTTTAAAACCCCAATCTTTTCGTTACAGTCTTCGTTAATCGGTTTTAGCCAAGGAGAAAAGCTTGCCTCAAACTTGGACAATTTCTCATCTGAGCTTTCTTCCACCTTTTCCACATAAGTTGCTGAAGTGGGAGTTTCGCCCTCTATCTGCTCTTTGTAAACCTGCGATTGAGCTTGTTCTAGGCTCCCATGTAATTCACCGTTGACCTTATACAAGGATGCATTTTCCATTAGATTGGAAACTGAATGCACAAACTGTGACCTGATTCTAGGCCTTCCCCTTCCTGCTGATTCCATGTTTGCAGGATATATGGTTCCGGGAGTTTGCATCTCATCAGATAGCTTCAATGGGGTTGGATTAGGCGAGCTCACTGTAAAACTAATTTTGCCACCCATCTCTGGTTTTCTTGAACTGCTATTCTCGGAAGAATTAGAAGAGTGAGATTGATCAAGATCGCATTCAAACCGCACAGACTTAGTCTTTCCAGCTGTGAGCATTGGCTTGTCAGATCTATCAAACTCACCCTTGAAAGCAGTGCCAATGCTCTCTACTTCATCAGCATCACAAGAAGCAGGTGAGATCCTTGCAGTGTCCCGGACATCGATTATGCAGCTAATATGAAAAAAGAAATTGGTGAATTTCAGACCCAAATATCTGGTATGATGTGAGAATAATGTTATCATAGAAACACGGGAGTTATAAAGAAACCATGCCAATTCTATCAAGCATAGCGCGAGGAGGCGAAATGCTTGTTTTATTAAACAAAGTAAACTCTACTCCTCTACCTGCTTGGTGTTTGCTCTGAAGTAAATGATGGTCTTCCCACCTTTTCACAAGCTTTCATGGGGGTTGGGGATTCATCCAAATGAAACCCTAGCGCAGAACTACTGGAAATCCATGAATGAAAATGGGAAGATCCAGAATGTTGAGGGCTAGATAGATTGTGTGATGCTTTCCTAATTTCAACAGGCGTCTGCGGTATAGTACCACAAGCTTTAAGAAACCGTGCCTATGATTCCACGAGTAAAAACTTAATGGTTAGACTCTCAGAATGAACTCCTAAAAGATGGACAATCAGATTCTATTGATATATGCAGAGAAAGGATTCTCGGAATTCAGAAGAGCTATCACAACTAATTACCGACAGAACGGCACAGTCTTGATCGGCATAAAAGAAATACATGCTCTACTATAATCATACCTCATCCCTTAGGCCTTTGTCAATGTGTATAGAATCCAAATCAAATCTTTCTTTGTCAAGGCAAGGAGAAGAAGCTGATTTCTCTGGAAAATCAAGAACAACACACTTACATTAGCAAGAACGGTACAAAAACAAGTATTCATCTCTATTCCTGATACATACACATCAGAAAGAGACTTACCTTCAGACAGAAACAAAGCGGACAAATGATTCTGCGAGTCCTGACCTTTCTGAAGATAAAACAATAAAAGATGTTAGGAACACGAAATTCAGGGTTAGATTCATGTGATTTTGGTCAAGAAAGGCAAAGAAACGATATTTGTTTTAGTCTATAGTCATCAGAAGCCAACAGATTACATGCGTCATACAGAAATCCAGCTCAATTAAAGAACAAGCCAACAGATTACATGCGTCATACACAAATCCAGCTCAACGAACAAACAAGACATTGTGATTTACCTTCCAAGGATCAATTTCATCTACAATCATATTGTAACAGCTAAATTAACACCAAAAGGGACGCGATGATGGAAAGAAAAGGTGCGAAAAGCATGAGAAGCGAAAGAATTACTTTGGATCTGGCGAGTGAAGAGTGGGAGACGAGATTACTAGTAGACCGGTCGTCTCTGGCGCGGAAGCAGTCGAGGAAACAAGCCATGAATCTACAAGCCGATGTATCGATAAATCTGAGCACGGATCTGCAAAAGACACTTAGGTTCCGCTTCATCAACAGGCGTCTCATATCATTTGATTTCTTGATAGGCGAATCAGTGACCGAGAAACTTAGAGGTCTTTTTCAATCAAGAGGAAAAGATTTTCCCGAGAAACACGCAGAAAATGAGAGAGGAAGCCGTTTTTTTGAAATTTGAAACCAAAGAGTGCGAGAGGGAATGAATCAGGTGCGTGCGGGTCTTTCCGATCAAGAAATAAAATAAAAACGTGTTTTACCAAAAAAGAAAGATATAAAACGTGTATTGATTACTCTCGATTTGATTACGATACGTGTCGAGATTGTACCAAACCATGGTTGGTATATTTGATTTGCGAATTTCTGTTATGGGCCTTTCAGAAGAATTGGCCTAAAAGCGCCAGACTCCGAGTTGTGTCATCAGCCCATGCTCGATAAGGAGTTTTTTTTTCTTTTTTCTTTTTTCTTAAAATAATAAATAAAAATAATATAATGTTGCACAAAAAAGGGTAAAGGAGGGAGGCGGAGAGCAGAACGTAACTCATCAAAGAGCTACTCTCCGAACTCTGAAGCTCACTCTTTTGACACAGGCGATACAGTGTCTGCTCACCAGTGTTGAGAGAGAGAGAGAGAGGTAGAGAACGCCTAAGAAACGATGGGTAAGAAGTTGTATTTGCGTCAAGATACAGAATCCTCTCGGGTTTGGGCCCCCAAATTCCTCGCGGAGTTTCGCGCCTCCGGGAAAGAGTGTGAGTTACCTCTTCGATTTTTTTGAATTTGATTCTGTCTCGAGAGTTTATAGGATGAACAAATCTCTTCCTTGGATCTTAATGGTTCCCAAGTCTCAGATGAACTCCAAATACTCCCTTTCTGCTTTGTTTTTTGTTTTGTTTGATTGATTTAAGTGTTTTTCCTCTCTTTTGTAGCTCACACATTTGACAGTACTCTTACAAATAGCGACCGTGGCATTATTCATCACATGTGCCAAAAGATGGGTATCCGATCAAAAAGTTCAGGGTCAGTCACAGCGTAATTCAGTTTTGGATTTGTACTGTACTTGAGAGCCTAATTTCTGATTCCCTTGGATTCTGTGTAGGAGTGGGGATCAAAGGCGTCTTTCGATTTTCAAATGTGTAGCTGGCACTTCAATGTCAGACAGGGCAAAAAGGTTGGAGGGAAGAAATAAGCAAAGCGATGGCAAGGGAAAGGTTGCAGAACGTGCCAGTAGAAAGAAGCTCAAATGTGTGTCATTCCCACAAGAGGCAAAACCTGTTCTGCAGGAGCTGTTTACTCGCTATCCACCTTGTGACGGAGATACTACAGGGACATCACTTGGCATATATACTGGACACTTTGGCGATCAACGGAAATGGAAAGATGAATTTTTCGGGAAACCTCAGATGAAACAAAAAGATGTTCTAAGTAAGGCGGCATCTCTGAGTTCTAGACTGGCAAACGATAAAAAATTTCGGGAGGTTAGCAGTTAATGTGTTTTCAAATGATTTGTAATATAGTCCTCTATACAGGATCTAGTTTCAGAAGTTTTATACGCTTGCAAGTGAAAGATATACCCTTGTTTTTGAATGAGGTTACAGATCTTTAAAGCACGAACGAAGCTTCCCATCGCATCTTTTAAAGATGCCATCACATCTGCAGTGGAATCCAATCAGGTTATATTGGATTTCAGATCTGTTATTTGTTCTTCTATTTCATTATTTGGGATGTGAATTTCTCAGTTGTGGTTTCAGTGGGGGTTTTCTACTGATTTTGAAAGAGTTTTTAATACTGATATTCTAAATGCAGGTTGTTCTTATTGCTGGTGAAACTGGTTGTGGAAAAACTACTCAGGTTCGTCTTTCCTCTTGTCTTTTGTATTGGTGGAGCCAATAAATTTATCCATCATAGGTTTTGATTCCACGTCCAAAGCTACATAATATTGAGATTAAGTGTTATGGTATAAGGGTTTGTGCTATGTGCTTGGATATGGTAATACCATATCGATTTTATTTATATAGCGTTTTTGTTTGAAATAGGATTTCGTTTTTTTTTCCATCTGTGAAGTTTCTCAGGTTCCTCAGTTTTTATATTTTAGGTGCCTCAATATCTTCTAGATCATATGTGGTATAGTAAGCGAGAATCTTGCAAAATCATTTGCACCCAGCCACGTCGTATCTCAGCTATTTCAGGTAAGTATTTATCGGATTCAAGTGCTGTGAATGTATCAGCTTTGTAATTCTAATGCATTCCGTGCAAGCTGCTAACTCCTAGCTTAATGCCTTCTTTTCCTATTTTGAAGTTTCTGAACGAATTTCTTGGGAAAGAGGTGAGACTATAGGGAAAAACGTCGGCTACAAGGTAAGGGCCTTTTTTGTTTGTTTGACATAAGCTATTCCATATGATAGACACATGTTAATGGCTACAAAAAGAACTCCTCTCTCAATATATCATTGACTTTATGATGCAATTCTAGGTGCGGCTGCAAAGTAAAGGTGGAAGACAATCATCAATTGTTTTCTGCACGAATGGCATTCTGTTGAGGGTGCTTGTAGGCAAAGGCGGTGGTAGTTGTATTCCTGATATAACTCACATTATTGTGGTAACACATTCTTGTTTGATTCATGATTTTTTTTTCATGTGTTTATGAAGTGTGCTTTTTCCGTTCATTTACATGATTAAAGTTTGTTTGGAAAAAAATTATCATGAAATTGTCACTATCACTTCTGTTAGCCGTTTCTGTTTGTCATCTTAGGTTCTTGTCGTTGTGCTCGTCGGCTGTAAATTGATTTTGTAGTTGTCTAAATTGGTCAATGACCTGTGTTACTTTGTAGGATGAAATTCATGAAAGGGATTGCTACTCTGATTTCATGTTGGCGATTATAAGGTACACACTCTAGCCTTCTTGAACACTGTTGTGCTCAGCTTCTCAAAGCGAACCAAAACTCCAATCGATATGTCAAAAAAAAAAATGATCATATGGCTATCGTTCAATTGGTGTCACACTGTAATTTAGTGATTTATGCCAAAACTGTTATACTATGTTGTACATTTTTATTTGAATTCTTTAATTGAAGCTAAGCCATGAAAAGATAAATTTTGTGATGGCTTTTGGTGATTTTCTTTTATTTGAGTGAAACTCAGATCAATTTGTGATGGCTTTGTTTGTTTGCAGGGATTTCCTTCCTTCAAATCCTCATCTCCGACTGGTTAGTTCAGTTATACTCTTCTTCGGTTTCCACTTTTATGATATAGCTAATTGAAGAATATTTTTTTTTTCCTGTGGCAACAGATTCTAATGAGCGCAACTCTTGATGCTGAGAGGTTTTCCGGATATTTTGGAGGCTGCCCGGTTGTCCGAGTGCCTGGATTCACTTATCCAGTTAATTCCTCTCTCTCTCTTCTTCTCTCTCTCGATCTGCTTTAGTCTCTTTGAACTGGAAAGTAATATTTTTGCGTCTGTATATGCAGGTGGGAACCTTTTATCTTGAAGATGTGCTCTCTGTCCTGAAATCAGACAAGAATAATCATCTGATTTCTGCAGACTCGAACATAATAGTTGGCAAGCGTGATATTACAGATGAAGATAAAGTTGCTTTAGATGAAGCAATCGACTTGGCATGGAATAGTGATGAGTTTGATGCTCTCTTAGATCTAGTTTCTTCTGAAGGAAGTCATGAGGTTCATAATTACCAGCAATCATCGACCTGGCTAACGCCACTTATGGTCTTTGCTGGAAAGGGAAGGATTACCGATGTCTGTAAGCTCCTCTCACTTGGCGCCGACTGTAAACTGAAGTCCAAAGAAGGTATAACTGCATTAGAGTTGGCCGAAAAAGAGAATCAATTTGAAGCTGCTCAAATAATCAGGGAACATGCGGATAACTTGCAGTCCAATTCTCAACAATCACAAGACCTACTTGATAAGTATATGGCGACAATCAATTCAGAAGAAGTAGATGTGGGTCTTATAGCACGTTTAATCAGGAAAATATGTACCGGTTCAGAAGTTGGTGCCGTTCTTGTTTTTCTACCTGGATGGGAGGAGATAAGTAAAACGAAAGAGAAATTGCTTGCTAGCCCCTATTTTGCAGATACTGCTAAATTTAACATTGTATGTCTTCACTCAAGGGTTCCGGTAGAGGAACAGCAGAAAGTTTTTCAACGCCCCCCTCATGGTTGTCGCAAAATTGTGCTTGCGACAAATATTGCTGAATCAGCAGTTACTATTGATGATGTGGTCTATGTGATAGATAGTGGCCGGATGAAGGAAAAGAGTTATGATCCTTATAATGATGTGTCAACGCTCCAATCTTCTTGGGTTTCAAAAGCAAATGCAAAACAGCGGGAGGGTCGAGCAGGGCGGTGCCAACCTGGCATTTGTTATCATCTCTATTCTCAACTTCGGGCAGCCTCTTTGGCTGAATTTAGAATTCCTGAAGTTAGGAGGATGCCAGTAGATGAACTCTGCTTGCAGGTGCTGTTCTTTCTTTAGTAGATTTTGTCTGTATTGTCTATTGTCATTCATGCATGGTAGCATCCTGTTTGAGGCTTCTTGGGTACGTGATATCTTACTGATGTCCTTAAAAAATATGTTCAGGTTAAAATGCTGGATCCGAGTTGCAACGTAAATGATTTCCTTCAGAAATTGATGGACCCGCCTGTTGATCAGAGTATTGCAAATGCCTTAACCACCCTTAAAGACATTGGTGCTTTGACACCTCAAGAAGAGCTAACAGAACTTGGACAGAAATTTGGTCAGCTTCCAGTTCATCCTCGGATAAGCAAGATGCTTTATTTCGCCATATTAGTGAACTGTCTGGATCCAGCACTTATTTTGGCATGTGCAGCCGACACCAAGGATCCGTTTACCATGCCCTTGATGCCAGGTGAAAAAAAAAAAGCTGTTGCCGCAAAACTTGAACTTGCATCGCTTTATGGAGGCCACAGTGATCACCTTGCGACTGTCGCGGCTTTTCACTGCTGGAAAGATGCCAAAAGAAATGGTCAATCTCAGGAGTTTTGTTCTCAGTACTTCGTCTCCCCAAATGCCATGAAGATGCTGGATAATATGCGTGACAAGCTTCACGGGGAACTTCAAAGACATGGGCTAATCCCTAGCAATGATTCAAAATGTAGTCTGAATGCTCACGATCCGGGAATTCTCCGTGCTGTTCTAGCAGTAGGATTGTACCCTATGGTGGGAAGAATGTGCCCACCTTCCAAGAATAATAGAAGGTCTCTAGTAGAGACTATTACTGGAGCCAAAGTTCGTGTGCTTTCAAACTATTTCAACATGTCCTCTGGCAAGGATGATGAAGCTATAATTATTTTTGATGAGATCACTCGAGGAGATTGGGACGTGCACATAAGAAAAAGTACTGCTCTTCCCACTATACCATTGTTACTCTTTTCAGGAGAGATAGCTGTGGCTTCTACAGAGAGCTGTGATGCTGATAAGAGTGATGACGAGGAAGACCACAAAGTAGAAAATGTAGATGTGATGCACATAGATAAAGCAGGTGGTAGGCCTGGAGAGAGAATAATGCTCGCACCGGAAAATTCAGTCCAGGTGGTTGTGGATCGGTGGCTCCCTTTTGAGATTACAGCTTTTGAAATTGCCCAAATGTACATCTTGAGAGAGCGACTAATGGCGTCCATTTTGTTCAAGGTACATTAGTTACTACATACTAATTATGATGATATTCAACATTTAATGGCATCCTTTTCAACCTATCATTTGCATTTTGTAGGTAAAACATCCACAAGAAAATTTGCCGCCACATCTCGGAGCTTCTATGTATGCAATAGCATGTATTCTCTCATATGATGGCCTCCCCAAACATTCAGTTCAAACTGTTGCTGTGGAACCCATTGCTTCAGTGGTAGATGCAACGGGTCTCAGAGATGACATACCTTCTGCTAAACCCAATGGGAGTCAGAAAAATGACCCGAACAATACTCCAATGGGGTCAAAACTCAAATCAGCCAATACGTCAGGTTTGTGTAACATGGAAGAGAGCTTGCCTTCCAATCTCGCTGATGGGAATGTGCAACCTGACCCAAACACTGCTCCAATGGAAGCTGTTTCAGCGGTTCAGCAACCAAAGAAGAAGCAGTCAAGGTCCAAAAGGTGCAAGTCAGTCAATAACGTGGATTTGGGGAACATGGAAGACAACACGCCTTCTGATCTGGCTAATGGGAATGAGCAAACAGAGGTTAAGCCAGCCAACAAATCGGATTTGGGTTTCATGATGGAGAGCTTGCCGTCCAATCTTGCTAATGGAAATGAACAAGACCCAAACACTGCACCGACCGAAGCTGCTTTGGCAGTTAAGGAACCAGAGAAGAAGCGATCAAGGTCCAAAAAGCGGAAATCAGCCAACGAATCGGATTTGGGTAACATGATACAGAGCTTGCCTTCTACTCTTGCTAATGGAAATGGACAACCTGACCCAAACACTGCTCTGACAGAAGCTGCTTCCGCAGTTAAGGAACCAGAGAAGAAGCGATCAAGGTCCAAAAAGCGGAAATCAGCCAACAACTCGGATTTGGGTAACATGGAAGAGAACAAGCTCAAGTCGGACTCAGGTAAGGAGAAAGAGAGCATCCATGCCAATCTTGCCAATGGGAATGAGCAACCTGACCCAGCCACTGCTCCAATGGAAAATGCTTAGCTAGGTACTTGAATTCAGGTAATAACATATATGGAAGAGAACGTGCTTTCCTCTAATGGGAATGAACAATCAATAAACAGTGGTCTTACCGAAGCTGTATAAGCAACGCTGAAAATGAAACCAAGAAAGTGACGGACAAAGCAGAAGAGAAGTGAGATGCCCATTGCACCATTGCACTTCGTTGTTTAATGGCCGTTATTTATCTACACAAATTTTTACAGATATTATTGTTGTTCACGATTACTTTTTAAAAGTTAGATATATGTAGATTCTGCTTCTGAGCCAATCTTTCCTGTTGCTTCTGTTGTTAAAACATTTAAGACCAGAAATCTTTTATCTAAAACTAATGTTACGTTTTCCTTAATTGATATATACATGTAACTGAAAGATGATGTTTGGAGTAAACAAATACAATCGAACGTTTTCATTGATCAATCTGACGTGGAACAAGAACATAGCGTATCTGCCACGTGGCGCATTACAAGACCTCAACAACCTTATCTGGACATCAACAGAGAGATCCTCTAATATCCGAAACCAACCAATCAGCTTCACTCTTCATTTCACCTCCATACATTATCACACTCCACAATCCTCAAAACACACTTTCATCATAACTTAACCAGAGAGAAAGAGAGAGAGACAACAAGAGAGAGAGAGCAAGAATGGCGTACAGCGCGTGTTTCCTGCACCAGAGTGCACTGGCCTCCTCCGCCGCACGATCATCATCTTCCTCCTCATCCCAACGCTACGTGTCACTCTCCAAACCCGTCCAGATAGTGTGTAAAGCCCAACAGCCTCATGAAGACGATAACTCCGCCGTCTCTCGCCGTCTCGCTCTCACACTCCTCGTCGGCGCCGCCGCCGTTGGTTCCAAAGTTTCTCCCGCCGATGCCGCCTACGGTGAAGCTGGTGCGAAAAAAAACAACCTTTTACATGATTTCATTTTCAGATCAAAATATGATCAACATTTCAAGGGTACAAGAATCTTAAAAAACTGAACTTTGGTTTTTAAATTTTATGTTGTTTGGTTTGCAGCAAATGTGTTTGGAAAGCCAAAGGCGAACACAGACTTCACGGCATACAGTGGAGATGGATTCAAAGTGCAGGTGCCAGCAAAATGGAACCCAAGCAGAGAGATTGAGTATCCAGGACAAGTCCTTAGGTACGAAGACAACTTCGACGCCACTAGCAATCTCAATGTCATGGTCACTCCTACCGACAAGAAGTCCATCACTGATTACGGTTCTCCCGAAGAGTTCCTCTCTCAGGTCTATTTTCCATGACCTCTACAGAGTTAGTGATGAATGAAAATCCAATAATCTGTGAGATTTTAATGGTGATTCAATTTTTGGGTCTTTTTGCAGGTCAATTATCTCCTAGGGAAACAGGCTTACTTCGGTGAGACTGCCTCTGAGGTAAGCTTCCCATTTCCTCTTGTTAAAGAAAAATTGAAGCTGGAAGAATAGAATATGAGAATCACCATTGTTACCTTATGTGCATTATTGAGTTCATAACTGTGTGTGTGTGAATGTGATTTTCCTTGCAGGGAGGCTTTGACGCTAATGCAGTGGCAACAGCAAACATTCTTGAGACAAATGTTCAGGAAGTTGGTGGGAAACCCTACTATTACTTGTCGGTGCTGACAAGAACGGCTGATGGAGACGAAGGAGGCAAGCATCAGCTGATCACAGCCACTGTGAATGGAGGGAAGCTTTATATCTGCAAAGCACAAGCTGGAGACAAGAGGTGGTTCAAGGGAGCCAACAAATTTGTCGAGAAAGCAGCCACTTCTTTCAGTGTTGCTTGAATGAAAGCAACACAACAGAACAATGCTCTGCTTTCTTTCTTCATTTGTCTCTTGTAAAAAAAGGAAAATGAAACTGAGCTTTCTAGAACTATCAAGATGATTCTCTACCTTTGCGGCTTCACTTGTTTACTTGTGATAACAGACTCTCGTTTTCCATTCTTGATAAAAAAAATTATATTCGGTAGATCTTTGCTCATTTGTATAGGAGTGCTCAAATTAAAGACACTGACTTTAGGAAAAGGCTATAGATTAATTCTAAATCCTTGAAACCTAAAGACATTGAAGAAAGCCTGTTTGAAGCTGAAATAACTAGAGGTATGAATGAAATGGTTTTCCTAGTTCAACAGAAAAACGCAGAAGAATAGAGACGTGTGATTATCATCAATAGACATCTCTTAAAGCAAGCAAGTTTCAAAATCAATTGTTTGGCTACTTAAAAAATATATATATCCAAGAAGCAAAGCGATTTTATTTGTATACTTGTATTAGAACACTTCACCATCACCTATATGCCACTTTGAATTCATATCGTAACTTTTGAGCTTTACAAATGCTACACACAGAAACTTTACGAGTTCAGAGATACTCAACAGGGAAACCGACAACGGGGTTAATCTCAGAGGCCATAGACCGTAGCTCAGCCACTTCATTGTCTGTCAGAGTCCATCCTATCGCTCCCGCAAACTCTTTGGCCTGTTCCGCATTCTTGGCTCCTGGGATTGGTATCACGTTCCCTTGTGCCACCAACCAGTTCAATGCTACCTGCACAGCACAAGACAAGAACACAATAAAAAATGATATATTCGATGTTAATGAGGGCTTCACTATTTACGGTTTACTCTTCTAAGTGAGCCTTGCTCTGTCATATGTGCTCTCACATGATTTTTTATTTAGTTCTGTGGAGACATTGAAATTGACAAGAAGTAACAGTACGAACTAATATGTGCCTTGAAGTGTGTGTTGCGTGTGTATTCACATTATAACGATTGATGAAACAATATGATCATGCAAGTGTCTAGAGTAGGATTACCATGCAGTGGGTGTACAACTTGGACGGCTCAACATGGATCACAAAATTACTCTTGTTTCTTTTCTCTTTAATTTATAGACTTCAACGTTGACGAGGGAAAAGAAAGATAGGAGTGCATTAGGAAAAGAGAAAGAACCTGTGTGGGAGTTTTGCTGTAGTTTTCGCCTATTTGTTTGATTCTATTCAGCAGGGGTTGAAGCTGTAATCACAGGTCATAATTAGTGAAGAAACCTGGCAGGATTATGCTATGTTTTGATCATTTTATAATATATGATTGGTGGGTGTGTTTTGTAAGATGATGTATGCATTTTCTCAAACAGCATTTAGTAGAGTAAGGCGCAGGGGAAATTCAGCAGGTTTATAACAGTATAATGTAAAAGTTATCAAAATTCAAAAAAAGCCGTTTGCTTAGAAGCCTTGAGGGCTATGACAATGTAAGTATATTTTTGCAGACATGTAGGCCTATGTTTAATACATGCAGTCAAATCTATTACCTTTGTTAAGAACTCACGAGTATAAATGCGACCCCGAGGACCTGAGGGTGGGTTCTCTGGGGTGTATTTGCCAGTTAGAGCACCTGGAGAAAAGAAAAAGAAGATAACAGATGTTCAGTGGCCAGGTTGTTTTGAGTTAATACTATAAGATCCTTATGCAACTTTTCCAGAGAACGATGGACATGCCTACAAAGTAAAGGAGGAGATAGAGGAAAAACACCTTGAGCGATGGGGGAATATGCAATCAAAGTGACTCCCAGCTCATCACAAGCAGCCTTTACACCAGTCTGCTCTGGAGCTCTGTATATCAGACTGTAGTTGACTTGATTTGATGCCAGAGGAATTCCTCTCTTTTTAAGTCTCTCATAAGCATCACGTAGTCTCTTCTCTGACAAGCACGACCCGATACAGATTGAAAAGTTCAGTAAAATAACATCATTAGATGAGCGTATGAAGCTATCCTGATTCAAAAGTCTTTTCCTTTCAAGAGCCTATCATCACTGAGAAGGAGAAAAAACAGATTGAAACGATACCGCTATAGTTAGAAACACCGACAGCCTTCACAAGTCCTTGTTCAACAGCATCCCCAAGACCATCGAGATATCCTAAAACATAATTCATCGTGTCACTGGATTTGATATGATTACCAAAAGTGACAAGACTCTTGTTCAAAGTATATATCTTTAATGCTGCTTTTAAGAAAGAAAGAAAGAAAAAAAACCTTCATTTCCCCATAGTCCCGGCCTGAAATTAAATCAAGCAAAAACGGTGAGATTGTTACCAATGGAGTTGATAGAGATCCATATATTACCAATGGAGAATTAGGAAAACATATATTACCAATGGAGTTGATAGAGATCCACAGACTGAAGGCCAAGCCGGTCAAGTGAGTCTTTAAGGGCAGTGATAACACTTTGACGACCCAATCGCCATGGCAATGCAGCATACTTGGTTGCAACTGAAACCTCAGCTCCGGGATATCTCTCTTTTCTCTCCCTGATGAATCTGTTCACCAATGAAAGCCAAGAGGAATTATATCTATGACGATCGTATAGGACGCAGCTACATTCTTGGTAAAACAAAAATGTACCTTCCTAGCAGAGTTTCAGAGCTTATAGCACCCAGAGAAAACTAGAGAAGATGGAAACAAGAATGTTATCGGTATTAAAATAAACAAAACAAACCATAAATAATAATACTCAGCTTTCTGGTTCTTACCTTGGAACCATAAACTTCTGCGGTATCGAAAAAATCTATACCGTTGTCAAGACTGGTATCGAATGCACCTTTGGCAGCCTTCAGTTTCCTGTCTAACCATCACAGAAAGGAAAACAAAAAAAAAGCAATCTTTGTTCATTTCAATATTTTATGAATTGTTTGTGACACTTGAAAGAGAAAGGCAAATAAAAAAGGAATCTTTATTCATTTCAAAATTTAATACTTTGTGAAACATGAAAGAGGGAAATTGCACACTGACCATCCCACTGGAAGTCATTCCAGTAACTGTTATCACCCCATGACCAGACTCCGATCCCAAGCTTCGTCACCTTCAGATCCGAGCCACCCAGTTTCACTTTTGACTCTTCCGACTTCACCGGAGCCGCGGAATCGCCGGAGGCTACTGCTCTGACCAGCTTCGGAACGAACTTTTCTCTTCCACGGGAGCCTTCGGAAACAACATAGTTGAATGGGAAGGTGAAGTGCGTAGCCATGGCCATGGCGTTTTTTCTTCTGCGATGATGATTTCGAGTTGGAAGAAAATTCGAAGAAGAAGAAGAAGAGGTTTGAGGTTGGGCTTTTGAGAGACGGTGAAATGAACACGTAGGATGCTGGCGGGCCGACCAAAATGTTTAACTCCCATTTACTTTAACCGCAAAAAGTAGTGTTTTGTTAGCGATCATGAAAAACGTTTACATGGCATTGCAAATAAAAATTACAAGAAGACCACTAATTACATACCTCACTGACATGCAGTATATAACATATTTTTCAATAGATGTGTTAAAGAAAATTTACATATTAACATAATACTGTCATTAACGTAAAAACGCAGAAGTAAAGTTATCATACACTCTCGTGAAAGAATAAAGAAGACTTCATCCTCTCTTATAAATTAGATAATGTGCACAACAAGTATATATATTGTTTTGAAGTCGATCAAGAACACTCAACATTTTCTTAAAGTTATTATCCATAAAGACTGTCTCAGCCTCTCAGGTAGAGAGAGGTAGAATTAAGAGGGATCACATCAAATTAGAAGGCAATCTTTAATAATAATAGTAAGCCTTCTCTCTCTCTCTCTCTCTCTCTCCCACTCACCGAATGGCAACTTGCCATAATCTCTCTTCTAGCACAACAAAATTGTGTGCAAAATCAATCATACAAATGAAACATAATGTCATCTTTATAGTTATCACTCCCAAAACCAAACCTCATGCATATATATTAATATTGGTAATGGCACTGATTATAGATTCTGATAGATGCAAATGAAAGTAAAGTTTCAAGATTCTGGTGCTGGAGATGGAGCTGGAGGTGGAGGTGGAGATTTGAGGAGTGGCTGTAGCGCCTTCACAACTATGCTCATATTTGGTCTAAACTCAGCTTCGTATTGCACACACAATGCTGCCACAGCTGCTAGCTGCATTGCCACGTAACAACAGGTATCATTGATATTTTGTATCTTTCAGATACTGAAATCTTTTAGATGTTCATGGCATGGAGAGTGTGTTGGTACCTTAGCAACTGCTTTTGGAGGGTAATCAGCTTTTAGCTTTGGATCAATGCACTGTTTGACTTTATCTTCACTGAGTCTTGGTGTCGCCTGAGCAGAGCCAATAACATCGAATGGTAAGAACATGAAAAGAGTTAAGATAAAGTACGGTCCAGGATACTCACCCAGGTTACAAGACTTTGCTGACCCCGAGGCATGGTATGATCCACCGGTTTCCTCCCTGTCAAAAGCTCCAGAAGTACAACCCCAAAGCTGTACACATCACTCTTCTGAGTCAACTGCCCAGTCATCGCATATCTACAATATGGGGTGAGTAATATGTTAGCTGCTTATTAGACATTTATGCGAACCCAAACAATTAAGGGTTTAGGAAACATTACTCTGGAGCATGATAACCAAAAGTTCCCAAGACTCTTGTTGAGTGAAGACGGGCAGCATTATCAGGTGCTTGATTCGAGAGATTGAAATCAGCAATCTTTGCTTTGTAGTCTTCAAAAAGAAGAACATTGCTAGATCTTATGTCTCTATGGATTACAGGAGGCTGAGACTTCTCATGAAGGTATTCCAAACCCCTAGCTGCCTCGACCGCTATTTTCACCCTCGTTATCCAGTCAAGTGTTGGACCTGGCTGTGCCCCTTGAACTCCCTTCCTACCTGTGATATGCAACACATGGAAATATGTTTGTTTGTCATTTATACATTTGGTCAAACCAATGAGTTTTATTAACAATAGAGTTGACCAGAGATATTCAAACTCAAAGAAACTTATCTCACCATGCAAGATGTCATGCAACGATCCCATTGTTGCAAACTCATATGCAAGGACACGGACGTTTCCATCAACACAAAATCCAAGCAATTGAATGAGATTCTCATGCTTCAGTCTAGAAACCATGGAAACCTAAGGAAGAGCAAGGTATTAATATAGCAAGATGGAAGAGGATGTAAACACAAGCTGCCTGGAAAAATGCATTCATTTCATCACAGAGCAAGCGGAAAAGGAATAATAACCTGACTCAAGAACTCGGCATCTGACTCAGCTTCAGGTGCAACATCAAGTTTCTTCAGAGCAACCGCTATACCATCATTTAATGTCGCATAATATACTCTTCCGTAAGATCCTTCACCAATCAGCGCCTTTGACCCGAAATTTTCAGTCTTTTCCTTCACCTCATCCAAAGACAAGGGCGGAACCTCGATGGGAAGAGCTTCCTTCTGCACCTCATGCTTTGCAGCGGGTGCTGGTTTTGGATTCTTGTGATTTGCTACATATATGAAGCACTCAACACGATAAAGCACAAATTGAAAACCAGTGTGTTACTTATACAGATGCACAATACGAAGGGATTAAATGTTCAAAGTTTCGACCAGATGTCCGCTCATTCTCCTCGTTGGAAAATATGATAACTGCTATACAAAGCGTGGGCATGGAGGCCTCTAGTACGTAGAACATATTCCTCTAAGATTACCTTAAACCGAGCTTAATTAGATGACATACCATCAGATTGCTGCTGCGAGCTTTTCAGGTGTTCCTCTTCGTTTGAGTCTTCTATTTGACATGTACAACAGATCCACTTGCGCATCCTTGCTCACTTCTTCACCAAATGATCGTCCACAACCTTTGGCTCCTGAAATAGATTAAGTAACTGGATATGAATGCAAAGGAGATAGGACCAGATGTGCGAGCCAAATCAGTTATGTTCTATTAGCTAATCACCCAATGAATCCCTAGCAGAAACATCTCGAATTAATTTTCAAGTTCCTCAAAACCAAAATTCTCAACCAAGAAAAGACACACGATCCAGCGTCTATTGCATTGAGAAATTTGTATTTCGACGAGGCCATGGATCCTACATGCAAATTCGAAAAAGAAAAGTGAAAACAGCCACCTCTTGCTACCAAATACGGCCAATGGAATACCACAATCTACCATTCAAAACAGACTCAGCATTTACAAATCAGAAACGAAACCCAGATGAGAAATCTACCCAATTATACCCACATTAGAAAATGAAATCGAATGGCAAAACTTGAAATCTAAGAAAACGAAATCGAAGATTCGTCAAGGATTAGAAATCTAGATGAGACTAGACCGTTTCTACGAAATCTAAATTCAGATATAAAACAAAGAAGAAGAGAGAAACGAGAATTCGTTACCCGTATAATCTCCCTACGTCACCTAAAAAATTCGCTGTCCCTCTCAATCTCTCCAGGGTTCGCACGATCGTCTCCTCTACGTTGGAGAGAGAGAGAAAGAGAGGGGCTTGCTTGATCGAGACGAAGGCGAAAGAAAGAACGAAGAGAGATTAGCAAATGGCCAAAAGAAAAGCAAAGTTATCTCAGCTTTGGCGTTTAAAGTGGTTTGTTTCTCTAATACTTGTTTTTTATGATAAAACAAAATACTCATAATATTTAAATCTTTACTGACCCAATTTCCAGATATGTAAGTAATTATCACACCATATAATAAAGATATTGATTATATACCTGACAAAAACAATAACAACGAATTAAAATTACTCGTCGCATTTTCCGGTCAATGGGTCACTGTTTTATAACGAATTTAGTTTGACTAAAGTCTATACCCAAGTTGAGATTTTATAAAATGATATTTAAATAGTGTAATATAGTTGTTTATTGTCCTTTACCAATAAAATGATATTTAAATAGTATGGTTTTCTGTATATTAATTCTGTTGACATGTTATTTATTGAGTGATTTCTCAATTAAAAGTCTTGCCACCAAAAAAAAACTATTTAAAAAAAAAAACTTATTTGATAGTATTAACTCTAAGAACATAAGCATTTACTTTTTCGTTTAACCCACCAGTCTACTGTAAATATTTTTTTTTTGTCGTCAATTGCTAGTTTGCTACGGTAAATATCTATGTTTCCATTTTTGTGTAACATTCGAGAAGTAGGGCCCACGTGAAAATACGAAGATATAAAACAGAAAAAAAAATAATCATGAAAAAATTATAAAGATGACATATACTTCAGTATGTATATACATGATTCTGAAGAACAGAAAACAAAATTGACAAAGATAAAATTGACAAAGATGCATCCAAGAATGTCGCCGATTCACCCAGAGAACCAAGCTCCCGGTGGTTTTCTCCGGTGTCTTTTTCGCCGCGGTGCTCCGGTCAACCCCACTGAACCCGACGTTGAGGCTCCTCTCAACCCCACCGTACCGGACACTGCACGCGACGACGACGTTGAGGAACCTCCAGAATTTCCCGATGTAAAAGAAAAGTTACTTCCCTTTCTCAGAAAAGCAAGTTTTTCATCGACGGAGGTTCCAAAAGCAAGGAGGATCCCGTTCTTCTCCCCGATTCCATTGCCGTGATCTTCTCCGCCATCAAGGCGACGTTCCCGGACTACTTCCTCTCTTGCTGCTTGGTGTATTGCGGTTGTTTCTTAGGAGCGAGCTGGTTCCATAACCCAGTTATTCAAAAATGGGTCGAGGGTGTAGGAGTGGCGATTGGGATTGTGGCTATTGGGGAGGCGGTGATCTTCGTGGGCTCCGGAGCAACCGAGTGGGTTGCCGGAGCCTTGATCGTGTTCTTCTTGGTTCTTATATCACTCAAGGTCTGTGCAGATGGGGACAGAGCAATTAAGTACATAACGGCTGGTGAAGAAAATATTGAGATTCCATGGGTTAATGAGATCAACGAGGAGGCTCCTTCTCGGTCTCAAGATCTGATGATGATCGATGTTGCTTCTCTTGCACTGAGGATGGCTTGGATTCTTGCAGTTGCAACTGCGTACACTATAGATGGCTTACTCAGAAACGATTTCTTGGAAGCTCGGATATCTGAGGCTCGTGATCCGCAGAAACAGGTGCGAGAATTATGTGTGGAGTGCCCTTTGAATAAGGCTAAAAAAGGAGAGAGATTGGAATCATGTAAAGGGCACATAAAGAGGAGAGGCATCAAAGAATGCTGGACCAAATGTGGCTGCGGTAAGAGTAAATGCGGTAACCGAGTGGTCCAAGGAGGGATTCACAAGAGATTAGAGGTAAACCCAAAACAAAAAAAATAACATTCACCTCAACTAACTAAATCATCTAGTTTTCAGTGTTGACCCATTGCTTACTTTTTGTCAGGTGTTCTTCACACCGAATGGGAAAGGTTGGGGCCTAAGGACTTTGGAGAGATTGCCTCAAGGGTCATTTGTCTGTGAGTACATTGGAGAGATACTCACGATTCCAGAATTATATCAGCGTAGCTTGGATAATGAACTTACTTATCATGTGATATTGGATGCACATTGGGTTTCTAATGGACGTTTAGATGATAAAAAACATCTGTGTCTTGATGGGAAGCGTTATGGTAATATCTCAAGGTTCCTTAACCACAGGTAATTGGTTACAATAATGCTCAGAACATTCTCAGAACACAGTTGACCTAGTCACTTTCTCTAACTGATTTTTTTTTCTGTGTCCCTTGATGCTTTTAGATGCCGAGATGCAAACTTGATCGAGATTCCAGTTCATTTCGAGACTCCAGATCGACACTACTATCATGTATGATTCAGTGCTAGCTGGTCTCATTGTTCAATTCGTTTCTCATATGTTTAACCTGTTTCTTGGAAGTTATTTAACACTGATCTTCTCCAGCTCGCGTTCTTCACAACAAGAGACATCAAGGCAATGGAGGAACTCACATGGGTGTGTAAAATGCGGAGAAGTTTCTTATTCCCTTTTATAAGATTGGTGTATCGAAACAAGTCTTGTTTTAAATGCTTACTGATTTCTTGTTATACATTGGTCTGATGTGAATTATGGACTTTGCATTCTCAGGACTATGGCATTGACTTCAACGATGATGACTCTCTGATGAAGCCATTTGATTGTCTGTGTGGTAGCAGTTTCTGCAGGAAATTATGAAATGGTGAAAGAGCTGATTGTAAAGAAGAGAAGACATGTTGATGTAATAAGAATAAGAGGTAGCACTTGTTAGAAACTCAAACGTTATGAATTAGCTATCAATCAATGTAAATGGAACCCAAAACTTTACTAACATAGTAGGATGATGTCTTTACTGTTTTGTTTTGGATAGAGTTTCAATTTCAGGTACAAATTTGATTCCCTGTGGTGTTCTTTTATCAATACCTCGTTTTCGTTTCAATTAAAATTAGTAGTATAAAATTATAAGAGTATTATTAATTAATGGCAATCCGAGTGTTCCTTCCTCTCCTTCCACACGTACTACTGTAGCTTGAAGTAGTAACCTACATATATGATAGCCACTCTGCGGTTTGGTGAAGGAGATTTGATCATGTCCATATATATAATCCGTGAGAGAGGTAGGTGTGTGGCAGATTTGATCGAGCAAAAAGCGCCCTCCACACAGCCTTTGCACAAGTACAATCAAAGAACAAGTGAGAGGTGCCTTCAATACCGGCAAATATACCTAGAATCTAGTCTATATACTATTCGGAAAGTTTCTTAATTACCATTTGAAACCTGATGAGCAACAGATGCCTTATGAGAAATGCTAGTTACTCTCTTGGTCAAGCTAAAATATATAAAAGCGTCTTTGCCGGAACCAATTTCACATACTACAGACGTACGAGCCAAACAAAAGCATGTCGTTCAGTTTGTTGTTGTTGTATTTAGAGTTGATTTCGGTTTTAGTTTTAAGATATTTTGTTATTATTATTATTTTTTTTTAAAAGGGATACAGACTATCTTTCTAGTTTTGGTATAAAACATGCATTATACTTTATATTTAGTGCCCTTATATTTATGAGTCCTCAGCACAAACATGTTTTCTAAGGAAGAGTCCAAGGACGAGTAAGAGAAAATTACAGAAAATGAGCTTTCATGAGATAGAGAAGCGAATGCATTGGTTGTTAACATTATGTAAGGAAAAGTAAAAGGAACAACGCTGAGAGTGAACAAAAAAAAAGCCTACGATTTTCAGACGACTTAATGGTATCTAAACACAATAGCCGATTATTTTGTTTTGAGTAAAAAAAAAAACCTCCAATCGCTGACTATAAAACATACATCAGCTAGTATTTTGAGATTGAGAAGCAAGAGAGAAAGAATCTCTTTATAAAAAAATCGATGAACTGAAACGAAGAAACTTTAGCAGCAGCAGCAGATTTGATCTTCTCCTTGTCTAGTTCAACTTTGAGATCGGACAAAGTCAACTCCACATTCTTGACCCGTTCCTCAAGTTGTTGGACCCAAGACCCATCTTCAAGCGCTTTCTTCCTCTCCAAGGAAACTTCTTCAAGCTTTGATTTCAACCAGTCTAGCTTGAAGCCTGCTAACGTCAGCTCAGTCAATTCGCTTTGAGCATTGCTTAGTTCGGTCACAGACAAGCTCTGTGGAGACTTGCTCAGTGTCTCGACAAGGCCGAGGAGGAGATTCATGTATGCTGTTTTTACCCCTTGGTTCTCTGATATGAAATCTGCTGCAAAGTCTGGGTGCTCTAAAAAAATCTTCTCCGCTGAAACAAGCTGCCAAATGATTTTGTTTATTTTTTAAAAAAAATAAGGATGTTACTACAATAACCAGATCCAAATTCATATATACTATCATGTGGGGCTTTAGCTAGACGAACCAAAAAAAAAAGCTACAAGAATAAAGAGAAACCCGTGTGGCTACCCAAACTTACTTTAGAAGCAATGATCTGGAAACCTCGGTGATCTGGAAACATCATTCGCAGTTGGTTTTCCTTGATGAACAGCTTCGACCACTTTAATGTGGACTTGAATGATTAGTTTGTTGTTCTCAAGAAACCCTTTTTCTCGTAGCTTGGTAAGAGGCAACGTCTTAAGGAGACACCAGGTTGAAGCCTCAGCGCAGAAAAATGTGCACGTGTCTGTGTATGTAAGAAGGATATAACAAAGTAGATATATCAACTGTGTCTATAAGTTTCATCAGTCAGATACACAAGTGCAGATTCAGCACACGGAACAATAATCAACTTCCTTAATTACCAGGTGATCTGAAGAGCTCTTTGCTGGATTGATTCAACAAAATGAAGCAAGACTCAGCGCGCCTTTTCCATCCAGGTCTCAGTGATTTCGTATTCACAGCTTGCAGTGCCAGAGACAAGTGACCATAACCAAAGCATCCATTGGGATAAACCATAATACGCCTAAGAGTAGAGAAAACCTCCGATTAAAAACCCTTTTGTGTACACACACACACAACTAGAGACAACAAACTCGACCGCCTACGAAAGCTAAAAAACTGATTTATTTACCATTCACAGCCACCGCATGAGAAGGTACCCGAGGTCATCACATCATTCCGTCCGGAGAAGTTGTCCATCTCCCAACACAACATGTCCCACTCCAATTCTGTACCCATCTGCTAAATAAATAAATAAATCCTCTGTTACTATTTTATTTTTTTATATCTTACTTCACGGTTATGAATATTTTTGTTTTTACTGGGAGGCGAAACACAAATCTAAACAGCTCCTAGGTCAAACGATTTTTTACAATGAAGATAAAATTATAAATCATAGTCAGAAAGGAATGCCTGTATCCTTGAAAATCACGAAAGATTTTACATTCAATACAAACCTAAAGGACCCAAAAACAACTTAAGGTGCCAAACTAAGCCCTTTATTAGTGGGAGTAGCGTGTACCTATGATGGGGTTGGCAACGGCCACAGAGAGTGTTCAGAAGGTTTCAAATTAGAGATCTCCACTAATTGGAAATTTGGATTTTTAGAATTTCAGAGGGTTGCTTCTCTTCTACTGGGTAAGAAAGTGAAAAATTAACCCCGATAATAATCTAGGTCGACAGAAATATATTTTTGTTTGAGTTTTTCTCCCTGACGAATCTTGCCTTTTATCGTTTAGATTTTAACAAAGTAATTCTAACCGTCGAATTAAAGGTTTTTATATATGAAATTTAGATTTTTTTTTTTTCTTACGTTGTCAGGAACCGCCTACGCGATTATTTTCGTTATTAAAATCGTGTATATCTATAAATATATATATATATATATATATTGTTATAAACAAATGGATTTCTAGTAACCGGCTCATTAACCATCAGGTTAATGTCTCATGGCCCATTAGGGTTTTTGATACATTAGTTATGTAATGTATATATACACTGCTTATGGAAACCATAAGATAAGAATTTTTCTCTTAATACGTTATCAGCACGAAGCTCAACTTCAAACGATCATATCTCTCAAAATACAAGGAGTTAGAAGGCGATCTACATATCATTTTGAAGCCCTGGAAGAGAAGAATCTAGTGGTGAAAACCGCTCCTCAATCCGACACCAGACGCGTCCTCAAGACTCAAAACAATCGGCGCTGTCCCACCTTAGCTGGTGATTCTTTCCAAGCGGTGGTTCCTCCATTGTAGCAGTTGTTCGTCATCCCTTCTGGCCATCATTCTCAGGAGTTTCCAGTAGATATCTGTGGTCTTTAGCTCCCAGATCATAAGCCGGTCAGAAATCCATTTGGCGAAAAGATATGCAAGACAATATGGATATCATTGTGGATAGTGGATCGAGCCACACCATTCTAAAAGACAAGAATTACTTTATAAATTTAGTAATCAAAACCGCAAACATTAGCACTATAGCGGGTAGTTCGAGCCTAATAGAGGGCCATGGCCAAGCTAATGTGTTGTTATCAAATGGCACATATCTAGACATCTCTGATGCCTTATACTCACCCAGTTCTAAGAGAAACCCAGTTCTAAGAGAAACCTATTGAGTTTCAAAGACATAAGATTGAATGGTTTCCATATCGAAACTCAGGATGAAGGGAACAAAGAGTTTTTAATTATCACTAAAATGATAAATGGCCATAAACAAGTTTTTGAAACTATACCCGCCGTATCTACTGGCATTTACCATGCTAAAGTCAGTATGATTGAGGCTAATGCTGCTATCAAAGCACGGTTTTTAGATTACACTATTTGGCATGATCGCCTGGGTCATCCCGGTGCGAACATGATGCGTAAATTAGTCCAGAATTCTAAAGGGCACAGCCTTAAACCAAATGGTATTTTCCCTCAGCACCTCAAGTGCACAGCTTGCTCACAAGGGAAACTGATTACCCGACCTTCACCAGTCAAAGTGTCTAAAGAGACCTTGAACTTTCTGGAAAGAATCCAAGGAGACATATGTGGACCAATTCACCCACCTTGTGGGACATTCAAATATTTCATGGTCCTCATTGACGCATCGACCCGCTGGTCGCATGTCTGCCTGCTCTCTTCTAGGAACCAGGCTTTTGCTAGGTTATTGGCCCAAATCATCAGATTACGAGCCCATTTTCCAGACTTCCCATTAAAGACTATACGTCTTGATAATGCTGGTGAATTCACTTCCCAAGCGTTTAATGAATATTGTATATCCATGGGGGTGAGTGTTGAACATCCCGTTCCACATGTCCATACACAAAATGGATTAGTTGAATCCTTCATTAAACGAATTCAATGGATTGCTAGACCATTACTCATGAGGTCACAACTCCCGGTCTCAGCTTGGGGACACGCAGTCTTACATGCCGCTGAACTAATACGCATACGACCATCTAGTGAGCACAAATATTCACCATCCCAATTGCTAACGGGTCATGAGCCAGACGTCTCCCATAATAAAACATTTGGGTGTTCAGTTTATGTACCCATTGCACCACCACAGAGGACTAAAATGGGACCTCAAAGGAGGATGGGAATATATGTTGGTTTTGATTCTCCCACCATCATAAAATATCTCGAGCCAACTACAGGAGATCTGTTTAAAGCCAGATATGCAGATTGCCGATTTGATGAATCGGTATATCCTAGATTAGGTGGTGAGACAGACAAGCTGGTAAAAGAACTTTCATGGAATCAAACATCCACACAATGGCAAGATCCTCGGACTCTAGAATGTGATTCAGAGGTCTAAAGAATTATACATTTACAAAAGCTAGCTAATCAATTGCCAGATTCCTTTGCTGACCCGAACAAAGTTACCAAATCGTACATACCAGCTTGTAATGCATCAGTACGAATAGATGTCCCCTCAGGGAAAAGTCAAGTTGCTACAGAGTCTGACGCACGTAAGAAACGTGGCAGACCACCAGGTTCCAAAGATAAGAATCCCCGGAAATCAAAGAAAGGTGCAATGATTGAAACCGGGATTCAAGAGAACACGGATACAGCCTCAGCTGATACTTACCCTATCGAACCATCTCAAGAGGTTTGGGACGCCAAAACTCAAGGTTCTGAAGGGATTGATAATAATGAGATCTCAATCAATTATATCATATTCGGTTTTCTATGGAACAGAAAAGATGTTGACATCAATGAAACTTTTGCATACAAGGTAACACTTGAGATTGCGCACACGCAAGAGGATCTAGAACCCACGTCTATAATTGAGTGCACTCGTAGATTAGATTGGCTGAAATGGAAAGAAGCCATAAACGTGGAGTTGAATAGTTTAAAGAAACGGAATGTGTTTGGTCCGATCTTAAAGACACCATTCGATGTTAAACCAGTGGGAAACAAATGGGTCTTTGTGCGTAAAAGAAACGAACTCGGCGAAGTCGTTAGATACAAGGCACGCCTTGTAGCACAAGGATTCTCACAGAGACCCGGAATCGATTATGAGGAGACTTATTCTCCAGTGGTGGATGCAACTACATTTCGATTCCTCATAAGTCTGGCCATAAGAGAAAACTTAGATTTGCGGTTAATGGATGTTGTAACCGCATATCTTTATGGACCACTGGACAGTGAAATCTATATAAGATTACCAGATAGTATTGAGCTCAAAGATAAGCATGCATCTCATGATAAACACTGCATTAGGCTGAACAAATCCTTATATGGACTGAAACAAAGCGGATGTATGTGGTATAACCGGTTAAGCGAATATCTCATCAGAGAAGGCTACGAAAACAATCCGATCAGTCCATGCATCTTCATTAGAAAATATCAAACAAAGGATTTGTAATCATAGCAGTATACGTGGATGACTTGAACATCCTCGGAACATCTGGTGAAATCGCCCAAACAGTTGAATGCTTAAAAGCAGAGTTTGAAATGAAAGACCTAGGCAAAACTAAATTCTGTTTGGGATTACAACTTGAGTACGTTAATGACGGAATCCTTGTGCATCAATTGGCATACACTGAAAAGGTACTCAAGTGATTCAATATGGACCAGGCCCACCCATTAACCAGCCCAATGGTTGTGAGGAGCCTTGGATTGGATAGTGATCCATTCGGTCCAAAGAAGGACGATGAAGAAATCTTCGGTCCTGAAATGCCATACCTCAGTGCTATAGGAGCATTAATGTACTTGGCTAGTCACACTAGACCAGACATCTGCTTTGCCGTGAGCCTCTTAGCTCACTTTAGTTCGTGTCCAACTCAAAGGCACTGGAACGGTATTAAGCACATCCTTAGATACCTTCAAGGTACTAAGGACTTGAGATTATTTTATTCTAACTATAACAAGGATGGTCTAGTTGGTTTTGCTGATGCAGGATATTTGTCAGATCCGCACTGTGCCCGGTCTCAAACCGGTTATGTTTTCACGCATGGAGGAACAACCATATCTTGGAGATCCATGAAGCAGACTATTGCCGCTACCTCATCCAACCATGCGGAAATCTTGGCCATTCACGAAGCTAGTAGAGAGTGTGTTTGGTTGCGGTCCATGACTCAGCATATCCGATCAGATTGTGGTATGGACGAAGATAAGGAGCCTACGGTGATGTATGAAGACAATGCAGCTTGTATCGCTCAACTCAAGGACGGCTACATCAAAGGTGACCGGACGAAGCATATTCTGCCCAAATTCTTCTTCACTCATGAGCTACAGAAGGATGGTCAGGTCAAGGTTCAGCAAGTCCGATCAAGCGAAAATTCAGCCGATCTATTCACTAAATCATTACCGACTTCTACACTCCGGAAGCTCATTCATCAGATAAGAATGCGTAGACTTAGAGATCTACAGTGATGCCTAAACCAGGGGGAGTAATGCGTGTTGTACTCTTTTTCCTTCACCATGGTTTTTCCCACTGGATTTTCCTGGTAAGGTTTTAATGAGGCAACATTCCCCAGCGCATTATAGAGATCCCGGTTTTGTGACAAACACGGTTACCTTGTCCAAGGGAGAATGTTATAAACAAATGGACTTCTAGTAACCGGCCCATTAACCATCAGGTTAATGTCTCATGGCCCATTAGGGTTTCTAATACATTAGTTATGTAATATATATATACACTGCTTATGGAAACCATAATATAAGAGTTTTTCCCTTAATATATATATATATCTATATTCTATACGAAGTTTTTTTTAAAAAAAAAACTGATATGATATGTTAGGAAAGGATTTCCCGAAGCCCATAAGGCCCAAAATATGATTACGCCGAAAAAGCCTCCCACGCAAGCATTAAATTAAATGCCGAGTGACCCGAGTCAGGCGTGGGACCGCAAGCAAGGAACAGTGTCAGGTGATATGACGTTTCGTTCTCGGGCCAAAAAAACGTACGGATGGGTTGGTCAATCCATGAGGTTTGACTATAAATATCCACTCAAAACGATTAAGAGAGGGAAACGACAGATGTAATCTGAAAAGAAAATCTCTGTTACTCTGAAGAATGTACAGTAAAGACCATTGACCCTTTAAAATACAGAGTATAACTAACACATTCGCTGAACGCAAGACAAGCACTCACTCTGATTCTCTGTAGAGAGAGAACTACTGCTTAGTAGCGTCTAGGGCTTGCTTCAGCAGGTACTGCCATGCCACCTAGTAACAAACAGATGGCAACCAAACTGTTTCAAGCAAAAACCAGCTTCTGGTTAGTAGGATCCAGACAAGATTTGCACATGCTTTTGATGATTTTGTTTACATACTGCAACATAGAAAACAATAGTGTGTCACGGTACCACCTCTATATGGACTGCCTACTCCGGTAAAACCAACAAGAGGTTGAGAGCGCCAATCTACATACCTTAATGTCTTTTGATCCTATTGTTTGCTAGTTAATGGTTTTGAGATCTTCTAGGTCCCTTTCCCGTGTGCCCGTGCTCATCCATAGATGTTTGGAAGCTCTGATATCACCTTCCTACCCAAGCATGGCTAAACGAGATACAATGTCAGGCTGATTCCGCAGCAACTCAGAGCGCAACATGGTGGATTAGCAGATAATACATGATTATAACTCTCAATACACAAAGCATCAATAATAGACCATTCAATTATGCAAAGACGTTTTTTTTTTCAAGATACAACATGCCAAACATCATCAATAAAAACGATAAAGAAACCTACGATGAACACATCCTTCAAATGTTTTGACTGAGAGAATTGACCAATAATGCATGGGTTCTTATAGAAAAATCCTAACAGAAAACATAAGAAATGTTTGGGCTTTAAAAGAGTGAGAAACTGAGTACTATCACCTCTGAACGGATTGAGAAGAGAAGCTGGGCTCCGCAAAAGAGAGTATTAAGGGATATACTGAAAGAAAATGTGAAAACAGAAATGCCTTTAGATGATAAAAACACAGAAGATAGACAGTGCAATACAAAATATACTTAATAGTTACAGAGGGTTTACTCATTATATGGATTCCCTCATATGATCCCACGTGGATCCTAAGAGACTTTGCCATTATAATCAGTGAAAAATTCATCAAGAACTGAAGAGTTAAAGCTATTGGCGTGAATGATCAAAGCAGGGAATCTATAGGTCTTTAGGTAAAGATCATACAACCTCTACCAAAGTCATGCTTACCTGTACGGCGCATTAATGCAATTGTAGAGTACTCAATGGAGGTCAATCAACCCCATTAAGAATCATCAGAAGTATAAATTTACACATCATGTACAAAGCAGAACCTGCATATATAAACAGATGCATGTCACAAATTCATAGGCACAAGACATGAATTCACACAGACTCAGACCATGTGCGATCTAAAACCAACAAACTTACGAAGGATTTGGTCCAAAAACCCAATGCGTATCATGCGCGTTGAGGTCTTCCCAATACGTTATCCAATGCTTCCAACCTTGGAAATTTCAGGTTTCCACTAGGATGCTTAACACCATCTATCTGAGCAAGTCAGAACTAGACATTATGGATCAATAAGCCTAAGCCCCATCAGATGCTTTCTTTTCGTCTATCCACTGAATTTCCTGCAAAATTGAGGCAATTTAGCAATGAAAAACCAGATTTAAATACCAGTCTGCATTACAACGATGGAGGGAAATACATAAATAATAAAACTACCAAGTGTAAATGCCTTTCACCCACTAGATAATCAGCTCTAGTTAAAATCTACATAGATTCAGGTGGACATTGGAAAGAAAAAATCTTGAGAAACATTAACTATTTACTACACTTTTCAAACTTAAAAGAAAGCGTCAAAGAGGACAAACCATATGAGAGAGGAAATCTAGAAGCAAAAGTGCTTCACTGATCTTGCTGTTTCGGAAAAGTCCCTTGATAAGAGAACAGAATGTTTGCATTTCCGGAATGACACCTTTCTTCGTCATTTCCGAGAACAACTGAAAAGCCTTTTCAACTTTATTAGCAAGGCAAAGGCTTTCAATCAACGAATTATATGTGCTACTGTAGCCAGCCAACTTGGGTGACAATGTTGCAACTTCTTCAAGAAGCCTAAGAGCCATTTCCATCCTTTGAGCTTTAATAAGATTATCAATCAAAAGCCTATATACTGAAAGAAACGGGGCATTATCATCCTGAGCCATCTCATCGAGAAGCCCAAGAGACTCTATGAACGCTTTATTGAATCCTTCGATAACCTTGCGATATCCTGCTGTGTGCGTAGGCCAATGAGTCTGTTTCATTTCCTCTAGAAGATTGTGGGCCACATCCAATACACCATTTTTGCAACAATGATCTATCAAGACCCTATAAGTCACATAATTTGGAGCAACTCCTTTGGAACCCATTCGGTCTAAGAGCTCAAGGCATGTGTCTATTTTACCAATCATTCCAAAGCCATCAATCATCGCAGTATATGTCACAACGTTTGGCTGACACCCTTTTTCTTCCATCATTTTCAGAAGCTTATAAGCTTCATCAGTTTTACCAACCTTGCATAAACCATCAATCATCTCAGTGTATATAACCACATTGGGTGCACAGGAATTCTCAAGCATCTTAGACAATACTTTTGAGGCTAAATCTTGGCGCTTCTCTTTGAAATAACGATCAATAAGAGAACTGTAAGTATATAAGGTTGCGGTGAATCCATGCTCAGACATCTCATTTTTCACTTCTTGTGCTTCGTCTAGTTTCCCAACCTTACAGAGTCCATCGATAAGAGCATCATATACAATCTGATTCGGTTCACAACCTTCCATAGACATAGCATCCAACAACTTTCGAGCTTCTTCGACCCTATGTGACTTGCAGAAACCATCCAATAAAGCTCCATATGTAACTACATTTGGTCTCTCTCTATTGTCATCAAAGTGCTTGAAGTACATATCAACATCTGGAACATCTTTGCTGCCACACATTCTTTCAAAAATCTGGCAAGCTTTCTCCGTTTTTCCAGCTTTGCAATGGCCATCAATTAGGGCAGAGTATGTAACGATATTGGGGACACACCCTTCAGACAGCATCGTTTCAAAGAGCTCATTCGCATAGCTGACCTTCTTAGCCTTAAGATAAGCATGGATAAGAGCAGTATACGTGACGATGTTAGGTGTACAACCAACCTTTCTCATTTCATTGAACCACTTACGAGCCTGTTCAATTAGACCAGCTTTACAAAAACTATCTACCATAATAGTATACGTGTAGACATCAGCAACAAGGCCACGATTTTTCATTTCTTCAAACAACAGGAACGCCATTTCCATTTTAGAAGCATTGCATAAATAACCAAGGACTTTGGAATAGGTACTGGTATCTGGTATAAACCCCTGACCGATCATTTCACGGATAACACTGAATGCCTTCTCATATTTCCCAGCACTACAAAGACACCGAGTGAAGCTGCTGACATTAATCTTGTTCAGAACAACCCCCGTAGCAAGCATTTCACTGTAAGCTTTCTCAGCCAATTCCAAAAGATCACAACTAAGTGAGTCTTTGTCACCACAAATACTCCCAATCAATATATTGTAAACAACATACCCTGGCATGTGACCACATTTAACCATCTTTTTTAGCAATTTGTATGCATAAGGATGGTCTCCTGATGTGCAATAAGCATGTACAAGAGAATTAAAAATCTTCGGACTTGGATAACAACCTTCCATCATCATCATATTAAGTACCCTTTTACACCTACCCAGCTGTTTTTTGTTCAAGCATCCACAGAGCAAAGTTGAATATGTTACAACATTTGGAAGGCAGGAAGTAGCTCGCATCCTATTCAGGAAATCCATAGCCTCTTCAAAAAGCGAAGCTTCACACAGACCAGATATGAGTTTTGTATAAAATACAGTATCAGGCACAAAGTTTTCAGTTTCCATCATTGTTAGAGCTTCCCTCCACTTTCCTACTTTACAAAGAGAATAAGCAAAGCATCTAAGTGTAAACCCATCCATCCTAAGATTTTCAAGGGACATTTCCCGATGAACCAAAGAAGCAGAGTCCAAACGATCAGCCTTGAGAAATGCCTGAATCAGACAATTATAAGTAGATCTTGAAGGTCTAAACCTAAAATCCTTGAGCCTCCCTAAATCCTCAAGCGCAATGCTAAACGACCCATTCCTGCAACGTTTTCTTATCAGCACATTCAGAAACTCCCCAAGCATTTCCTCGTCATCGTCGCTGATCTGTTGCAGGAGTTCTTCCGGAACTTTTTCGTCATCATCGCGTACAATCAAGTCTACCAAAGCGTTATACACAGGTCGGGTATGCTTATAACCTATCTGCCTACCTGCCCAAACGAAGAAGCTGATAACAGCAGATGGTCTTTCTATCAAACGCAGCACCTCGATCACCAAACTCTCACTCAGTTTCTCTCTAAATTGCCTAAGAAACTTCTGGGATTTGCTCGCGAATACGCCGTCGCCACAAGAGACAGCATCTGCAATGGCTCTGGCATCAATGGAGGAGGATTGAGTTATGGGCAAATGGTGGACACCAGAGTCCACAAGAGAATCTTGCAAAAAGGAGTACTCTTTAGTTAAATCCACCACTTCCGGCGATTCAATGGGAGAGAAAGGGTCGTCGAATCCAATCAATTCATCCGGCGGAGGAGTGGACATAAACCTTGTTGTGAGATAACGGCTACAGGAGGAAACTCTGTCGAGAAGAGTACAATTAAGAGGTGAATTGGTGGAGAAATGAATAAGAGGATGATGTGAACGAGAAAGAAGACATCTTACGACTGTTTTGTTCATAGCTTTCGTATAACCCGATACAGAGATTTTAGGGTTTAAAAGAGGGTTTGGGGTTTATATGAGGAAGAAGGAGAAAGATCGAAAATTTGTTGTTATAAAAGACCCAATAATGTTATCAACTACAAACTTTTAATCATTGATTACCATTGAACAAACAGTAAGTGAAGTCCAATATACCAAGACTAATTTGGTTTTCAGTTGCATGTTAAGAATCTTTCTTTACATTTATCGGATTATTAATCTGAAAACTTTTTTGATTTCGATTCTCCTTGGTTCCTTCGTTTCCAACCCAAAAGTTATGTGCAGGAAATGTAGTTGCAAGAGTTTGGCGATAAATAATTCAAAAGCTATTAGATGAAATCAACACAAAAGACGGAATATCCTTCGGAAAAAAAACAAAACTTTAGTGATGTTTAAGGATTTGAAATCTGGTCTGAGCAAATAACCATGAAAAATTAATCTTGGCTTCGTCTCATCTTCTTCTTCTGTTTATCCTCCGTGCGATATCTCTCACGTCTCTCCTCTCTGTTCCGTTTCTTAGATATTTCCTCATTCTTAGCTTTCTGTGCTTCATACGCTTTCCTCTTCTCCTGCTCCTTTGCTTTTCTCTTATTCATCTGCAATTTTTTTTTTTTTTCATAGTTCCAAGACATTGTAATTAACAAGATGAGAGAGAATCAATCAATTAATTTTATGCATTAGCATACGATAATAGTTTGCTTTCCTCAAAACATTACCTTGATTTTGTTAATCAGCTTAAATTGCTGGAGGATAGCATTAGCTTTTCGTTCTTCTGGTTCCATAACAACAGCCCTTCTGGAATCTAGTGGTGGTCTTTTTCGCCTTGGTCTATCTTTGGGTTTCGATTCAAACGGTAAAGCTCCTTGAAGTTTCTTTGGAATCACCAATGGATTGAACTTCTTTAGCTTCCTTTCGATTGGCTACAAAACAATGCGTTACACAAATGAGAGAATTAGTTGGAATCAATTTTCCTTGGTTCCTTCCTACACAATGTTATCGCATTTAATGAGCAGGCTTTTTACCTTGTAGAGTGAATCCTTATTGACCGGAACAGGAATATTTTGCTCTCTACGGAGTTCCCCAAAAGTTTTCATCCCTCTCCAAGTCTTATCGCGGGGTTGCAATGCTGTAGTTAGAGGATTGTAGAACTGTGGAACTTCCACTTTGGTCCAAGCCCTTAAGAAGACTATGTCGCTCATTTTTATTTGATCTTCAAAGGTGCACCTCGCAATCCCATCTTGGGCATTGTTATCTAGCATGTGTTTTCCAGCCTGACAAAGTTGTGGTTTGTTAGAATGCCGGAGAGCCAACAAAATGAAGATAAGACTATAGTTGATAACCGTAAACATCAAGCTCATAAGAAACTAGGAATTACAAGAAGACCAGAAACGCATACATACCTTTTTCACTTGTCCTCTGATGCCACTAACTGTCCGAACAGAAGAACCTTCAAATCGAGCTATTTCAAGGTCGGAAGTGAACATGTCTTTGATAAATGCAGTCTTTTTCTTGATCTTGCAGGGGTGCCCAACCATCTTGATTTTCTTCACAATATGGGCTTGGTGATTAAACTCAAGAACTACAGAAGTCGCTGTTATCCTAAATCCTGACTGAATCACACACCAGGAGAGCTACTCAGTGGGCAAGGAATACAACAGATCGCACCGGAGCAACAACCAATAAAATTCCCCTTTAATTATACGTGGGTTATTAGGGTTTATAACCAAACAAACATAATTGACCAATAGTGGGTGATACACTGCAGTTGCATGATATCTCAACACGGAACAATAGAGCAGACTGGACTTCTAGAGCAAAAAGCATCTAATCTTCGGTTATTTCACATGCAAGTTTAAAGAACCAACACTTGGTATGCGTACTAGTATTGATATTTGGTTAGTCACACCTTAAACTCACACTACTCATTTCATGAAGATGCACTTTGCTTTACCAAATAAAGATCTCCAGTACAAAAGTTCAAACACACTCCAAAGGTAAATTTGAATCATAATCTCAAGCAGCATAGTGCATTCGCATACCTGATTGCTTGACAGGTTTTGGAAAGCGACAAAGCCGGTGTTGGGTGGGACAAGAGGACCCCAGAACATAGCAAGGCAGTGCATGTGTTCTGGTGTATACTTGAGCATTCGATGTCTGCCATTGCGATCTTCAATGGCGTATACAGGAAGAGTCTGATAGCGTCTCCATCCAATAGATACAATAATAGGATCTCTTGTCTTTAGTACTTTCTTGTGCCACCTATGTTTCTTCAACCGGGCCTAAGGACAACAAAAACATATGACACAATAAGGGGTATCAATATAAACAACCATGTTTCAACAAATTTAAAATAAGAAAACGACACAATGGTTGTATCCTTACCTGCATATACCCAGCATTATCCTCACCGAAACCGATACCTCCAACCAGAACTGGATGACACGGATCAAAGAAATCAACCATCTCATAAGGAACATTGTGAATCTCCAGCCGCAAGTAGGTTCCAGTCCGGAATCCTTCTATCTCAATTCGAGTATCCTCGTCAAGACTATTGAGTTCTAATAGATTCATCTGTTTTCTAATTTCAAGCTCCTCCTTCAACTGGCAAGCAAATAAAGTGAGTAAACTACAGAGAACAAAAAACCTTGGCTGCAGGCAGAAAGATTTACTTACTTTGTCAACGTATCCTGGTTCCTTGGCTTGATTGTTACGAGGATTATTCCCATCACCTTTATCATTGTCATCCTCCTCTAACTCAGATTTATTGCTTGTACAACGAAATTAAGGCTAAACCAAAAGTAACTTGTCAAAGTGCAAACTGAAACAGTCGCATAAAAACAAATATAACAAATAAGTCATGCAGATGAAGAAAATGCAGACAGCAAAGACCAATAGTGATATATGAACACAGTGAACAATTAAATTGACAAAGCTAGAATTTTTCACCATAATTTCCGGTGGGTTGTTTCAGAGAATAACACACAGACAGAGATAAGTGACAGCAAATGATATAGTGCTTAGATAAGTTAAATGATGCAATTCAAGTAAGAAAGGATATTCTGCATCGAACTTTGCTCGGAGAGCCAGCTTTTTTAGCCTACGCTCAACTACTTCAGCATCTTCGTTTTGATCTGCACCTGACTCCATGTTCTCATTGATATTATGCTTCTCTCCCGTCTCTAGATCCTCAAAATCACCATAAAGTTCATCATCTTCTTCCTCATCGCCAGCACCAGAATTTTGATTTCTCAGAGCAGCTTTTGACCAATCACCAGTGGTAAATCGATCACGAATGATCTCACAAACTTCTTTCTCTTTCCAATTCTTCAGATTTCCATAATCCACAAATTTGGAACAATCCTCTGAGTTGAGATATCCCACATCCCATCCACCACCTAAGTTCTGGAAGTAGATGAAAAAAGAAAAAGAAAAAAAAAGAGCTGGAAATTTGAGATATTTACTTGCTACGAACAAGAAATGATCACCAATGTCTGTGTGGTCTTGAAATAACAAACCTTGCTATGTTCTCCTTTTGGCTTAAAGAATTCTTCGTCATCACTTTCTTCATTATCACTAATTTCCTGGTTCTCATTTATGTAGGCAGTAGCTGATAATCCCGGTGCACCATACACAATTTGCATCAAGTTGAGGTTCTTCTTTCTGCCCTTCTCCTTCAAGGGTTCTTTCCATTTTGATATGTTACCAAGGACCCTATCTTCTGCTTCATCAACATCATCTTCATCTGAGTCCTGCGAATCTGAAGTAGAGTCATCTTCAGCATCTCCAGCTTCATTTTCGTCAGTTTCAACGTCTTCTGCTTCCTCAACATCATCTTCGTCCGAGTCCTGCATCACACACACCCAAGCATGACAAACAGTAAAACAGATCAGACATGACGAAAAATCGTTTGGTTTTGAAAATATAATCAGTCCACTTCAAATAGATACTGCTTCTCAAAAACAATTTTACTACAAGGACCCCACTAGAAATGTGATTGACTAAATTCACCATTTCTATCCAGACTGTCTGAAAAAAGTGGTGACTGAAGCAAGAATACAAATAATGAAAGATAAAAGAGTAAGTTTCACATTCACTAACTCTTGAACTCAGTCACCAGTATTATCAAACTGAACATATGGCTGAATTAGTATATAAAAGCATAACAAAAGATCAAATCAAGCAAAGAGATTACCATAGCATCACTCTCATCGATTTCATCCTTGAAGATAGCTTTCCTCCTCATCCTTCCACCATGGATCTCAGTTTTCTGCTTAATTTTACTGTTATTACTCTCTACATCCTTCCCCTCATCTTCAAGATCATCACCAGATTGAGAATCCTCTGATGACTCAGAGCCTTCCGACAAAGATTGGTGCGCATCTTCAGCCTCAAGTTTTCTTTCAGAGATGGCACTAGTCTTTTTGCCAAATAAATTAATGAAAGTCTTCTCTAATTTCTCATCAACAGAATATTTTGTGCTCTGCAACGACTTTACCAATTCTTCACCAACATCCCTGCCCTTTCCTGCCAAGAGAAAATGTCGTAGTCAGAGATCCTAGAGCTACAAACAAATGAGAAACAGATTATTACTTTTCTATCCTCGAGAATGGTGTAAATCAAATTCCTAATTATTAGTGATATAAAATAGGAAATGGGCAAGATGCTCGCAGGAGACTAATACATATACATATAGAAAAAAAAATACGGTAATTACACTTTGGAATCCGTAAAATAACCTTTATTAGTAGGTTCTCCATTTCCCTCATCAGTTTTAGAGTACTGAACAAAGTGATCATTTATGTTGATGTAAACAGCATCTTTGTCATACAAAAGATCTCCAATCCCGGACATAGGAGCATAGAAAAGTTTATCCCTGTCCCTCAGCCCCTTCTTCTTGGCAGCTGAGGGTAAAGGACAAGGATCCGGTAAGACAGTCACCCCAGCTAAACTGTAGTCGCCAACTCCAGCAATATGTACCTGGTAATCAGAAGAAATTATATCAGATGCAAGTTAAACATGAAAAGAAAGGTCAACTGCAACAGCTAAAATAACATTTTGCACACAAAAGCATTCATTTAGATCAAGAAGCAGAGGGTATATAAATTTATGATCCTCAACTTACAACCTCACTCAATATAGAAACGAGCTACACGTAAACAGAACGTGTTATTTTCGGATTTTGAGATGCAATAACGAAAGAATCTAGGACCAACACCAGGAAGGAAGACCATATAGATAACATCAACTTAAAATCAAATCAGCTCATCTCTCGGCTCAATCTAGAAATTGGTCTTATTGAGTATTGTGCGCCACAGAAAGTACAGCTAAGCAAACGAATGGATCAATGTTTCAGGCCATAGTAAGTTCAAAAGGCCAGGAAGAACCAGTGTTTAAGGAAAACAATGGAGAAACATCTGATGCCGTACCTTCATCCCTTTTTTCAAGTTACAACCACGTAGGTAACCATACAAAGTGATATTTCTATCGCATTTCTTATCCATCTGAACTTTCTCGGGTGGGGTAACATCTTCCAAACGATCCGCCAACACATAAGGATGTGATGTTCGCCATGTCAATGGACTGTACTTGATAACTTTTATGAAGCGGGAGAGGTTGAAAACTTCACGTGGCGAATACCTGCGAATAAGATATAAATCAAAGGTGAGGCTTAATTGCTCTTTGTGGATGTCATCCAGGTTGGTAAAGTTATCAATTTATCAATTAAGATACTTACTTCCCATGGATAAGACCAGATAAATAGAACAATTTAGCTCCATTGTATATTTCGGTCCAAAATCGATGCTTGAGACGTTGTTTTGTTTTCCTCAGCTTCTTAACATCCTTGAACTTATCCAGGTGAGTGAGGACTCCCATAACTCTAGGAAATCCATGCACTTGCATAATATTCAGGAACTCAAATGTTTCCTGCGGGTCAAACAGATTAAAAGACAAATAACTTATCATAATTTTGTTGATATCAATGAAAATGTAGATTAACAAAATAGGTCCACTACTAAACATGTATATACATAAAAAAAAAAAAGATCTTCACAAAAACACAAGCAATTGACATGATGAAAGAGAAAACTATATACCACACTATCAAGGGCAGAGGAAGGCAAACTAGATAAAGCACTCGTATTGAAAAAAGGAGAAAGCTACAAAAAACTAATCGTCAATGGCGTCTCACCATCTCAAAACCATAACTCCCGTCTATGAGAAGTAGAGCTAGATCAGCAATTTTTGCACAATCCACCATCCCATTGATATCATTTGGGCACTCCACAAATTGTATCCGTATATGTTTACCTAAATCCATGACCAGCCTAACATGAGAACAGGAGTATGATCCAACCCAGCTAAATAAAAATAAGAAGAAAAAGAAAAGGAAGAAATGCACAATGTAGCACAGAACCTGTTACAATGGTAATAGGTCCTCGAACCTCCGGTAAATTCTGGTGCGTAAAATGCTTAACAAGGGACTTAATCACGAGAGACTTTCCGACCTACAGGAACAAAATATAGTGGCAAGAAACCATCAAAACTTTCTGCGAGAAAAAAAAAAAGAGAGAGGGAGAGATAAATCTGACAGTGAATCAGTCTAAACACAGTACCCCTGGAGGGCCTTGAACCACGACGACGAAAGGAGGAGGATCGCCGTAAGTACGATCAATGGTCGGAAGATGAAGTCGCTTTTGCTCTTCTCCACTGAGCGAGCCTGCAAACGCTTCTGCTTCACAGCCGACTTAACAGAAAACGCCTGCAGAACCAAGTAAAAATCGATTGTTCCGTAAACACCGAATCGGTAGTATAAAAAAACCCTAAAGAGATATTGACAAGAGACGAGAGGAGCTCACTCTAGGATTTTGCTGCTTGGTATCGGAGACGCCACGCTTCTTCTTGTCGTTTTCAGATTTCTTCCTCATGGAAGGACCTGCTTGGCGAGCCTTGTGAGACCTGTGGGACGGCATCAATTCGTCGGCGGCCATGGCTTGCAGTGAGAAAGATGAACAAAGTTTTTGGTAGCCGTCGAAGAGGCGGACGGTGAGGTTAAGAGGACTTGAAGAACCCTTTTCTATAAACCTCGATTTTGTTTTTTTGTTTTAAATCATAAAGCTTATAAGACGGTTAGGGAGACCACGCCCGGTTCGGTTTTTCGCATTTAACATTTACTCCGGTTCGATTTTCTACAGAAGCCTCTCCTCAAATGGTGAATTGTTCTCCTTCCTTCTAATCAACCCATTTGAAGATTGAAGACAGAGAGGAGAGGGGGAGAGAGAGAGCTGAGAGAGAACGACCTAAGGAGATTCAAAATCATTTCTCCTTCTTCCTTCTTTCTGTGCTCGTCTGAATGCATCAGCACGCGTTTGCCCTCAAATTCCACTCCTTCCCTCCTCACTATGCGTTATCCGTCTCCAATTTCTCCCTCCAAAGCCCTAAATCTCTCCTCCCTATTTTCCCGCCATTCTCTCGACTCCCGATTGTGAGCAGCTCCGTCTGCCTCCGCTGTCGTAGCAGCGCCGCCGATGTAACCCCGGTTAGGTACGCCGATGGAATCTCCATCGGCTCTCTTGGGGAAACCGGAGGTATCGTGCTGGCGGAGAAACCCATCGATGTCGCAACCTTGGGTAATCTCTGCGTCGACATTGTTCTCAGTGTTCAAGAATTGCCACCGCCTTCTCGCGGAGACCGCAAGGCGCTCATGGACGAACTCTCTATGTCTCCCCCAGATAAGGTTTGGGTACTAATTGTTGTTTCCCTCTTCTTCTTTTTTTCACAACATTAACTGCTTCTTAGTGTTTCAGTGGTGATAATTTCATACATTGTATGCATACATGATTTTTTTTTGCTAGTTCGGCTTGAAGGGAAGAAATATTCTTACTGTTACTACAAAGATAGATTGGATTTGGTTTCAATTCATATGAGCAGCTTCCACAAACTACAAAAAATGAAAAATATCTTAACCCCAATGCTTTTTGATGATAAACTGAACAGTTTGTTCCTGGTGTTATCACTGAAGTTTTTGTTTTTCGTTTGCTTATAGAAATACTGGGAAGCAGGTGGAAACTGTAACATGGCTATAGCAGCTGCTAGACTGGGGCTTCGCTGTGTTGCTATCGGTCACGTAGGGAATGAGATTTATGGAGAGTTTCTTCTAGATGTCCTTCATGAGGAGGGAATAAGTACGGTTGCATTGGACGGAGAAACAAATGCCAAAGACACCAGCTCATACTGCGAAACTCTTATTTGCTGGGTTCTTGTGGATCCTTCGCAGAGGCATGGGTTTTGCAGGTACTGCTTTCTTCCATGCCGAATCTATATGATAATTTAAAGTATTACTGGAAATGCCTCTCATGGAAACTCGGAAAATCTGTGGTAGTGGTGGTTTGTGTGGGACGACGATGCCTAATGTTATATAATGAATCATCATTCCAATGATTGCTTTAATCGTGAATTCGTGATGGTGATGGCTATCTAGAAATAGAAGGTTTCAATTAATAGAGCGCTCAGCAGATTTTTTTTTTTTCGGAAAGCCATAGTTTACTCTCTTATACTTTTTCTTAATGTCAAATGCATAAGAAGGTATGGCTTTCTTGTTTAGGCATCTCGTTTCTGTTAGTGAGACAAACGCTAGTGGGTGATATTGTCATCTTTCTTTCCAGTCCTGTTTAGTTGTTTCTCGTTCTTTGAATTCTTTGCATAGAGGAAATTCTGTGAAACAATTACTTGTAGGTGATTTCATTGTACGTACTTTTAATACTGTTTATTCCTTTTAAGTACCTTGAACTTTGTTACTAGAGGAGCTTATGTCTCTGGTTGTTTCTCTTTTTTAGTCGAGCTGATTTCAAAGAGGAACCTGCTTTTAGTTGGATAACTGACCTATCTGTTGAAGTAAAGATGGCAATCAGACAGTCAAAAGTTCTTTTCTGCAATGGTTATGACTTTGACGATTTCAGCCCTAGCTTTATAATGTCAACGATAGATTATGCTAGCAAAGTTGGGACAGCCATCTTCTTTGATCCTGGACCACGGGGAAAGAGTCTGTCCAAGGGAACTCCTGATGAGCGCAGAGCACTTGCTCACTTCTTAAGAATGAGTGATGTTCTTCTACTAACTTCTGAGGAGGTACATTGTACTTTGTCTCGATAAAGATGAAAATCTCTCTACTTAGATTTGTTTCTTCATGTACCCTACCTTTATCCTTTTTGGTGGTAGAATGTTCAGGCCAGTTCACCTTTTATAGTGTGAAATTTTCCTCATGTTCATTCAAAATACCCCAGATATCCAAAATTACCCAAATTTGTCCCAAAGAAGGTGACAGTACTAGAGAAGACAATCCTGTTAGCCTTTTGAGCTTTTGCATGTTTAGCTGTTTTCATGCTATTGCACGTAGTACAGTCCTGCAGTGCTTCTATGATTAATATATGGTGATAAGTATTGCTAATAATAAGTTAACTGACCAAATTATTGTTGACCTGTTTGATAAATTACTCAGGCTGAGGCACTAACTGGCATCAGGAACCCTGTAAAAGCAGGACAAGAAATTCTGAAGAATGGAAAGGGAACAAAGTGGGTGATTGTAAAAATGGGCTCAAAGGGTTCAATTCTAGTGACCAAATCTAGTGTCTCGGTGGCACCTGCATTTAAGGTACCTTGCTTATGGACCATCTAATCTTTCATTTCGCATTCACCTCAATTTATGTATATGTAATCGTAGAGTAAGTTTATGTAATGATCTAAATTTGGTTTGCAAAATATCATCATTCAGGTGGAGGTGGTTGATACTGTTGGATGTGGAGACAGTTTTGTGGCAGCAATTGCATTGGGTTATATACGCAACATGCCGCTTGTTAATACCTTAGCAGTTGCAAATGCGGTTGGAGCAGCAACAGCAATGGGGTGTGGAGCAGGTAGAAATGTTGCAAAAAAGCATCAAGTGGTGGATCTCATGAAGGCCTCGAAACTCAATGATGAAGAAAACTTTTTCGAAGAATTACTCGCTGAAGATACGGAATCTCCTAAAATTAATCTTCTTTCAAAAGGGATGGGGAGCAACAAGCAGCAGTTTGAAATTATATCTATGGAAAAAGTGGTTTCTGAATTGCTTCCAAATCTTGAACTTGGGAGGTGTTATGTAAAGGCTTCATCTTGATCAGGGTCGCAACTACGGATTTTTGGGGGCCAAATTTTTACTGTTAAAATTTACTAGCTTAGTTGTTAAGTACTCAACCTGTGTTGTCGACGGTGTAAGAATCAAATCTTGTGGATGAAATTTTATATTTTCACGTTTTTATTTTTAAATTAGTATTTAATTAAGGAAAAAAAAATGGTTTGCCATGTTTAACACTTCTTACAATGTTAAGAGAATATGAGAAAGAGACTTTGGTAGTGTTGAATTTGGCTTAAAACTAAGTGAAAATCTATTTTCAAAAAAAAAAAAAAAAAATTGACTTGATAAAGATTGAAAAATTTTTACAGATATTAATGATGGTGGGCATTATTAACCTAAATTAATGGGCCAAAGTCTCCTCGTGTAGAGGAAATATAAAAATACCCAAAATACCCTCGTATGAATTACCTTGTACTGTATTTGTATCAGTCTCCCATCGCTCTTTTCCTTCTTCTCCTGATTCTTCCTCTTAAAACAGTTAAACCCTACTCGCATTCTTACCCGCCAATTCCTTCTCCTTGACTCTGTACTTTCCCTTTTTCTCCAATTGAGTATCGCTGAATTCAGAGATTCTTCTCGATACTTTATGTTGTGAGTTCCAAATTTCAATCCTCCGTTTTTTTTTTGTTTTTTTTTGTTGCTTCATTGGCTTCTGTTCTCTGTTTCCCGAAAAAAATTGGTTATTTTCGGAAGCATTGTATTTCCGGTTTGCGTATTTTTTCTTGTATGTACTTTGCATGATCAATTTTGTGATTTTTTTTTTTTTGAACATCAATTTTGATGTTCAAAAAGATCCCGACAAGTTTTTTTTTTAGTGTTTCTCTTTTCCTCAGGCGATAAAAGTTTCTGATTTTATGCTTCTCATACTCCTTTTTATATTTTTCTTATTAACATGCTATGTTTTTTTTGGTACTGATTCGTAGTGTTTTAGCTTTCTGGGAATTTCTGTTTATGCCTTTAGATTGATCATTTTTGATGATGTTGCTCTCCCTTCATACATTGACAGGTAACAGTTTTATTTTAAGGGCACAGCAAGTGAGTCGGACAGAATCTTCTTTGAAATTAGATTGGATTCTGCGCTGTTTTTGTTTTGGGGTTTATGTTATTGAAATGGCAAACGACGAGCTGGTTAAGCCTGAGAACTGTGATTCCTCATTTAGACAGGATCATTTCACGGGAATTCGACACAACTATGAACTGTTTCCTAGTCATGACTACACTTCCGGTTTCGAACAGCTACTCGACATCAACCTCCAGATTGGTGTCTCCTCCTATCAGGAAAATGAGGTTTGGAACCATTTCCAGGAACACAAAGTTATGGCTATTCAAGACTCGAGGATTAATCATAACAACGATGAAACGAACCAAGCCTTTGGTTTAGATGGAAACCAAAATGATGACTTTCTCTCTTTTCCTGATGATGATGACTCTGGAACTTCTGAGATCGATAAATCAACTGTAGTCGAAGCCAAGGGAGCGAGCCAGAAGCAAGAATCTCAAGAGATCAGTGATGACTTAGAGTTAGGGGTGAGTCACAGCATGGACTTTTCTCGAAAACCAGAGAAGGCTCCTCCTAGCCCTCAGTGTTGGTCTATACCTGGTGCAGGTCCTGAGCATGAAATGGCTGTTGGTATGGAATTTTCTGATGTCAACGCTTGTAGAAGAGCACTTAGAAATGCAGCTATTTCCCTACGTTTTGAGATGCACACGATTAAATCTGACAAGACTCGCTTCACTGCAAAGTGTATGGGCGAGGGTTGCCCATGGAGGATTCACTGCGCCAAGCTTCCTAATGTGCCAACTTTTACAATCAGGACTATTCACGGGAGCCACACTTGTGGTGGGATCTCTCATCTTGGTCATCAACAAGCTTCCGTTCAGTGGGTTGCCGAGGTTGTGGCAGAAAAGCTGAAAGAAAATCCGCATTTCAAACCAAAGGAGATACTAGAGGAAATTCACCGAGTTCATGGAATTGCACTGTCTTACAAGCAAGCATGGAGAGGGAAAGAGCGTATAATGGCTACTCTCCATGGGTCTTTTGAAGAAGAATATCGACTTCTTCCTCAATATTGTGATGAAATCAGAAGGACAAACCCCGGGAGCATCGCTGTGGTCCATGCAGATCCGACCGATGAGCGCTTTCAACAGTTGTTTATTTGTTTCCGAGCATCAATCTCTGGTTTCTTAAATGCTTGCCGGCCTCTTATTGCACTGGACAAGACTTTGTTAAAGAGCAAATATCCGGGGACATTGCTGCTTGCCACTGGATTTGATGGAGATGGAGCTGTATTACCTTTGGCATTCGCTATTGTTAATGAAGAAAATGATAGTAACTGGCATCAATTTCTCTCGGAGCTTCGTAAGGTTCTTGAAGCTAACTCTGAGAGTATGCCAAAGCTTACCATATTGTCCACTAGAGAGAAATCCATTGCTGATGGGGTAGAGTCTAATTTCCCAACAGCGACTCATGGCTTTTGTGTCCACTACCTCACAGAACGGTTCCAAAGAGAATTCCAAAACTCAACTCTTGTGAACCTTCTTTGGGAGGCTGCACATTCTCTCACCGTCCTCGAGTTCACATCAAAAATGAACAAGATCGAACAGATATCCCCCAAGGCTTTTTTATGGATCCAAGACTATTCTCCTTCTCTTTGGGCGTCGCCATACTTTGAGGGAACAAGGTATGGACATTTAACCGCAAATGTTGTTACCCAGTCACTGAACAATTGGATAGAAGATGCCTCTGGTCTTCCTATAATCCAAATGATGGAGTGTATCCACCGCCACTTGATGAATTTGTTCAAAGAACGCCGTGAAAAGAGCTCGCAGTGGTCTGATGTGCTCGTTCCTTCTGCTGAGAGACAATTGCTTGCTGCGATAGAGCAATCTCGTGTTCACCGAGTTTACAGAGCAAACGAAGCGGAATTCGAAGTCATGACTCTTGAAGCAAATGTCGTTGTGGATATCGAAAACCGTACTTGTTTGTGTGGCCGGTGGCAGATTTACGGTTTGCCGTGTAGCCACGCCGTTGCAGCTCTCCTGTCTTGCAAAGAGGACGTTTACGTGTACACAGAGAAGTGTTTCACAGTGGAGAATTACAGAAGAACTTATGCAGACACTGTAGAGCCAGTTTCAGACGAGGTCGTGTGGAAAGAAAAAGATTCAGAGAGAGATGATGGAATAAGAACACCAAGGGTTATAAGAGTTGCTCCGAGGAGGAGGAGAGTTAGAGCAGAGGATCGTGGTCGTGTGAAGCGTGTGGTTCACTGTAGTCTGTGTAATCAAACGGGACATTTCAGAACAACTTGCACTGCTGCTCCTATGTAATACTAATTATTTAGTCTTTTTCGTCTTTTTCTTCTAGGTTTTAGGAAATTCTTTTGGTATGCCCTAATTCTAATTACAATTTATGACTTTAGGTGAAATGAATGTAGCATATTCTTTTTCTTTACATCTTTTCCCGCATGAACTTTCATTTCTTCTTCAAAATTATTGGAGAAAATGGTTCTGCATAGAGTTTCGTAGGAGAGATTTGAGAGGATCTGCCTATATTTAGACTTCGTTTCTTAAGACCAATATTATCTTCGGAGTAAAATCGGTCTCAGCTAATTTTAGTAACCGACGACTGAAAAATTTGGATGGTGGTGAGGAAGCAAGGTTCCATTGATCTCGCTACAGAAAACGAAAACACAAAAGAGACTCAAGAAACAACAACAATGGCGACGAGTACGACGACACGTCTTCTGAGTTTCATCAAAACAAGCACCAGTTATTGAACTCTACGAATCCACCATCAAAATCAGTCATTATGCAGAGAGGTCCAATATTTGCTGTCTTGTCTTATTTTTCTTCTTCCTGATACAGTACAGAGTATTGTGAAATATGAATATGTACTAAGTAGTTGTTGTTGTTACAGAATATTACGGAAACAAAACGACGACGTACACGCAGATATTGGTGGTGTCATCCATCGGTTTGATGATTGCAGCCGCAGTGCATTACCGTCTAAGAAGGCTACGTGACTCCAAAATCATCCCTCGTCTCAAATCATGTCACAAACACAAAGGCCATGAGAAGCTCGAGAGATTCTCTCATTACGTCGCTAGGCAAATGGGGTTCAAGGACAGAAGAGACTGTCCAAATCTCTGCAAGTTGGCAGCAGAATACATCAGGAAATCAGAATTGTGTGAAGAAGACATCTACAGCTTTTTCTCTCAAGAGCCTGACGCTGATTCTCTCTTCATTAAGCTCGTTGAGGAGTTTGAAAGATGCATTCTTAGCTACTTTGCGTATCACTGGAGCCACGCCGATCTCATGATTAGTCAGGTTCGTATGTGTGTATCTATGTGTATGTTAGATATATCACACAATTATAGACCAAAACACTCAATGAGATCATATATGAATCTCAGATACTGAGTGCAGACGCTGAGCCCAAGAGGAAGCTGAAGCAGATTGTGATGGCAGCTACAAGGTAAGGAAGACAAAACCAAAACACAATTTAGAAGCCGTGTCTTGTATTTTAGTGATTCATTAATGATATTGTGGGTATATATATATAGGGAACAGAGGATCAAGAGGGTGACTAAGAACTTGAAAGTGGCGAGAGTGTTCAACACTTTGGTAGAGGAAATGAGAGCAATGGGGATCGCGTCTATGGAAGACTCACAGTGTACTGAAGTTATGGCACCAGTGGCTCACAAGGACCGAAGCCCGGTTCTACTCCTCATGGGTGGTGGGATGGGTGCAGGAAAAAGCACTGTTCTCAAGGACATACTCAAAGAGTAAAATCAAATACCGTCACCTGTCTATAATACATACTTAAACGTAAAGCTGTGTAGTTGAAGCTTACCTGATTGTTTTCATCATGGATTCAGAGCGTTTTGGGCAGGAGCAGACGCTGTGGTGATTGAAGCTGATGCTTTCAAGGAATCTGACGTCATTTACAGAGCCTTAAGCTCTCGTGGCCATGTGGATATGATCCAGACTGCTGAACTGGTAAGACATGTTTCTTCAAAATCACACCTCTCAAGTGGATCAAAAGATTGATTGATTCTGAGGCTTGAATGCTTTGTAGGTTCACCAGTCATCAACAGATGCAGCTTCATCGCTGCTAGTGACGGCTCTGAACGAAGGGAGGGATGTGATAATGGATGGGACACTCTCTTGGGTACCTTTTGTGGTGCAGACAATAACAATGGCGAGGAACGTGCACCGTCACCACTACAGAATGGGAGCAGGATACAAGGTTGGTGATGATGGAATCATCACAGAGAATTACTGGGAACGGATTGGTGAAAGACAACAGACGCAGGAGGATGGGCGTAGGAGAAAACCGTATAGAATAGAATTAGTTGGAGTCGTGTGCGATGCGTATTTAGCAGTTATAAGAGGCATTAGGTGAGTGCAAGCAAGCAACTATTTATCAATCTATCTGTCTTTCAAAGTAAGTCTCTCAACTTGCTGTGTTATGAATTGTAGGAGAGCTATCATGTGTAGAAGAGCGGTTAGGGTGAGATCGCAGCTGAGATCTCACAAAAGGTTTGCAGATGCGTTTCCTACGTATTGTAACCTTGTTGACAATGCTAGACTCTACTGCACCAACGCCCTGGAAGGCTCACCAAAGGTTAGTGATTACATCGAAACCGTTAAATTCCATACTTTTATTCAAGTCATGAAAAGAAAGTACACTTGATTGAACAATGAGACCAATGCTTAAGCCAAGATCCTAGACCAGTCCAGATTGCCCCAAAACTGGTGAAAATACTAACAGGTGGAAACTGTGGTTGTGGCAGCTGATAGGTTGGAAAGAGAAGGAAAAGACGTTGCTAGTGGATCCAGAGGAGATAGACTGTTTGAAGCGAGTAGGAGGGTTGAACGAGAATGCAGACTCCATTTACGAGCTCTATAATCAACCCAATCCTGCTTGTGAAGCTGGATCAATCTGGAAAGACATTGTTCTTTCACCTTCGAGGTTTAACATTCAACAGGAGCTCAAATACTCCATTCAGAAAGTTGAAAGATCTAAACAACAACTCAACAACATCAAAACCTGATGAGAAACAAGTGAGTCACCCATATTTGGGTTTACTTCTGCATCAAATCGACAAGTAAGAACGGAAACTTGATAGAATACATCGAAGCAAGTAAAAACTTGGTAGGAGGTACATTTGTTGATTGTATAACTTCCATGTTCATCTATACTCAACAAGAAAGGCAAAAACCTGAAATTTAGCTGCGAGAAGTTCGATTTTTGTTGCTTCTCGTACCCCATTGATGAAATGAATATCCTTAAAAGCGATTTAGCTATATATGATTGAAGGAGAGTTCAAGCAACCATGAATTACAAGAACTTTGAAAACAAACAAAAGATTAAAAAAAAAAAAAAAAGCAAACAAAAGTCACTTCAGGATCATTGGATTATACAAAAGACTACCACCTAGAGAGAAAGCTACTTCCATGTATCGTTAACACTAAAACCCTAATTTCACTTCTTCCCCCTTGACGAAGCCCTCTTCACTGGAGACTTAACCGTCTTCAAACTCTTCTTCTTCACCGGCGTCTTCTTTTTCGTCGCGATCGCAGCTTTCTTCACCGGAGCCTTCTTCTTCCCGGGAGACGTTACCTTCGATGTTTTGACAGCCTTGGCTGGTCTCTCCTTGGCCTTGGGCTTCGCGGCAACAGCTTTCTTCTTAGGCGCAACAGTGGCCTTAGGCTTGGCACTCACTTTCGGCTTGCGAGCAGCAGCTGCCTTGGGTTTGACTGCCGATGATTTCTTAGGCACCTTTGCAACCTTAGATTTGGAAGCCGCAGTAACCTTGCCCTTCGATTTGGAAACCGCCGCAGCAGACGGTTTCTTCTTCGCCGGAGCAGATGTCGCCGCCGCCGCCTTCGGAGATGATGCCTTAGCAGACGGAATCTTAAAGGAGGCTTTGACCTTGACAAGCTTCTCAGAAGCAACGAGTCTCTTCAGATTGTGAAGCAGCATTTTCCTGAATGTCGGCGAAAGCTCTTTATGCTTTTCCTCGATGAACTTCTGAATCGCGTATTGGCTAGATCCAGTTCTCTCCTTCAACGTAACGATGGCATCCTTGATCATCTGAATCGCAACATAAACAAAACTCAAAAATCAATCTCTAATCTCAGAAATCCGAATCCGGCTCGATAGAAAACGAAAAAGGAAAAAACAAAAAAAAGTAGATCGAATCTCATACCTCTTCGTAAGTAGGATGAGTAGAAACGGTTTTCTTCTTCGGAGCCGCAGAAGCAGTCTTCTTCTCCTTCACTTCCTTAACTTTCTTCGTTTTTCGTCCCTTCGCTGCAGGCTTCTTCTCCTTGGCTGGCTCCGGCACCGACGTATTGGTTTCGTCCACAGTAGAGACATTCTCATGCTCCATCTCTTGCGTCGTCATCACAATGAATCTAAGATCTGAAAATTTGATAGCTAGAAACCGTAAATGAAATTTCGAGAGAAGAGGAAGTTATGGGGATGGTTTATGAGATCATCGGGAACGTCCGATTTATATTGGTTAGATGTGTATTAGACGGCATTTCATATCTGTCTTCTGATTGGTTAAAATCATAAGTACGCGGATCGCTACTCATTTCCCAAGTTTGAATATTAATCGTTGGATCTTTATCTATCAACGGTTTAGAAGGTATGACTTTCGATGTAGGGATTGAGGGAGTTAGTGGATGTGGATTAGATGCTTTGGGCATATTTGCTGTGCTTTTAGGCTCGATTGTTTTGATCATAACTCGTTATATACTTTACGAAATTCATTTTTATTTTTTGCATTGTGTAGGAAATTCTGTGAGCTTTCGTTCGACTATCTAAACGTGGTGAACGGATTATTCTGCAATGAGAAAATCGGTTATGACTCGAGATATGTCATAACTATTGTTTTTCTTAGTAGTGTTACAGTATATTTGGTTTTCCGAATAATGCTAAGACGAGATTTGAAAAAAATTATGTTGATCCGAACCTAAGCAAATCAAGGAGTGAAACGAACTATGAATCGTGGAATTTTGATTACTTTTCGATGCAAAATCATTTGATTAGATACTACCCAAGATGACCATCTTCTAGAAATGTGTTGCACAGCACTTCGTTTTGTTGATGTGATACACATCTATGTCAAAAAAAAATAGTCCGAAGTAAAAACATTTCATAAACTGTGATCTACTACTTTAAGCGTGTTATAAAATTAAATTTAATCAACAGTGAATATTTATATAATTTCATTATAGTTGTGATGTATATAGGTTCTATTTCGTAAGAGCAACTCATGTACATTAACCATGTTCATCAGATATCAGATATATTGCAACACATATACACGATATACCAAATAGTGATTACAAGTTCTGTTTGCATCCGTCATATAAATATTATATAGTTGATTTTGGTTATCCAAACAAAACATGGTTTCTTATGTATTATGATGAAACATGGTGTCTTATGTATTATGAAACATGGTTTATGAGATATTTTTCTTTTGTCAACCGTTAATAAGATATTACTATTCTTCATTGGGCATCTGCTGATGAATCATTTGTTATGCGTCCTCACATTCTACTATATAAAGAAGATTTTTGGAGGTTTCGAAGAAATAATAGAGGAACTTTCTGAATCTTCAAGATACAAGACTTTGTTTCCACTCCATTTGTTCCGATGTCAACACTCGAGACCTAATTCGAAACTACAACTTCCATAGAAGTGAAGTCGTGCCGAATAAAATGCATATAAATCAATCTAAAATCTGAACTACAACACTTGATAATAAAGTGACAACAACATTACACATGCAAGCCCAAAAAGGACACGTAGTAAAAGAAGCAAATTTTGGATTTTCTTGAACAGATCAGCCTCTCCTGCAGGTAATGTTTCTCTCTTGTATTGCTTTGAGAGATTCCATAGAGAGGGAAAAAGCTTACCCTGCCTCCAAAGAATATTCTTCATGCAAAAAGAGTCTCTAAAGTTCTTCACTTGTTGCATTCCGGAAGCTTCCGAGCATAGACAAGCACCATCATATAATCCTTTGCAGAGGAACCAATCGATGCAGCAAACCTTTGGCGATTTGAACTTCTCTGCAACCATAGATCCACCACTTTCTGAAGCTCCAGCGTCGGCATCACCGCTTCTCCCATACATCTTATCTCTATCTGCACAGAAACCATTAAATGTCTATCTTTGATCAACCAAAAACATCTAGAGGCCATACTTGCATTTAGCTTTAAAGACCTGACCTGATGCATACCTCACTTTCACTCTCGAGATCTAGCTTCCTCATGAGGTACTTTTGTATGAAAGAAACTGGAATATTTCCATCCCTGCCATGGAATGAGACAGCGAATTAACTTCCCCAACAAAACAATTATTAATAGCAGAAATGTGAATTTGTGTTAATGTCTTCAAGAAAACTACTTTGTAAAAGAGAAAGAGTGACTAATCAATTGGCAAGTAAGTGGAATATAACAAGAAACAAATCCAAGAACCAACGAACCTACCTTATTCTCAAAAAATTTGCAGGAATTTGAGGCAAACAAACTTCCCTGAAATCACCAAGCCCTTGTCAACATACCAACAGAACAGAAACAAAAATGTAGAAAAAGTATCATGAAGGGAAAGAAAATTTTCAGATATGAGAGGAAGAATCTCACTGATCACTGGACGCCACAAGTGAGAACCAAACAGGACCATATCTCCTCTCCCGTTTTGCACTTGACTCATCTTGTTGTGGTGAATTTCTTGTATCACCAAAGTTGGTGGCAGACCTTTTGCGTTCAGTCCTACGCATTCTTTTAGGAGTAGCAGTTTCTGATGTTGTAGGATCACTATGATTAGTCGTTTCATCCTCACGTTCACATCTACTTTTTTGATCCTTAAATTTGGTCTTTCTCCCTTGAAACTGTTTGTGAGATGCTTTAGCGTGCTCAGATTTCGAGCCTTGCCCTTGAGAAGCAGAAGACTTCAACGGCTTTGTCCTGTTTGCCACATCGACCAGAAAATTTAAAGGTTTCCAATCCATTTTGGAATCCCAGGGTTCATCACCATCTTTTTTTTCTTTATTGGAGAAGGACTCTGCATATGACTGCAAAAGGCCAAAATAAAACTTAAATGAATAGGAAGCCAGTTACACTATTATCCAAAATCCACTGAGCATTTCGTTTTCGATACGTAAACATATCCTTCACCTTCTTTACCTCCTTTTTATTCTGAGTGAATTTGTCGGGTGAGCTTGTGTTCTCTAGAAGATCATCCCCAAAAGATTCTTCTTTTTTGACAGTTCTCTCAGCCAACGAACCACTATCACGTAACTCTTTTCTCGTGGCCGCTTTAGTTCTTCTTCCCGTTTGTGCTGACACGCTAGGTGTGCTTACAACCAAAGACGACATAGATCTCTCCTTCCTCCTTGCTGGTAAGGACACAATTTCAGGAGCTTTCACTTTTCTTCGTTTTAGAGGAAATATTTTGGCTCTCAAGTCTTGCAAATTGTGGTCAGGCCTAAACAACATTCGTGAAAGTGGCTCCTCAACATACATCAAAGTCAACTACAAAGCTCACATTTTGTAAATAACGAGTAAGGAAAACGAACGTACAAAAAATACTCCCTTCTTATTCTATTTCACATAGTTCATTCCATCAACAAGAAAAACAAATGGCTTCAGTCAAGGAGCAGAAGAGATTTATGACTGCTAAACCAATTTTTGATGAGAAATGGTGGAGCTGAGATAGATTCACTTACCTAAGCTTCTCCAATGGGGTGCTACCGAGGTCGATATTGCATACTGGACAAGACTCTATCTCATCCTCTGTGATTTTCTCGTAGATGCATTTCCTACAAACTATATAGGAGAGTAATATCAGACGTTATCTCATTCCAGTAGATAGCAACTATAATATAAGAACAGGATGATTTCTTTTTTGCTTAATATCAAATGTGACTAAATCTGAATAATTTGTCTAAGAAACTAAAAGATATAACAGTTGATTTCTAACTTGGAAAGAAAGTTCAACTCAAACTGAATTCCATACTGCTCCAAATTTCAAATTATGTTAGTAGCAGCCCTCAAGTTAATCAAATTCGTGAGACACATTCGTAAATCTGTGACTTCCTTCCACCACATCCATTTTTAGCTACACTAGTTTAAAGTTCACAGATCAAATCCTCCGCTTGCAGACCAGAGGTTAATTGGAATCAAACGGTTTGGTACAGGAACTAATCGATCTTACTGGAAGTGTCCTCAGTAAACAAGCCTCAAATCCACAAATTTTTGAAGCTGCAGTAAATCAGAAACAGCTTGCAAAATAAGTGTTACTTTCTTAGTCCAGCTTAAGCGAGCACTTTCATTGTTAAAAAGGGAGATTTGCTCTGCTTTACATATTTGACTCGCATTGTTGTTATATACCATTCAAGGATCCAAGTGATACCTTAAAATGTATAAATTAGAGATCCCTCTCAATACATGTCTGACTTGATTGATTTATTAATAACAGGTTATGGCAAAAGCTAGTCGGTTAGTAGCAATCAATATATGCTCAGATAAATTTTCTTCCTTTCTATACGTTGAAAAAGTTGATTGGTTTTGCATACAGAAAGGTAAAATATCTTAAAATTTAACAGAAATACAGTTCTTTTGTTTGTTTAATCAGAAATACAGATAATGGTTGAAGATGCAAAAAAGATGAATCCAACAAACAATATGACCCGCTTACTATTGTACTTGTTCTATCGATTAAAGGACGAGAGGAGATCAAAATTCAGAGGAAAATTCGACAACATGGCAACGAATTTTGAAACAATGGTGGGTTAAAAGAGGAAAGAGGAACTGACATGTGTGAAGGCACTCGGAGATAGTGGTGGCGTCACGGAGGATGTGGTCGCAGAGAGGGCAGCTCAGGCATGCCTTCATCGTCTCCCTCTTCACCTGACTCACCATCTCTCTTTCTCTGCCTTTCTTTCTCCTGGGCTCAATCTGTCATCCCCAAAACTGCATGCCGACGAAATACGCGAACGCTCAGATTTGTGTCTGTCGTCTCTATCCCAAATCAAGCTGGATATGATAGTCCCTGAAGTGAAACAATTTCTCCTCAATCGGACTGGCGCAAATGGAAGCTGATGGAGAGAGAGAAAGATGGAAGAATTGACGTACGATTCGGACAGGAAGAAGACGATATGACTTTTTGACAATACAAGTCCAAGGGTTTTGAGTTTAACTTAGCTCTCCTCTACACAAGAACGAACGCTGCCTGAGACGTTCTTTTCCATTCTTTCTTTTTTTTTTTTCTTCCAAACTAAAATACTGTAGCAGTCTACATATTCAATTTTTTAAAATAAAATAAAAATACAAACAAATACCGAAATACGTAATCAAATATCGAAAAAGAAAAAGACTACCTATGGAACTAAAAGTCAAGTATTCTCTGATGAACTTATAGGTGGTATACCTTACTCAAATTGTTTAAAACCAAAAAAAAAAGGGAAAATAGATTAGCATAAATACATTATGACTGCTAAACCAAGATAAACCAAAATGTGATGCGAAAATGGTGGAGCTGAAATACAAAACAAGATTAGCTTACCTTAGCTACTCTAATCATCTGACTTAGCTTAATAACCACGTTCATAGATAATTTCAACTGCCTGAGAAAACGAGATAAGCTTCATACCAAGACAAAGAACGTTAGTTGATCATACTACAAGCATGAATATTCAAGCCTCAAATCCAGAAAACAAAAAAAACACCTATTTTGAACCTATAGATCAACAATAGCTTCTGCAAGGCGTTATGCCATTACAAATCTTGGACGAAGTGTATAACGAATCATCATAGACATGCGAAGCAATCTCCAAATTTTAGATTTAAAAAAGTGTGAAGGTTTTGCAGGATGTCACTAACAAATCATGATGGGCATACGTTAAACTATGCGGTCTTTATGTTTCAACAACAATTTTGCAATACAATGAAAAAGACGTCAACTAACATTTTGATAACTTCAGCATTGCGCATATATAGCCGCATATTATCTTTATATGACATGGCTTATGATAAATTTATTCAGTTTCACAATTTATTAAACCAATTTGATAGACAACTTACTTTACCTCTACCGTTTTACACAAATTACATTAGTTCCACCATTTTATAAACTAAAATACTTCATGTAAAATCAGAATAAGATAAACCTCAGCTTCTTCATTGAATTAAAAGTAACAAAAACCCTCAATCTTTACTCTCACTTATGGTTGTTAAAGACCGTTTTATAGTTATACTAACTCCTTTTTCTAAGAAGTAAGAACCCTAATTAACAAATAAACAGCTAACAATCTTTTGTTCAGGAAAACATGATTAACAGCATCCGCAAATAAGGTATTTTCGTCATATTTTTCTTCTGTATCATTTGTATAATTCATTTACAAAAACGTATACTTGTATGTTTTTCAAAATAGGCAATCTAGCCTACTTTTCCCTTTTATATGAGACTGGAAATACCTCGTCGACTTGTTTTCTAGGACGTGGAGATAACTCCATCCACGTGACTTTTTCCGATTGGGTGATTAATGTTAATTTCCAAATGAAGACATTAATTACTTACAGCGTCATCAACGGTTTAAGCACATGTCTTCACATGTAGACCTGCCCACACCTGATCCTCATCTCTGCCCACATCACACTATAACTCTATAAATATTTGACATCTCAACACGAACACCCAAAAATTATATCATTAAAAATCAATTCTTTCGACCTACTGTGTATATAAATAAAAATTTCCATAGACATAATATAAATAAAATAAAAAAAATCATTAAACAATGATTGATGTAATTTAAAAGAGCAGAATCCCCAGATGATGCATGAAGAAGCTCTGAATCTAACTCCCTCCGACCCCAAATCCAGAAATCGAAGCGAAGAATATAATTTGCCATTAGAGCAAAGCAATCCCAGAAGGATCTGAAAGCCCTACGTTTGTTTAGCGTTTCATTTTTTCTGCTTGTTGATCAAGCACGAAATCTCCGAGATTTGTGAGGAGTCCCTCCGTTACGTGCTGCTTCTTCCTGGAGACCGATTAAGGGTTTGATGAGATACGGATAGTTCTAGAGGAAGATAGGTTTAGGGGAAATTTTTGTTGGTTCGTGTTTCGCATATTCATGAAGCAAATCCGTCGATGGCAGAGGATTCTGTTCCTCTCCCTGCTATCGATATCTGTGTTCGCTCCGCTTATTTTCGTCTCGAATCGGCTTAAGAACATCACTCCCGTTGGTCAGCTTCGTCTCCTTATCTTTTTAGATTCCTTTTTTTCTGTTTTTCTGTCTAGCAGATGTAAGATATGGCTACATGTTACTGAATGATCGTGTGGAATTGCTCGATGGCTTTGATCTTTGATTGAATCTCATGATATTTGCCATCGGCCTGTTTTGGTTTGATGTTTTCTAAGTCTTCTTGTTTCTCATCTGAGGTTTGTTTTGATTTCATTTCCGATTGTTTTTTCTGGCAGGTCGGAGAGAATTCATTGAAGAGTTATCTAACTTTGTAAGTGTGATGATATCATGGCCTTCAATCTGTTTACTCCTCTGTTCTGATTGATTGAGAGATTCTTCGTCGTTTTGACTGCTTTAAATTAGTTAATCGATTGAGAGATTCTTCAGCTATATTGTTTTGATTGTGCTAAGTTTTCAGGTCTTAGTCTTGCTTATATTTCTCGAACAATACACTTTAGCTGATATGCTACCATTATTCTGCAGAGATACAGGACACATGACCTTAGACTTAGCGCTGTGGAACAGGTAAGTTAGCAGTGACAGGCTCCTCCAAGTCATCTCCTTAAGCCATTTAATCATTCATTTAGTTGAAATTGTTCCACTTTGTGATTTAGGAGAATGGAGAAGGCTTGAAGGGGCCAAGGCTCATTCTCTTCAAGGATGGGGAGTTTAATTCTGTAGTTCGGGATAACCCATCTGATGAAAGTGATGGTGTTTTCCAGTCTAATGAGAAAGAGAACACAATTGATTTCTCAGGAATTGATGGTGGGATTATATTCCTAATCTTGTTTTTTTTTTTTTTTTTTTTTTCGCTGTGATTAACTCTTCAGCTTTCTTATCCGTAGTAATCATGGGTTTCAGGTAATAATCACAAAAACAGGGAAGATCAAGTGATAGTTTCACAACGGTCGACAGCAAGCTCGGATGCAAAGGTTTGCATTTAATCCAACTGATTGATAAAACATGAATTTGATGAATCAACTCAGCTGAAGTAACATGAACGTGACGAATGCTCAGGCTATGATATGAAACAATTCAATAATTAAGTTCTAGAATCATACTACAGGACATTACGCTATATGGTACTAGTTGATCTAGTGCATAGAAAAGCCAAGTTAGGCTTCCATCAAACTATTCAGATCATACGTTTAAACAATATGATTTATTATTTTGTTTCAGGATCAATCTCTAACAATTAATCAACAAGCTAATAAGCGGGATTTCAAGCCCCCTTTATCCAAGGGTGAAAAGAACATAAAGGTCCAGCCTGATAGAGTAACAGATGTGAAGATAAAGGAGATCAGAGACAAAATTATACAAGCTAAAGCCTACCTGAATTTTGCCCCACCTGGAAGTAACTCTCAGATTGTGAAGGAGTTGAGAGCTAGGATGAGAGAGCTGGAACGGGCTGTTGGTGATGCGACAAAGGATAAGGATTTGTCAAAGGGGTAAGCACAACTGCTTGATTTAAACGGAGAAAATACCTTAATTGCAACCAGAAACTTGCTGTTACAACTACAGCCTTTTAGTGACAAAAATCTGTGCTGTTCAAGAAAATTCATATGGTAACCTCTGGTATGGTTGTTTCTTTCAGCGCTCTTCGTAGGTTGAAGCCCATGGAAGCTGCATTATACAAGGCTATTCGTGTCTTTAACAATTGCCCTGCCATTTCTACCAAACTCCGAGCCATGAATTATAACTCAGAAGACCAAGTTCAAGCTCAGAAAAACCAAGCAGCATATCTAATGCACCTTGCTGCAAGGACCACCCCAAAAGGGCTTCACTGTCTCTCGATGCGGTTGACATCGGAGTACTTTGCCCTGGATCCTGAAAAAAGGCAGATGCCTAACCAGCAGAATTATAATGATCCTAATCTCAATCATTATGTTGTCTTCTCTGACAATGTTTTGGCCTCTGCAGTCGTTGTTAACTCGACGTTATATTCTTCAAAGGTACATTTTAACATTTCTTCTGTTTTATTCTGACAGTTATGTGCTGTCGTTTTCTGATTTACCAGTTGAATATCATTATAGGGTATGTTTCAAGAGTCTTATTTGCTTCAGCCACTTATTAATCTGGGTTCGGATTGCTGTTTGCAGGAACCGGAAAATATAGTACTCCATGTTTTGACTGATTCACTTAATTACCCAGCAATCTCAATGTGGTTTTTGCTAAACATTCAAAGTACAGCTACGATCCAAATCCAAAACATTGATGATATGGATGTCCTGCCTTCAGATTATGATCAATTGCTGATGAAGCAAAACTCCAGTGACCCAAGATTCATTTCTACCCTCAATCACGCACGCTTCTATCTCCCGGATTTATTCCCGGGTTTAAACAAGATTGTACTCTTTGACCATGATGTAGTAGTTCAAAGAGATCTAAGTAGACTGTGGAGCATTGATATGAAAGGGAAGGTGGTTGGTGCTGTAGAGACTTGTCAAGAAGGTGGACCTTCATTTCATTCAATGAGAAAATTTATTAATTTCTCAGACGCATGGGTCGCTAGGAAATTCAGTTCTGAAGCTTGCACGTGGGCGTTCGGGATGAATCTAGTTGATCTTGAAGAATGGAGAAGACGGAAGTTGACTTCTACATACATAAAATATTTCATCCTGGTAAGCAAATCACACTCTCTACTGAACTTACTTCAAATTACTAACATCTCTAGTCCTTTAGATGCTTTAAATACCTCTTCAAAAAATTTCAACCTAGTCGTTTGTACACCACTCTATCTGAAAAAGATAGTATTTCGATTTTAGTTTTGGCTCTCTGGGGATGAAAGGTTTTGAGTTTGGAAATTAGACACTATTCAGAATAAATAGTTGTAATTAGCAAACGAACATAAGTGAAGCTAGTGCAAAAATAGTTTCCTAAAAGAATGAGTGGTTACAATCGACAACGTATCTTTTTCTCTATGTACATACACAGCTTATATGTGTGTATTGAACCTAAACCTAACAGCGATTTTTGGGATATACTTTTGTGGCAGGGAACAAAGAGAGCTTTGTGGAAAGCTGGGAGCTTACCAATAGGTTGGTTGACTTTCTATAGGCAAACATTACCGTTGGACAAGAAATGGCATGTGATGGGGTTAGGTCACGAATCAGGAGTCAAAACGGTTGACATTGAACAAGCTGCGGTTATACACTACGATGGGATCATGAAGCCGTGGTTGGATATTGGAATAGAGAAATACAAACGTTACTGGAATATACATGTCCCGTACCATCACTCTTACTTGCAACAGTGCAACATTCACGCTTAAAAAAACAAATTCCCACAACTTAGGTTTCAGTTGTCAGAAAAAGCTTCTCAGCATGTTACCAATATTATTGATTAGCTTCATTCTTTAACTCATATCAGTGTAAATTTTTGGTTCTTCTTTTTCCTACTTTACAGAGCTCAAATCTTAGACTTAGTTACAGCAACAGATTGTTCTCTTCTCTTGAAGACCTATACAGAATGATTACGTTATTTCACACTTATCTTTTTTGACATATATGTTTTCCCTAATTGTGTGTCGATCCACATCTATTTTAAGGATGGAGGAATTCACCAAACAACTTGTTTCTTTTTTTCATGTTCAGTGTACATTAGGAAATAGAAATTTTACCCGAACTCTTTTGTGTGGAAGGAAAGGGATGAGACGTGACAGGTGGAGAGAAGCAATTGGTAGAATGCATATCCAATTTAGATAAAAGACTTTTTCCATCAGTTGCTAAGCTACAACTACAAAAACCAAAAAAAAAAAAAAAGGTAAACAAAGAAAAACAGAGACTCATCTGGTAAAGTCTGGTGAGTTTGGGAAGAAGCTAAAGACAATGGCAAGCCTCACTTCTTCCGTTGCTCGTCTTAATCTTCTTCTCAAGCCTTCACTCGCAGCCATCTCCACTGAGCCTATCTATGGTAAATTCTCGTTTGCGTAATCTCCCTTCTACTTATGAATCTGAATTGGCACTGTGTAATGATTGTTTGTTCAGGTGTTCCCCGGATGAGTAAGAGAAGCAGTGGAGTGAAATGCTCGATGGAGACAAAGCAAGAAAAGAGTTCAACGGCGGGTGCGTCTGCGGTTGCGGCTATGTTAACGGCGGTGATGAGTAGTAGCCCAGCAATGGCGTTGGTGGACGAGAGGATGTCTACGGAAGGAACAGGACTACCTTTTGGTCTGAGCAATAACCTCTTAGGTTGGATTCTGTTTGGTGTGTTTGGTTTGATCTGGGCTCTTTACTTCACCTACACTTCTTCCCTCGATGAGGATGAGGATTCTGGACTTTCCCTCTAAAAAAACTTGCACTCTGTTTCTCTCCTTTTCCAGTGAACATAAGTGTGAAACAATAAATTGCTCTGTATTTTGTGAAGTTGACAAATCGTCTCGCAATTCTGTTTTTGACCTGGATTCAATAAATGTATTGCGTCAATTGAAAAGCCCATTAAAACGTAGCCAAATCCTCTAAATCATTCTTAGGCCTCGCCATATTGATTGCCAGAAGAACCTGTAAGCAAAGGCGTGTTGAATTCAACTGTGAACAATTTGCGGAAAATGTTCAGTCTTAGCGAGCTCGAACATACACTAAGAGTGCCTCCGCATCTCCTTAACCACCCCCTCGAAGATGCCATTAAGTCAGTTCTTCAAAATGAGTTCTCTGAAGCTATTCCACTCGTACTTTCACCTGAAGTTTTGGTTTGCCCCTCTGTAGGGAAATATAGATGATGATGGTTTGGGTTCTGTTTCTTGGTGGGAGTCTTTTGACCAGCTTGATCAAGAATAGTGAGAACTGAGACCGAGTAAAACTGAACCAAACTTTATACCCAATTCTGATGAAAACTAAAAGATTCTTCAAACTCTTTTTTTCCTTAATATAGGAGATTAGGAATAATTGCTATATTAAACATAGAAAAGCAATGACACAAACAGAATTTAATTACAGAAGTTATGAGGGATAATGGAGTTGGCTGAGAAGATGATGTATGTCGGGAGCATGATGATCCTCTGCACGGATGCGATCTGGTTGAATCCAACGGCCCTCAGAGTTCCTCACCATTCCTTTGTTTGCATCTTGGCGCCAATAAGGTGGTACCATGAAATGGTCTTTCAAAAAATCTGATGCTTTGTTCACCAATGCTGGATCTCTCCCGCTTGATAACACGAATCTCTGTCCTTTCCCGTGATACCTGAATATTATTAATTTTAGGATTAGAGTCTCGTTAAACTCGTTTTCTCGATGAATGAAAGACCAAAATGTTATTAAATTCGAAGCAAATTATGAAATTTGTACGACAAGTATTACTATCGTTTTCTTGTTAATAACTTAATAATGAGTGCGACTAGAAACAGTAACGAAAGTTTGACACTTGACAACAGAGATAACGACATGGCAACAACATTAATTTAATATCCCTTTTCTTAATAGTCTCGATCATTCTCTTACTACCCATAAAGCAGTGCCACGTTAAATGATCACATTCTTATAATCCCGTATTTTATGAGAAAAAACAAAATGTTTACTAATTCTTTGAGATCGTATTAAATAAAGAAGGTTGTTGGAAATGTGAGATTCTCAAATCTCAAGATACACCGGGATCTGTCTCCTCCATTCTTTGACTTGTCTAAAGTGTTAGCTGGCAATTTAGGTTCATACATTATTAAATACTCATCATATATTCTCTAAATTATTACTGCTCTTGATTATCTTAAAACCAAATTAATGTTATTGTCACGAATATTAAATAATTTTTCACGATGAAGTGCAAGTAAAACAAAACTACAGAAAAGTGACTCCTATATATTTTCATTAACTCCACCAATTATATACTAAAAGATTGGAAAAATAGAAAGACTGACCCGTCAAGGAGATGGAGAAGAGCTTCCAAGTTATGGGCGGTAGAAGGATCAACGGACGGCTTGAGGAAAGGCGAGTTCTGGTGATCCAACGGCAGCTTCTCCCCCACGTGGCAGTAGCACCACGGCAATCCTCCCGCCAGCTTCATAAGCGCGTGAGGCGCACTCTCGTTCAGAAACAGCCCCGGCGATTTAGTGACGACGTCATGCTCGTTCACAACCCTCAACACCTTCACTCCCAACTCCACCATCCTCTCCTTGAATCGGATGTTCCCGACGCGAGGACCACCGTACGTGAACGCCGTCACCGGAATCACCTTCCCTCTTCTCGTCCTGTTCATTCCCATCTCCGCCACGTCGTAAGCGCTTAGCACCGCCAACGCGCCTCCGAGGCTGTGTCCCGTCACCGTGATGCTCAGATCATCTTCCTCGTCGCCGTACCTCTCCACCATCCGCTTCACTTCCGTCAGAACCTGCTCACGCGCCGAGAATTTCGAGAAATTGCAGGCCGTGTCTTTGTCCGTGTAGAGATCCAGAAACCCGGATTCGGCTTTAACTTCCGGGTCGGGGCACCGGAATCCGTTTCCGGATACCGGTTTGAGGAAATCCTTGAGATCCGCGATCCACTCGAGTCGCGTGACGGTTCCTCTCCAGGCGATCGCGATGTCGCGGCGTCCGAGACGGCTGCGCGTGGCTTCGTCGTCGGAAACCGCCACGTATCCCATCCAGTTGGCGTTTTTGCTCCACACCTTGGACCATCTCGATTTCGAGAAGAAGTTTGGGAGATTGATGTTCGACGTCGCGTAGAGGTAACGCGCCACCTCGTAGCCGGAATCGAATATTCCGAGCGAATCGAACAGCTTGTGCCGCGTGAATCTACAGCTCCCACAGTACCTGGAAAACGGGTCGAAATCGAATGCGTCGTAGCATGCCTGGGCCATTTCTCCGTACCTGATTAACTCGGATCTCAGAACCGGGTCCATCGGATCCATTAGCCCGGCCCAATCATCTTCTCCTTGGATCTTCCGCCACGTGTCCCTCAAACTATTCGATTCTTTAGCTTCTCTATCCCGCCGGCGAATATCCTCCGCCGTCGTAATCCCATAGCTTTCATGCTCGAGCCGTGAGGATATTGAAGCGTCATCGGTTCTAGACATCGCCCTTGTGGCGGCCGCCGGCGACGTTCTCGCCGGAAAAGTGGAAAGAGTAGAGTGTGGAAAGTGTGTTTTGAGGGAAAGAGAGTGAGCTGATTGGTTGATCGGTTTAGGGAGAAGAAGGTTGTGGGAGGGAATAGTTGCCATTGTTGAGAGCTCAATGAGTTTCAGGTTCATAACGAAGTTTGTTTATCGCACCATTTTTATATAAACATGTATAATGATAAATTAATATAAAGACATGCTCGTGCTGCATGCATATTATTTTCAACTGTGGGTTTTATACGGTAATACGTTGAACGTAGGATACAATAATTAAAAGATATTTGGGTTCCATTCAACAGCTATTCATTTCTCCTCTTCTCGTTTTCTGTTCCCTCATCCAATTGCATCATTTTACACCATCACGATATTACTTATTTATTTACTAGTATACTTGTTAAATATCCTGGAATGAGCTACGTGTGCTGGTCTTTTGGTCCATATGAATTTTGATTTATTTTCCATATTCCACATTAACACGTTCTGAAACGTGGTCAACAATTTTTGATAGAAAATTGAATACCATGTTGACAAAAAAAAAAAAAAAAAATTGAAAACAGTAGCTAACTCTCTGAATAATTGACTTTAATAATATACTAAAAGATAAGATCAAAAGACAAAACATGTGTCAGCATAGGAATTTACTTGTGTTATATGATTCCTACTACATAACACTTCCATTGATCTTCCCTAGCTCTGTCGCCTGCATCCTTAGAATTATGCGAGTGTCCTTAGCCAGCCAAGTAAACGAAGAAGGCCAGCATCAAGTACCCGTGATTTCTTCTCAAGCCCTACAAAACAAAGGATGAAAGTGGTTGCTTCTTATCCTCATAGCAATCAACAAGTCTCTATTACATATTTCCAAAATACGGCTTCTCTCACCAATGTCAGCAGCTACGCGATGAGCACACATCACTCCTGAGAAAGCCACAGCTATAACTCCCTGACCAGGAAAACAACTATCCCCAACGCAGTATAGACCATCTATAGCCTATTATTAGTCAAACCATTCTTTCATTAGCCAAACCATTTCTCCGCATGCACAACCATCTATCCTTTCTTTGACTTACAGTTGTATTGAACGGCATTCCCAATAGACCTTTTGGGGTTCCTCTTGGCATTGGCCCATATGTTCCCTTATCCCGAGCAAGAAATCGCCTGTGTGTTCTTGGTGTGCCCACCTGCCTTATAACACCTTTAGATACACAGGCTAAATACCCAAATTATGCTTGCTTATCATGCACTGTCTCATATACAGATTTCTCATATCATGCAGACCTACTATCACAACTTCTACAATGTGCATGCTAATCGCACGGGAACAAAGAACAAGCCTAACCTCCTTGAACGTTATCGATGAACTGAGCCCTGGAAACAGTTTTTTCTCTAGCCGCTCTATTATCCCAGCAGCCACATCTTCTTTTTTCGCCTCATACTCTTTTGGAGGGAGTCCCTAGTACCGAAATTCACATAGATCGAGAAATAAAGATGTGCATATACACACTAATTCCAGAAGATGTTTCTAAAGCTGAGAAAAACTGCAATTATAATTAAAAGGTATATATCATGCTTGGTCTAACTCTCCTAAGACCAGCCTTACCTCCCAATCCTCGATGGAAGAAGTTGTAAATATGTGCAGTATATGTCGACCATTTGGGGCTAAGGATGGATCAAGAATGGTTGGAATGCTGAGGAAGATACTGCCATAAGGTTCCTCCAGATTCTTCCAATTGTCCTACAGGTGCAACAAAAGGACATAGTCCCTATTCAATAACTTTAAATCTGACAAGGAAATAGATCTTAGTAAGAAACTAACAAACCTCAAGCACAAAATGATGGCAATCTGTATCTGGAGGGAGAACCTCTGCTTTAACACCCATGTGGATTGAAAGAAATGATGGAGCCTTGACATAGACTTTCTGGAAATTTTCTTCTTCTTTTGGAAGTTTTTCTTCTTTTAACAGCTTCCCTACAGCACGGCAATACCACCATGAAGTGTTCTAACAAAGTAAGGCACATATTCGGCTGTTACATAAGCCATTGTTTTCTCTTACCAAACGTATCCCATCTTGTAGCATTTGAAATTATCGTTTTAGCGAAAAATTCTCTTCCATCTGCTAGCCTTACACCGACCTGAAATTTAAGGTCGATAAAATAACATAACTAAAAAGGAATTTCAAAAGGTCAAGGAGAAATAAAACTTGGAATTCCTGTAGCAAGATTAAAACTTACAGCCTTTCCATCATCAAGTATAATACTTTTCACATTAGCCTTGTAGAGTATTTCACTGCCTTGATCAACAAGTCCTTCTGCCAAAGACTTGGCAATCCCACCAACACCACCAACAGGGTAGTTAATTCCTCCATAGTGCCTGTCACATAAAACCTGTCCTTGAACATATAAGAAAAGAAAAGAACAGAAAGGGAAACAGAGGTAGACACCGAATACTAAAACAAGAATCCTACCATACTTGCATTGATCATCGGCGTCTGCAAAGCATTGACTGTGCTCACAATGAAACACTGCAGGCAAATTTGAAGGGTGATAGTCATGCAACGTTCTGATTGTTAAATTGGGTAAAGAAACTTGCGCATGTTTCGACATAATTATTTTTTTTCTCTTCTCACCTCTGCATCAATGAAGGACAATAATTGAGGATCCTTTATGTACTTCCGAGCTATATCCCCAGCATTTTGGGGCAAGTAATAAGCTGTAGAGCACAGAAAATAACATTAAATGATCCATGTCAGATGATTTTGATGCGTATGTCTCTATAGATGTGTGTACACTCAGGGCATTTAATAAATACACAAACATCAAACATTATTTAAAGAATCCAAACTCTTTTTAAAAGGTTCAGACGAATACCGAGTGTCAGGCATTCAAGCGGCTTCTGAAAGAACTGTCCAAAAAGGTAGAGAGGCTCTTCTAGTGACTTTAGTTCCAGAGAGTTCAATGAGTTGAAGATCTGTTCAAGTTGTAATAATATAAATATATTGCATGAACACTCGTAAAAGTTTGAAAACAAAGTCACATCAGACCTTCCAGCAATCGCCATAGAATCCAAGGATCCCTTCCTTCTCGTGGGGAAACTTGCTCGTAAGTTCAGCGATGAAATCATCGTATTCTCTATGAATCTGAACAGAAAGGTTATTGGGAAGATGGAAATGGACAGTGGTAGGATCAGGTATAACCTCCATCTTACGACCAACTGCCTTCAAAGCCTGAGTTATCAAGTTTAGATTCCCCTGTTCACTTCAAGTTAAGACATTACACTTCAACTTAGGACAAGATTCTCATCTATAGGAGAGTCCAGTAATACCAAAAAAAGTGCTTTTCTATAGCTTTATGTTCAATTCTCCTGAAATCAAAATTTTTGAAAAAAGGTGAAGAAGACCAACCTTATCGCTGAAACCAAACATCACAGAAGAGCCAACATCGAAAGTATATCCATCTCTTTCGTAATAACCAGAGCTCCCACCAGGAATCAGATATTTCTCGAGAACTAAAACCCTAGCTTCTTTAACAGCAAGCTGAGTCGCAGCGACCAATCCTCCAATCCCGGAGCCGATGACAATGGCGTCGTACACACGACTCTCTCCTCCACTAATTTCATCTCTCTTCGTCTCGTCTACGGTACCTACCGCACTTGAAGAAACAGATCTCACTGCAAACATACGATTCTTCTTCCGATTTCGACCATGAAACCCCCAGAACCTTGATGTAGTAAGCCTCTCCTCACTGAAATTCGAAGTCTTCAGTGCGGAGAACAAGGAACTTCGACCATCACACTTCACGGGACTTTGAATACACAAATTCATGCTGCTAAGCTCGTCGTGACTGTATTGTATCCTTTGGATATTCCCAAAACCAATCAATTGATTACGACTCTAATAGCAAAAACGAAACAAATTATTCAGCCACAAATTCTTCGTCAGCTAGATTTTAGGCAAAAAAAAAAATGTTTTATCCGAAATTTTAAAAATTGATTTCATTTCATCAATGGAAGGAAAAATATGTTTGGTAATGAACTCGCTTCTACGGACAAGACGATACAAAAAAAAAAATCTTTATTTTTGGTGACTTTGAAATCCTGACCGTTGATTTTTGCTATCTGTGTGGTATATCCTTATAAGTTATAAGGCATTAATAGCCGTTAGATTGTCTTTTCAATTCAATTTCTTTGGTAAAAGCATTTCTCTTTTTTAATTCTCGAAGGATTTTTGTGGTGAATCTGATTCTCTTCTCCATTGTTTTAATCAGCATTCTTCCTGTATCATTTTGCCTTTTTTTTTCTGATTTTCCTGTATCATTTCTGCACGTTAAATATAAATTATCTTCTCATTTGTTTTACTTTCCCATTGACTGATTGTGATTTTGGTCTCATATGATTCTTTGATCATTATGGGTTAATAAACTGTTAATTGTTAAAAGGAAACCCCAGGTTAATTAAGGATACAAGAATGGGCCAGAATTGGGAATATTAAGACAAAACTAAGTCCAAATAGGGATGAAAAGTTGAATGCAAGTGGGTTTGTTTTGTAGCAGCTCGGTCCAATATTCATAGAATCTGCAGAATAAATCAAATGGTCCAAGCATAAGCATCAATGGCTCTCTTTTCAGCAACTTGTAGGAGGATGAGGATCCTTCAGACCGTATCTTTGAAACTATAAGATAGAACATGGAGAAAGACCAATAACTGTATCTCTCCTTTTGGTCCTTTCAAAATTAATGGGTAAATCCCAAGAAAAGATTCGGTCTCGTCGAATCATTTGTTCATAGTAAAGGTGCTTTGTGAAACATTTTCAAAAGATCTTCTTGTGATCTTTGCCTTTTTCAGTATTTGGATTCTGATTCTTCCTCTGTTTTCTTATAAATAGCCTGTGAGTCAAGCAACTAGAGTCACAAGCAACACCAAGCTCAAACTCAGGGCTTGGGTCTCGTGAATTGTTTGTTCTAAGGCTTCTTTCAATCCATCCTTTTCTTCTTCTTCATTTTCTTCAAGAAACCGAGCTCTTAATCGAAAATCAAGAAAATGGACAGGGTTATGAGAATGTCGTCAGAAAAACGAGTGGTTATATTCAGCAAGAGCTCCTGTTGTTTGTCCTACGCGGTTCAAGTCCTCTTCCAAGATCTCGGGGTTAACCCCAAGATCCACGAGATCGATAAGGACCCCGAATGCCGGGAGATCGAGAAGGCACTACTGAGGCTAGGCTGTTCAAAGCCGGTCCCAGCCGTCTTCATTGGTGGCAAGCTCGTTGGTTCGACCAACGAAGTAATGTCCATGCACCTAAGCAGCTCGTTGGTTCCCTTAGTGAAGCCATATCTCTGTTAAAGAAGAGGTGTTTCCAAGGATTCTTAAATTTAGCTATGGAAAATGTATTGCAATAAGGAAAAAAAATTTCGACCAAATTTTGTAATGTGTTTTAGTGTTATATTGGTTGTTTAACTTCTCAAGTTGTATGGAATCCTTTTCTTTGAAAAAAAAAAAATTGTTGGGAAAGTGTATAATTGTAAGAGTGATATATTAATTAAAGGGTAAACACATTTATGCTAAATTTAATAATATAGCTCGAAGATAGATTGATCCATTATTGATTGGTAATCCAAATCAAAACACAGAAGAAGCAGAACAACTACTACATAACTCACATAACCAGACGGAGTTGGTAACAAAGTTCACTAGGACCAATCATACTAACTTGTCTGCAACATATACTAGCTACTTTTACATCGCTTACACAGTGCAAGTTACAATAATTTCTTCCTGTACAGCAGCACAAAGAAACAACAAAAACATACACACGGAATAATCAAACAAGCTGTGAATGGTGTATGACTCAAAGAAAGGTGCTATCTAGGTGCAACGGAGGGAGCAATTCCACTGACGAGGTCAGAGCCAGAGACATCCATTGATGAATAAGGATTCGGATTCCTCATAACTGAAGAATTAGATGACGATGATGGCTGACTCGTTGTCTCAGACAGATGAGCTGTTTTGGCTTTCTGAGATTCCGGCATCAGTTCCCATATGATCTCGAGTTCTCTTACAACTTCCGCCATTGAAGGCCTCGCATCGGTCTCCTCTCTGCAGCTTCGCAGCGCTAAAGTGGCAAACTTTTCAATGCATTCCGCTGGAACTGAGCTCATTCTCTTATCCACGGCTGATAATATCGAACCAGACTGGTACGCGATGTTGACCTGACCCAACACAAAAAAAAAACAGTTTTAGATAAATGCCAAGAAGAAGAACAAACTCTAACCATCTAGCCAGAATTACCTCTCGAACTATGTTCTTGCCATGTGTGATAGGCTGCATTCCTGTCAAGAGCTCCAGGAACACTACGCCTAAACTATAAACATCGCTTTTATCAGTCAATTGATGAGTCAAGAAATATTCCGGGTCAAGGTAACCCTGCAAGTGGACAAGAAAAAAAAGTCTCAGTCATGAATTTGAGAAAAAGAAAAAAAATTTACAGCAGCGATGCAGGATTGAGATCTTACCGGGGTCCCTTTTACAACAGTAGACACATGATGAGGTGAGATGCCTTCCATATCAGGCACTGGGGCGAGTCTTGAGAGTCCAAAATCTGCAACCTTTGCGATGAATCTGGAGTCTAACAATATGTTGCTAGCTTTGATATCGCGATGGAATATTGGCGGATTAGCTTCTGTGTGTAAATACAGGATTCCCTTAGCTGAACCTAGAGCAATCCGCATTCTCATCGCAAAGTCTAAGGGGTCTTTTAACTTAACTGCCAAAGCAAAAATTGTACAGTGTTATCCACACGTAGAGAAAAAGTAATAACACTACAATTGACTCGGTGAATAAGCAAAAACATACCAGAAATGTTGTCTCGTAAAGTACCATTTTCCATGTACTCATAAACCAGCATCTGCACGGTTGACAATACAGGCAATAAGAGAGACATAAAAAGGTTTTTAAACCTCAAAACCAGAAGATGGGTTTTGAACAAAAGTACCTGTTCGCCTTCTTCATCACAAAATCCAAGCAAAGCAACAAGGTTTCTGTGATGTAATCTCGACAACAATTCAATCTCAGTAAGGAACTCCCTCTCACCCTGCAGTGATCCCTCTTGTGCTCTTTTAATCGCCACAACAATTCCATCGCCAAGGGTACCTTTGTAGACCTTTCCATAACCTCCTTGTCCAATTTGAGTGGAACTATTAAAATTGTCTGTAGCCAGAGCCAGCTCAGCATATGTGAAGCTCTTAACCCCTTCGATTTTCAAAGAAGCCTTGGAAGCTGCACATGGATGAATCAAAACTATAAGACCAAAAGCAAATTTGAAAGATGATCTCCTCTGAACACATATCAGCACCCAAAAGAAAAAGCTTACATCGTTTTTTCCTAGAAACCGCAGCGTATCCTTTCATACGTTTTTTCATAATGATATGGGCAATAATAGCGGTTAGCGTAACTGCAGCTGCAACACAACCAAGAACTATTCCCGCTAGTGCACCCTTACTTACACCGGAAGGCGAAGCTGAAGGAAACACTGCCAAAAGAAAAAGAAAAAAAGAAGACGTCAGCTCATTTACTTGTACTTTAACTTAAGTTCTGTTTTGAAATAAACATCAGAGGACGAAGATACTTCTACTAACCATCTCTGTAGACATCTAACAATGTGAAATTCATAAGCTCATAAGGACCAAACAGATCTTCGTCTGGGATGTTCCATCCAGTGAACATGCCTCTTATTCGCCGAACCTCGCTCCGATTGAATATGAAAGAATTGTTTGCATTGGAACCGAAAACAGGAAAGAACTTCAAGTACATTCGAAGTCTAGGTCCTTTTTGCCACTGGAATGAGTCAATGCGCAGCTGATACAGATTCAAATTAAGACCAGAGGTGATGTATTGCTCAAATTCGGATATGTAAGGAACAAAATCCGAGAAACCAGGACTCTTCAACCGATATCCAACAAGCAGAGGAGCAGCACAAAAGCACCGTCTAAGAGATTCTGGAGAAAATTCATAAGGGGGTGGACAGTCAGAACAAGTTGTATTCGGATTGGTTGAACCCTGATTCTTGTCTTCCGCAGTACGAGAACCACAGAACTGGAGCAGATTCTCATCTGAGCATAATGGATTCCCCTGAAGCCTGGAAAACACACGATGTCACATTAATACCGGAAAGTGGACACTAATCTGAGGGAAAGAGTGTATCACATTTCAGAATGAGAAAACAAGATCAAAAAACTGTTATCTACATCATTGGGTGGTTAAAAATGATATGCAAAAGCAAAAGAAGTATGCATGGGCATAAGGGAAATAGGAAAGCGCAGAAAGCAAACCAGATGGTCACATTTGGGCGGGGATCAGATCTGCCAGAAATATTTGAAAACCTATTGTTCCGCAGATCCCTGAAAAACATAAAGGAAATCACCGTTGTCAAGAGATAATGGCACATGCTTGTAGGTCAAAGGAAAAGAGATATGATTGCTTTTTCAACAGTCATACACAATAAGAGTTTCGGTTGAATTCAACACTCTATCCTGGTATATGCTAGAGGGAATGGAACCATTCAGAGCATTGTTTGCAACCGACCTGCCACATTAGGTAGACAACAAAGTAAACCATCAGCAATCTTCATATCCCAAAATGATAGAACCAAGAACAGCAGAAACCGAAAATCTCACTACACCGATCAGGCACACTTACAACTTTTGAAGCCGTGGCAGGCCTGAGAAATTTGTTGGAATGGTTCCAGTTAGACTGTTATTGGACAAATCGCTGCAGAAAGTTCATCAGAAGATATCAAATTTAAAAGCAATCCATTTCTAACAAATGAAAAAGAATACTAATTACAGTACATAGCCCGGAATAAATCAAAGGCCGAATTTTGAAAGGCGCTAAAAGTTTACATGGTTGTGATACTATCAGAAAGCTTCCCTGTAGGTATAGATCCATTTAACTGATTTCGACTTAGGTCCCTGGAAATCATGTCGAACAATCAGAAACAGATGATACTAATTCGCCAAGGCAGTTTTGGGATTATTGAAGGAAGCAGCTAAAGAAGTTATAAACTTACAAATAACCAAGGTTCGGGATACTGCTAAGATCAGGTATTGGCCCTTGCAAGCTGCAGTTCCTAAGACTCCTGCCGTGTACAGATAGAGATGTACGCATATATTAGCATAGCAACCGCATATAGCTTATGTACAAAAAGATCGAGAAAAAAAGGAGATAATAGACGACCAGTCTTCTCTCTACGTTTTGAAAACTATACTAATTAGTTCAAATAAGGCTGATTTCCATTCCCAAAGCTTAATATATGCACAGCTTAATCCAAATCCAATGCGTGATTCTTATACTGAATTGTTGAATGCATCAACGGAAGATGACAGCCCTTCCAGTCTCACACTTCAGTGACTTTGACTATAAGATACATTGTGAAACTAGCACTTACAACTTCAAAAGTTTAGACATGTTTCCGTAAGAGGGTGGAATCGTGGTCCCATCAAAGTGATTGTTATCTAATTGTCTGCCAAAATAAACACGAGCAAAAGGTCAAAGAGAAAAGAATAAATGCCTGGTCACCAGTCAGTATGGTGACAGGACCAGGGAAATTAACTTAAAACTGTGATATAAACTTACAGGATAAGCAAATTGGGCATGTTTGATAACTCAGGAGGGAGATAGCCCGATAAATTATTGTTGTCAAGAAGGCTGTAAGAAAAAACAAGTAAAGTTCATCAAAATTAGATAGGTAAAGCATATGTGGCATGCTGTAGACATAAAAGCCGAGTTTAGGTACAAAACAGAACATTAAAAAAATAAGATTCATATTAGGCTACGACAACTCACATGTGAACAATTGACGGTAGGCTTCCAAGCTCGGGCGGTATCTGCCCGCTAATTGAATTATTATTCATGTGACTGGAAGAAGATGAGATGGACAAAGAAAGCCATAAGTAACATACTCAGGAGATCAAGGAACCATTATAAGCAAGACATCCATGTATGTAATAATATGACATAAAATTAAACGAACTCACAAGTGCTTTGTTTTACTTAAATTTCCAAACGATTTGGGTAGTGGTCCTGATATACGGTTTTCATCAATCTGTATTCTGTCCAAGTTTGGAAGAAACCCAAGCTCCTCAGGTAAGTTTCCAGTTAATAGATTTCCATTCAAGAGCCTGCAAGTGTGCAATGTCACATCAAGTTAGGAGCCAAGTAAAGGCAAACGAAGAGTAACAACAATAAGGCAGAGGAAGTAAACAAGAAACTTGTCCAACTTGTTCATTAGAATGAAACTCCTGAACTTACAAGAGTTCCAAAGACTTGATATTCCCAATTTCCTTTGGTATACTTCCGGTTATCTTGTTCCACATGAAATCCCTGGCATTAGAGAAGATGTAGCAGAATACATTACATTACACTGGGTATGATTATGAAGAGCATAACATTACAGGTACAAAAAAAGATCTAAGCTAGTTATGGCGGGCTTACAAGATAGTAAGACGAGTCAACCGGCCAAGGTCCGGGGACAAGGTCCCTGAGAGATTCATACTGAGCAATTGCCTTCAAGTAAAAAAAGCAAGAAGCTTTTCAAACAGTTATTGTAAAGTATGGACAGAAAGCAGAAACAGTGAAGAAGACAATACAGTTCTTTGACATGAAGATAACCATCGTCAAGAGTTGAATTGTAGCAGAGAACACCAGTCCAATTCGAAGCGCACGGATCTCCGCGTCCCCAATTGCTCAATCTACGAACGGGATCGTTCAAGCTGTCTTTTATTGCTCGCAAAGCCCTCACTGAAATATCAACGATCAGTACGAATTCAGCGATGGAGAATCCAAAAGCAAAGAAAACCCATATCGCAGACACAAATTATTTGAAGATCGAAAGTGGAGAGAGAGCAAATTAACAACTAGAAAAATGGTAAAAAAGAAACCTTCGACGGGATTGGTGATGTCGTCTTGAGCAAAAGAAGAAGACCAACAACAGAGGAAGAAAAACAGAGGTAGAAGACGAGAGGCGTTTGACGAAGACATATCGAGAGAGGAAACAGAGGAGACCAAAGACGGGGACTAGAGAGAGAAATATAAATAGGCAAAGGACATGACCAGGTAGAGAGTGAAGCAGAGGGAGAAGGAGAGAAGACAAAGTAAGAGAAAAGTGGTTGGTAATTTGTTGAAAGCATTGAAGAGTGATAGAAACGACATTTTCTTAGTTTGACCATATCAATCCGGGGAGGAGAGCGACGAGGCGTCATCAAAATTTCACTTTCGCCGCCGCTATTACTACGCGCCAGCCACCTTCTCTGCTTCCGTCAAATCCTTTTACGTTTCTATTTTTTGTTGACCTTTTTCCTCGCTTTATTTATTTTTTAATATGACAGTAGGTAGATCATGTGCTATTGCGATCGAGTTTTACATAAATAAATAAATATACCTTTTGATTCCACCACCTTGTAATTTTTTGTATTAAAAAACATACAATTAGGAAATAACAATAAGAAAACAAATCAAATCATTGGCGTATTGTATATATATTTGTTGATTTATGTGCATTTTGGTCCCCACGAAACTAAAAGTCAGCAAGTTTTCCTAATGAGTTTATTGGATGTATCAAACAGTGGTAGAGCTAGAAAAAAAAATTACGGAGGTCAGTTTTAGTTTATAATGTACTATAAATAAATTTTACAGGGGTTATTTAAATAAATTATCATATTTTATCATTTTTTTTATAAAAATATAAGTATATATATAAAAAATTTGGATTTCACCTGGGTCATTTGACCCCCTTCCAATATGCTCCCTCCGACACTGATACCAAATATGGTGTTGGTTAATGGGTTATGACCGACTAAATTGAGGGCGATTTTAAATGTTATAGCCATTACATTATCTAGAAGATCATGTAGATGATTATGATTCCTAAGAGGATAGTGAGATTGAAAGCAATAACAAAAGTCAAATAGCGACAAAAAAAAAGTAGGGACAAAAATAAGAAATATGATGTTGCTTCACTTTGCTAATCCTTTTGTCTTTTTTTATTTTTTATGTACCTGAGAAATATAAAGTCGCTAAATGGAAGAAAACTCCTAAATATTTGGATAAATAATTAAATTAAACAAAATGAAATCGAAAAAAAACTTTAGCTGGTATAAGTAAGCATCATTAAACTTCTTAATCTTAACTGATGATAGCGGGTCGAGGTACCCGTCCACTTTTTAAGAGTCTTGATTAAAAAGTTAAAAGCAATGTTGAAAATAAAGGAGATCTCTATGACCAGCAAATAAAGTTATGCCCAATTGCCAAGAGAAAAGAAGGCCCAAAAGAACTCATTGTGACGTTTTATTTCATCAAAAATAAGCTGAAATGTCACATTAGTACAAAATCAAACTAACGCGCCAGGTAGGGGTCGAACCTACGGCCTTCTGCTTAGGAAACAGACGCTCTATCCACTGAGCTACAGGCGCAACATATAATGATCGCGAGAAGTGCACAATATTTTGGATTTTATAGGCCTGATAATGACGAAGTCCGATATAATGCATAGTGGTATAAAACAGCAATTGAAACTTCATGCACTTCGAACCAAAAAAAAAGAATGGATTTTGAAAACTTATAACTACATATACCTGCGTTTTGTATACGCCTTAGTTATATAAAAAACTTTAGTACACAGATTACATTTCCAAGTTTCTAACATTAAAATTATAATTGTTAGAAGTGATTTTTTGACTTCTACACTATAATTGACCGATTCCTTGAGGTTATTTTTTTTTTTTTTTTTTTTTTTGTAAAATGTTAAAATTTCATACCAGTTTTTTTGAGTTTACAAAAGAACCAAATTACAACGAAAGCAGAAAAGCGAGAGCAAGATAGCCAAAAAATAAACTATAGCATTACATCATTAGCTTAAGGAACCTAAATGGAAGAATAGCTGGAGTAGAGAAGGGGAGGAGATGTCGAGCGCTGGGTAGGAGAGAAGTCGATCACGGGTAATCCTGTCAACCGCTCGAATGGTGAGCACAGGTGAAGCGGAAGTGCCTCTGAATATCCTGGAGTTACGTTCCTTCCACACCAAGTAGATGATAGCCTGGAAGACCAATTTTATAACCGAGAGCAGCTGGGGTGAGAGATGACTTGGGTTCTGAGAGAGAGAGAGCACAACTGCTTGCATATCCGATGGAGGATTAGGCCACACTGAACCTACAAAATGAGACCAGATTTCCGCAGAGTACACGCAATCAAAGAACAGGTGGTCATGGGATTCCGATGCAGCAGAGCAGAGCACACACTGATCTGAGACATTAAAGCCCCATCTCCTCATCCTATCTTTTGTCGGAAGCCTCTTCAACATTACAAGCCAGGAGAAGAATGAGCAGCGGGGAATACTCTCCTTGAACCAAACCAACTTTTGCCACTGAACAGATGGAGACTGAACTCTAATTTGTTCCCAAGTTGCTTTGGAGGAGAAGTTTCTTGAGTAATTACCAACAGCATTTCGCCAGAGGAAGACATCATCACCTTTCGAGTTATCAGGTGGGGAAGCTGTAGTAAGCAAAATTTGCAGAGACCGAGCTTGCTCTGATCTTGCATTTGGGATAAATCATTCTCCAGATCTAGTAGCCTCAGTGATTCAGACCCTTAGTCTGATCCGTAGTTGTCTTGGACCCATCTCACCAAGATGTTGTATGTCTGACTGCAAATCTTGAGTCAGACGTGGTGAGATGTTATGTAATAATTGTTAAAATCGTCTTGAAGCAACCACAGAAACTTGTAATGGTACTAGGAAATTAATTACTGTTAAAAACATAAAAGCGAATATGTAATACTCCTACTAATTAATCACTTCAAATTATTTTAAAAAAAAAAAATAAATAAAGAGGGAGACAAGATGCTGCGATGCTTCACGTGTCAATGTGCCTTTTACTTTTCATCACTAATTTTTTATACAAATAAATAATATTTTTTATAAACCGACCAATAAAAAATCATATAAAAAATAATAAATTCGTTTCTTTACTTGTTTTTTTCTCAACTCAATGGGGGCAATTAGCAATTTATAGTTAGTGACGTCACTTCTCTCTCCTCAGAGAGCAGAGAGTTACCTCCTACGCTCTTCATTTTGAGAGAGAGAAAGCTTCATCTCCTCTCCATCATTATTCATAGATAGACATTTGTTCTCATTCCGCTCATTGGAATTTCGCGGGTCAGCATTTCCTTCCGTCAAAAACGCCGATGGAGAAATCGGATCCTCCACCACCGAAGCCCGCCGCTCTTATCCCTTCCGATCCACATCCCAACCCAAATGCCGATCCCGTTCCCTCTTCCTTCCACCGCCGATCTCGCTCCGATGATATGTCGATGTTCATGTTCATGGATCCCCTCATCTCCTCCTCCGGCGCTCCACCTTCCTCCGACGACCTTCCCTCCGACGACGATCTCTTCTCTTCCTTCATCGATGTCGACAGCCTCTCCTCCAATCCGCATCCGCCACTCTCCTTTCCAAATCCCTCCTCCAACAACTCCGTTCCTCCGCCGACTTCCTCCTCCTCCTCTCGTCCTCGCCACCGTCACAGCAATTCCGTCGACGCTGGGTGCGCCATGTACGCCAGTGAAATCATGGACGCAAAGAAAGCCATGCCTCCCGAAAAGCTCTCCGAGCTCTGGAACATCGATCCCAAACGCGCCAAAAGGTTCGATCCTCTACTACTCTTTATTCTTCCTCCACCCTAATTAGGAAAGATTAATGTGAATTGGGAATTTCCAACGAAATGGGATGAATTACGAAAATTAGGGATTGGGATTGAATTACAGGATTTTGGCGAATCGGCAATCTGCAGCTCGCTCCAAGGAGAGAAAAGCAAGATACATTCAGGAGCTTGAGCGTAAAGTTCAATCGCTTCAAACCGAAGCCACCACTCTCTCCGCTCAGCTCACTCTCTTCCAGGTTTCTCTTCTCTTCTAAAAATACTTTCGATTTCAACTGAATAAAGTAGAAGCCTTTGCTCTGTTCTACACAGTGTACTAGATCACAAGAAATATATATAGCTTGATTCAATGTTGTTTGATTAAACAGAGAGACACAAATGGACTGGCAAACGAAAACACAGAGCTGAAACTCAGGTTACAAGCAATGGAGCAACAAGCTCAGCTTCGTAATGGTAAAAAACCTATTCTTTGGTATGCATTCTGCCTCTGTGACCTTCAATCTCCTGTTTTTTTTATCTTTGTGAATGCAAAACAGCTCTAAATGAAGCTTTGAGGAAAGAAGTGGAAAGGATGAAGATGGAGACAGGAGAAATCTCGGGTAATTCAGATTCGTATGATATGGGAATGCAGCAGATTCAGTATTCTCCTTCAACATTCATGGCAATCCCTCCATATCATGGCTCAACCAACGGCCAGGATATGCAGATGCACGGTTTCAATCCAATGGAGATGTCGAATTCTCAGAGCGTATCGGAGTTTCTGCAGAACGGGCGGCTGCAAGGGCTTGATATAAGTAGCAATAGCTCAAGCTTAGTCAAATCTGAAGGACCTTCGCTCTCTGCTAGTGAGAGCAGCTCTGCGTATTGACAAGGCTATTGAGGCTGGATACACACTTGTTAATAGGCTTTAAAATTCATTTGATTTGATTCACTTTCGATTATTTATATTATTCTTTTTTGAGGTAACCAAAACCAAGAGAGGACGTATACAAAAGTTGTGTTGGTTTTGTCTTGCTAAATTCGTGATTGTGAGTTTCTTTCATTGTTTCTTCTTGAAGGAACAAAGGAGATTGATTAGTTTCATTTCACTTGGGATACAATACCATGATGTTTGTTTGCTACGTTTTTTTCATTATTTTATTATAACCGTCTCAGATTTATATATTCCTTTTGTTAAGTTTCATTTTAGAACTGACTTTTAAAGTTCCATCTTATTATACAAGATCATGAAAACCGAAGAAAAAAAAAATAGAGCTCAGACAGGAGGCAATATCATCTGGGAATCAGATGAGTGCGATGGACCCAACCATCGCTAAAGCCAGTTTCTTCACAGCTCTTGTATGCACCAGCCGGGAATCGAACCCGGGTCTGTACCGTGGCAGGGTACTATTCTACCACTAGACCACTGGTGCTTCGATGTCCATCTCGTGTGGCCTAATTAGATATCTATATTGTTAGCATATTAAATCTCGGCCCAATATTTCTCCACTTCTATATTTAGGGCCTATTGGCGGACACACAGATAACAAATATCAAAGTGTTCTTGTAAATCTTTATTTGCCTTCCATCTTTTCTCAATCATATAAAAAATATGTCATGCGCTCAATCCATTTCTAATGTGTGTTAAAAAAATGTTACTGAATTCATTACAATGCTCCAAAAACTGGGATCATCAAATGTATATGTTATCTTTGTCGAAACTCGTTTGCTATATCAACACATAATTTGACCTACAAACTATGCAGTTAGCCAAATTCCAATTTGAAAAAATCGGACACGTTACGAAAAATACAACAACATGATTGATGGTAAGCATCTAGCTACCCGATGAGAGATTAGGGTTTGGCTGTTTTGGATAGACCTTGAAAAAGCAAAACAAATTGTGAAGATGACAAAACAGATTCCAGCCGACAAAAATGAGAAAAAATAAAAAAAAATACTGAATCCATTCTTTGATTAGGTTGTGGTCAAACTTAACCTCCCTAAGCTAACGACTAAGTACTCAATCTCAATGTCGATGTTTATTTTTAGAATTTAAATTATATTAGAGTGATTTCTTAGGAATAATGAAATACCAACGAAGCATCTCATACATGAGATGACGTATGCGCTGCCGTCATGCACTCTAACGTCAAAATAACATTCATAACCTATATACGTATGCAGGTTACATAAATTATAACAAAGCAGATAAATATATTATCAAAAATTGATAGTTGAATGATGGCGAAGTGTGAAGTAGACCACAAATTTTTATTTATTTTTTTTTGTCGTAGGCTCACAAAATTAACTTTAAATAATGACAAATTGGTAATTGACAAAAGATTAAAATGTGTGGGAAGTCGTCTATCGGAAAAAGCTCCAAAAAAGCTAATGGGACATTAACGGAGGAAATACAAGTAATATATTTTGTGGGCCCAATTTGGCCCTAATGGATTTTAACTAGAAAGAGAGACTCTCTCTGCTTTCGACCTGTTCTCCTTGTATCTGGGATCTCCAGATTTTCTCTCCACTCTCTTCCTCTCGCATTCGATTGCCACGTGCAAACTCGACTTTGCCGGCGGAAAGGGTCTTCGTCTCTCGCCGGCAGATCGAATCTCCAACTTCTCCGATTCCCGATTAATTTACCGATTGATTAACTTATATTCTTTCTAGGGTCTTCCTTAGGCCTTAAAAACCTCGAAACCCTCAATTTTTACACCTTCTTCGTCCAATTCCTGTTCAAATTTTCCATTTATGGCGCTTAGGGTTACCTTCACATACTCTAGCTATGTTGCTAGAAACATTGCTTCATCCGCCGCGACTCGCGTCGGTACCGGCGATGTCCGATCATGCTTCGAATGCTGGGTCCGTCCCAGATTCTTCGGTCACAACCAGAAACCCGATATGGATAAATCTTCAGGATCCAACACTCTTGCCCGACCAGCTTCCATGTATAGCACCATTGCGAGGGAAATCCTCGAAGAAGGAAGCCAGAGTCCGCTTGTGTTGGGGATGATCTCCATCATCAAATTAACCGCACCTCCGGAGCTTTTGGGCATGAACGTCCTCGGGATCTCGCCCTTCAAGACTTCTTCTGTAATCCCGTTTCTTAGGGGGTCTAAGTGGATGCCTTGTAGCATTCCGGCGACATTATCAACGGATTTTGCTGACGTTGATAGGGGAGTAAAGGCGTGTGATGCCAAGGTGAAGCTGGGTTTAAGTAATAAAGGCTCCAATGTTGGAAACGGATGGGTTAATAAGCTTTTGAATATCTGCTCGGAGGATGCTAAGGCTGCTTTCACGGCCGTGACTGTTTCTCTCCTATTCCGTTCGGCTTTGGCCGAGCCAAAGTCTATACCTTCAACCTCTATGTACCCTACTCTCGATGTCGGTGATCGTGTTATAGCCGAGAAGGTGAGAACGATTGTTTCGTGCTATATAATACTGCATTTTTGAATGCTTTATCCCTCCCTAGAGATCCTTATGCCTGCTTACACCTTTGTATTTATCCATGCTGTTATATTCTTAAATGTGTTTGATGCTTTTAATTGGTGGTGTGGCTTCATGTTTGAGTGATTGATCTGCGTATTTGCTTTTGGTGCTGGTCAGGTCTCGTACATTTTCAGAAAGCCAGAGGTGTCAGATATAGTCATCTTCAAGGCTCCTCCCGTTTTGGTGGTAGGTCTCTAATCACACTTTCTTGTTTTTCAGATTTTTAAAAATCTGTTTCAGAGGTGTGTGATGTCCTCCTGTGAAAAATTGCAGGAACATGGTTACAACTGTACTGATGTTTTCATAAAAAGGATAGTTGCAAGCGAAGGTGACTGGGTTGAAGTAAGCCCTTATATCTTATCCACTTGTTGATTGATCCTAATCATGCATTCAAGTCTTTGCTCACCCTTTATTGGTATTACTTCAGTAGTGGCTTCTTGATGACCAGCCTCCTCAAAACAGACCCTTACCCTTTGCTTTCTGCTTCTTTATCTTTTTCCTGTCTAACCTATCGATGTTGTGTCATATAGGTTTGTGATGGAAAGCTCTTAGTGAATGACACCGTTCAAGCGGAGGATTTTGTCTTAGAGCCAATTGACTATGAAATGGAACCAATGGTAAGCAAATTTGTACTTCGCGACTTAATGATTCTTGACCTTAAAGTTGTAGAATAGGAATGGTGCTAAGTTGGCTTTCCCTGTTGATTTGCAGTTCGTCCCTGAAGGTTATGTCTTTGTCCTAGGAGACAACCGCAACAAAAGCTTTGACTCTCATAACTGGTAACCACCTTGAAAGATATCTGCTACTTCATGGTTATTCTGTGTTAAATTGTGGAAACTCTGTTGATGTTGTAAATGTAAAACGCAGGGGTCCACTTCCGATAAAGAACATCATTGGAAGATCCGTGTTTCGGTATTGGCCACCGAGCAAAGTTTCAGACACAATACACCATGACCAAGTTATCCAAAAGGGAGCTGTCTCTGTTTCATGACCGGGTACAGATGTCTGGATGGGTTCTTTGGATTAAGCAGGAAATTGAATAGATGAAGCCAAGAGCAACGAGCAGTTGTTTCGTTCTGTGTAGTTAGAGCAATGGGAAATCCCAAAAAAAGAAGAAGGAAAAACTAAAACATTTTTGGTATGATTTATTTGTTGTGTTGAAACCTAAAATGCAATCATTGTAATGGCAGTCGTTGTCTAACATAAGCGTAAAGTGAGTACTAGATTACCCTGCTTGCTTACCCATCTGTAGAAACATCACAGTACAACTGTACAAGCGGAGAACAAGTTCTTCCATTCACTATTTAATTGATGGCATACCATATGAGATACTATATTAGGAAACTGTCAATTTCAACAATGGAAGGGAAATTTGTTTTTCATGCTAATGCTGTCAAACGGCATATAACGGAGTCGGAAAAAAAATCAACTGAAATGTTTTTTCCTTTCGAGAAAAAAAAATCAACTGAAAAAAAATCAACTTAAAAAAAACTCAGAAAACAGAAATAAACTAACAAAAAAAATTAGAGCTCAGGTATGGAGAGATCATCTGGAGATCCATCGAAGCCAATTTTTCTTCACAGCTCAAAGGATGCACCAGCCGGGCTTCGAACCCTAGCCTGCACCGCAGCAGGGTTCTATTCCGCGAGGATGCTTCAGTTTCTCTGAAATAAAAAAATATACCAAAAAATAACAGAAATAACTATAAGCACGGAATATCAGAAACGTATTTCACTCCCATGTCAATGTCGACAAAGACAATAAGAAGTTGGTACGGAGAATTGAGTAGAGTATATCCATATAATGGAGATTGGAGTCTGAAATCAAATACATGTCTCCAGTGTGGCAGTGTTGATGAATTATAGCGACAACTTTGGAATAGGGTTGTAATACTAAATCCAAGATAGATAAAAAAAAAGCTGCTCTGTATTATAAAACTGGAAACATCAAAGCTTGTTTCCTTTTTCTCCCTCCTCACTCTCTACTTTCTTCCTTTTTTCCATACGGTGGAAAGCTGTTGATTTTTCACTCTCCCCTACTTCTCTGCTATGCGATTTAAAAAGAGAACAAACAAACAAACAAACAAAAAAAGAGGAATTAAAAAAAAGTTTTTTTTTTCTTTTGACAAATCTGATACAAAGAGAGTTGATATATATATAAAAAAATAGCGATGTTCAGCATTAGGCTTGAAAATCTTTATTCGAGTTCCATACAGGAGCCACTGTCTTTGGCACACCCCCACCACCATCTGATAACACTCCGCTTCCATTTTCAGCTGCTATTAGCGGATCCTTCTCGCTCTCTTTCATCTGCGAAACCAAAGTAACATAAGTTTTTTTCTCTTTTCTTCTACAGCAATATAACATGACACAAAAATCTAGCATAGACCTTTACCAACCAAAACAATACCTAGGAATATGGTTGCTTTTCTGAAAGCAGTCTTTTTATTGCGAAATCAATGGTACGTAACAGGAATATGATTTGAGGGAACCATCTAATTATTTCTTTTATTGTACAATTGATTTTGCAATTAGACTGATATCACTTGTCCCCCTTTTTTTTCTCAAAAAAGAAAACCTTATGGAGAAAAAGGGTTTTCATTTGTTTAAATCATACGAGAGAATCCTATTTAATATTTGACTCCAGACCAATTTATTGGTATTAGCCTATATATATCCAAACAGAAAGATAAAAGCTAGATGACACATACCTGAGGCAACTGAGTTGATGTTTCACTTGCCTTCTGCTGAGTTTCAATCGAGCAGAAATAGGAATAAACAACCATTCCAATCACAGCCACCATAATACCGAGAATGTTGCGCCAGTTGAATGGATCTCGCAGCAACACATAGCCAAATGCTAGAACCAGGCATGTTTTCAGATGTCCCAGAACCTGATATGTGACGGGAGACGTTTTTCCAATGACAAGAAAGGTGCTGAAGTTTACAGACACTGATATGACGCAGGACAGGACGATGAAGAACTGCATTCAACAAAGAAGCACGTGTAAATATGTCAAATCGACATGGAAGCAAGTAGACCAGTAAATAAGTTGGGCAGAATCCCTGGCAGATTAAGTCTCACCACAACTTGAGAAGTGTACTTGAAAGCAAACACGTTCTGGTTGGTTAAGAGCCCATCTAAAAACGGCCCAGTGACGAAAAGTGTGATTGCTTGATACGGGCAAGACTGATAAAGAAGTTGCGTGGATGAAACTTTGAACTTCTTCTGGATGGTATTTGTCATCTGTATACAATCGGTTAAAGCTAACATCATCGAATTGACTTAAGAAAAAATATAAAGAAAGTTCAAAAGAATAAGCAATGTGAAAAGAGCGGCTAAGCGAAGGATACAATTTGAGCAACACAAGTTGTGATAACAGCCAGCAGCGACAAGACAGAACCCAGCATATTGAGCTGAAGATCTGTGACGGTTGCAATTCCAACACCAAGGAGAAGAATGGTTAATGAAAACTGAATTTTTCGGCTGCAAACAAAAAACGGAAGTATGTCAGCAACTACTAGCTTGAGAAACTCGTGAGCCATGAAATTTTTTGAGGATGAACTATCAACACAGAGGGACATAATACTGTCACTAAACTGCTCAACTATTACACAGAATATCAAATTAGAGCATTAATAGTCAACTAGAAATACATGATCAGTGGAAAAAGAGAAAATAGCTTCCTCCAAATTAATAATCACTCACGTATCATAGAAAGATACAATAAAGTAACAGAACTTTGAGTGCTAACCTGAACTTTTTCCTGAAGAAGAGGGTCTCCAAGAGAACAGTACAGGGGATGATTGCTAGTTTTGTCATCTAATACCAACAGAAGAGAAGATGGGTTTGAATTTGAAATACACAGGTTAACAAGATATCATCGTGTAGCAGCTGGAAAGACAAAGTTATACCTGGTAAAAACCAACGGAATTAAAGCCCAGGCTGAGGTTCAATAGTCCTATGGATATCCCATTCAATATGCCAAATCCCATCACAGCTCGTGGATCAAAAGGTTTGTGTTCAAACATCTTCATCCATAATGCCACATGAAGGGAACAAAACGTGACCAAAAGATGCCAACTTGTCAAAGTAGTCGCTGTACGTACAAAATAACAAAAGTAAGTACAGATAGCTTATGAAACCAATTGCACATGATCACATATAAGAAATTATGAAGACGCAGGCTTCAAAAAGGGTTGATAAGCGTCATGCTCAGTATTATACTAGACATGATTCGGCCGTGTATCTGCCTCCCATCAAGAAAAAAATTCACAGAAAAGAAGAGCTCGTAAAAAAAAAAGCACCTCATAAAGTAATAATACAATTCCCTTTTCTTTTGGGGACACACACCACAAACATCATTTAAAGTCACAGGAGCATCTAAAGCATTTGTATTACATACCAAAGCTATGAAAACTTCCTAAACATATACAAGCATGGAGGCAATTCTCGGTAAGGACCATCAGGTAATTAAAAAAAAAAAGAAATAACCACCTAACAATCCGAATATAGTATGAAACAAAATGATCTTTACCCTATCCTTCAACTCATTCGCCTAGATTTCATAAACTTCTTAAGCATACAAACACACGGATAGATCAAGATGGAAATGATATATGCAGCAATGTGGATAGTCAAAGGAGCCTATAACACTAAAATCCACGGGGGAGAAATGAATAGGTTACCGAATGTGAAGCCAAGGGTGCTAATAAGCGCCTTGTTACAGATCACGATTGACACAGACGACACAACGGACAAACTCAAAGCGCCGATTGTTCCCAACTGGAACTTCTGGCCCTCGCTCATCTTCGCTCTCCTTATTTTCTCTCGCTTCAATCACGATCTACGATGATCTATCCACCAAAATTTTACATCGATTCCGAATCATAAGCTAGCCAGTGATATGTAAAGGAAACAATAGCGATCTGGAGAAAACGAACCTCATTCGTGCATAACGTACGTAAATGTGAGAGAAACGAAGCTGGGGCAGCTCGACTGCAGCAATGGAGATATAGAAACTCGTTAGATAAACACTAACAAAAATCAGAGAACGAGTCAGATTTATTGAAAGCCAGAAGCCATAAACCCTAGATCTGCCGTTATGAGACAGAGATCAGAAATTAGTCGAACGGAAATTGAAGAGACGCGAAACGAAACAACGAGAACATAAGGGAGAAAGGGGAATGAGAGAGAGAGAGAGAGAAAACTCACGGGAGAACCAGCGAGAATCCAAACTTCGACGGAGGAGAAGAGATTCAGATTTTTGTATAAAAGAGAGAATCCTATTTTTACAATTTGATGGTCTGCACTCAGCACCGTACAGAGGAAATAGTGAGAGAGAAGAAGAAGATAGTTTTCGCTTTCTACGTTGATACTTGAGAGGCCCCACAAGCAATTTAACCGCGGGATAAAATTGTAATTATAAAAAAAAAATCATGATCCACAAAATGATATTTGATTTTACCGTTGGTTATGTAAAAAATTCGATGTCCAAAATAAGGTATTGGACAATCTTTTTATTTTTGTTTGTGTGTTTTTTTAGTTATGCTGCTATTTTTAAGGGAAATTTTATAAATGTGCCTGGTTTCTATATTCTAATTCGTAAAAAAGTCACTAGCTTGTGTTGGACCAATAATAGATTTCAACCTCAACCAACCGACAAAACATAATTTAATTGAATATTCTCAAATCATAACAAAAAAAAAGCGATATTTTGGTATTCGTCACCCAAAGTATAATAGCTTAAACTATCCATCGTGGGTAAGAAGAAAACTTGAGTGGATGAAAATACCACAGAAAAAAATAAGACGAAGCAAAACTTCTATATAGTGTTTGATTCTCTCACTAGCAGAGGCTCGGGTAAAACTGAGAAGTTGACTTGAAAGCCACAGCGTCTGCGATGACCTGCACCGACTTGTGGTCTGTTTGAGTTTCTTTCATATTGGTATTGCATCCCCAAACCCTAACCGCAAGCCTACGACATTTGGGCGACGATTCTCTGAAATAGGTTTTGAACCAACTAATCACATCTTTCTTCTCTATGCTTCTTAGCTCTTCTGCTTCTTTGTGGGAGAAATCAAACATGTACCTGTGACAGTTCACTTCATTTTCATTAGTCGGTGACCAATAAGGACATAGGCAACTAACTCACTGAAGTATATATGAAACTACCCATCACATACTTCAAACACCATAAGATTCTTACCTTTTGTCAACAATCTGACTCCATAACTCATTCGTCTCAGACAAGAGAGAGGGATCCTTTTCCAGCAATCTAGCAATCATACCGCTTCTATAAT